GATACAGAATTGAAATCTTTCGGAAAATGGGACACATTAAACATAAACATGAAGACTGGATTTTGCACGCAATTAAAAGTTACAGCAAATTTTATTCTTCCCTTGTCATTGTCGGATCTGCTCGGACTTTAGGCTTATGAAACTATTAATTGAGAAATATATTAACTGTGTTTTCTTTGAGTTACATAAACAAATGTAAGGGCCGCTGAGTCTCCAAAGAAACAAAACTGTTTCGTCCACATCAACACCTCCTCACAACGGGACATTATTGATTGGTTCTTCTCATCTTTCCACATCTGAAATAGAAATAAATTGAGCCGTTATCCGTGAAATGGCCAATATTTCAATCATTAGCTGTACAAGCCATCACCCCATCTGGAGCCCATTACCCGGAGCCTCCATACCAATCGTACCCTTGAGTCAACCCTGTTCCGTATCTTTTTATTTGTAGAACTGAGATACGTGAGTGGTTCTTTAATTTCCCGCGAAAACACACTGACGTTCGCATAACACCCTAAAAAATTGGAAAACTCTCCTCGCTTTTCGCCATTACTGAAATACTTTCCTGCGGCCAGCATGTGACGTAACAATATAAAACCACAGCTCTCTTATGATTGGCTATTATGCAAACACCCGCGAAAAACCCCGTCGGAGGTGCTTCTGAAAATAAAAAGATACGGGACAGGGTTGACTCAGAGAGTAAGTATGGAAGATGGAAGCTCCGGATAATGGGAACTGTTTCTCGAAGGTTCCGCAATTTAACAGGCCCGGAAAGCTGTTCTGTTATCTTTCAAGATAGGATTTTCAAAATATTTAAAGATTCTACAATAAAAATATTAGCTTAAGAAACAACATTTACCTGGTTAGGGAGTCAGAATCTACTCATTCTCTATCCTTTAAATTTTCATTTTAAAATATGGCTTCGGGCCCATTAAGTTACCGGAAACTTCAAGAAATGGGCCCCAGGTCCGAAAATCGAACCCGGGGAACAGTGGTGGGGGGGCAACTAGGCGCTCTTCCCGCTCCCCAGTCCCCAGTCCATTTACTGGTATAATATTTCAATACACCGATTCTATATTTCACAACATCAGCTGATCCCTTTAACATCTAAATTAATTTAAATCTTCGTATCTGTAAAATAAATATATTTTAAACCTTTTAAAATTCCAATAGTTGATGCATGCAATGACCCATGCTCTAACTACCCAAGAACTCGACGTAAACGACCGTCTTCTCAGTTATACTGATCAGAGCTCACCCAAATGTGATAAAAATGACCTTACTCCTGGTTGGTATCGCTTCACTGGTGTTTCTGGTAACCTCACAATGCCTACTGCATGTCCAACAGATGTGCGTGTCTGTAATACCCATGCCCCGGGATGGCTCAACGGTCAACATCCTACGACAGATGAAGGCGAAGTAACGCGTCAAGTTTGTTGTCACTGGTTAAGCAACTGCTACAAGTGGTCAAACAAGATCAAAGTGAAGAACTGTGGAGCGTATTATGTGTATGAGCTACAAAAGACACCCGTATGCAATCTTCAATATTGAGGTTAGTATCAACTTTTCGAAGGAACAATTCCCGTCCCCAAGAAAACCTACCAAAATAATTCTTGCGGAGATAACCTTTTTCGTTAACTGTGCAATTACCATGGGCTTGGCCCAAGGCTCTTTTGTGCGCACTCTTTCGTTAGGTTTCTTCCTCAAGATTCGAGTCGACAAAATTGGTACAACGGAAAATAATAGAGTGGTAATTTATAGATTTCCGGTTTTCAATCGTAACAAAACTCTTCCATTATCGGGTAAATCTAACTAGAGTTGTACCTTTATGGATGTCATTTAATAACACACACGTTTCAAATCCGAGTTTATTTTTATATCAGTGAAAAAAAAAATCTGCGATGATAGAGTGTTCGGGAGAAAACTCTTTATGGTGACGCAATATTACTGTTTTAAGTTTGAAAATCAGTTTGAAAATTTTTCATTACATTTATACCCTAACATCAGTTTGCATATTCTCCATACTGTTCTCGATACATTTGCTATGGTACTGACAAGGAGAGTTTGTTTAACAATCAAGATCTTCAGTTGGTAATCGATCATTTCCTTTATCCTCATGAACTAATCTTTGATTCAGGGATGATCTTGAATGGAGGAATTAAATGCAAGTTTGCGCAGCTGTGGAAGGGTTAAAATTGACTGAAAAGAAACGAAGGGTGGGTGTTCCAGTGAATTGTGTTTCAATCTGTAGCGCAACCTTGAGACTGCAGTTCTAGGGGAAAAAGTATCAAAACAAAGTTTATCCTCCACATATATGATGGACCAAGGCCGTTAGTGTGGAGGCCTTAGCTTTGTTTCCCCATATGTTGTCAATACTTGAATTAAACAGCTGTTTTTGAAAAAGAAGGACATCGGAAAGGAGAAATTCAGAACGATTCTTCACGGGAATTAAACAAATAAGGGGCAAATAAGCCACGGTGGGGCACCCTTTTGTTTATGTTCACGACCACGCCCTATACCATTTTTTTTTTCGCTAAAACCGATATAACATGCGTGTATGTGGTTGAATTGTTTCACACCCACCAAGTATGACGCGTAACTAGTCAGCTGCCTGTTGAGTTAGAGGACGTTAATACAAGGAGATACGAGGTGAGGGCTTTGCGAAACCAAAAGGATTTTAAGTCAAGTAGATACGGACTATGGAAGAATTTGCACTCTTCTTCTAAGACATGTCTCACGGGTACTAAGGTTAGAACTTCCATAAGGTCTGTTGCTTAAGGGTTTGTCATAGAAGACGATGAAGAACTCAAATGATGACAGTCGCAAGTACGGGAAAAATAGCCTGAAAACAAGAGCAAGAAGACTACGACCCTGTCAGATATGTAGCGCAAACTGCTGTAGTGTTCTTTTCGTGTCTTCTTCACATAAACATACAGAAGACGAAAACAAAAAACCACACCTTCTTTCTTATGGTTTTTCTGATTTCTTCTCTTGGCAAGCTATTTTAAAACTAAATCAAGTCCTGCTGCCAAGTCATTAAAAACTGCTAAATTATCATCAATTCAAAATCGACGTAGACAAATTCACTCAAGAAATTTCAAGTTTAATGTCAAAAGTAATCCAAATTTACATTAGTCAGACTCCAAGATTGATTTTGAAAACTGACACCTTTTCCTGCGCCTCAGAGTTGACTATTTTGAACTTTTAGTACGTACTCATAAGTTCGTTGTAACATATTCCTTTTTCCCGATTTTAAACCGTGATTACGTTGGTTTTGGTTTGATAACACTCAATTGAAAGAACAAGTGTGCTACACAGTATTAAGAAACATTACAGTGTGAAACAACTCTGGGGCGGAATCCCAGCTATGAGTCAGAGAACACAATCTTTTTAATGCTGTAGACTGGTTAAGCTGAGAATAAGGTAAAATTTAAATACTCTACAAAGCAATGTGACATGCAATCTCGTCATTGAAAGAATTCGGTGTCTAGCAAGTAATAATAATAATAATAATAATTAAAAGAAGGTAAGGACTCTTAGGACCCCACCCTCCCCCCTCCCCCCCCCCATCTTGTATAATTTAAATATTCAGTAGCTTACGGGGGGTGACGTTTCATCAAATTTAGTCGTTTAATGTTTGATTTAGAGTTAGAGTGTGGGAGAGAGGGGGAGCGGGGAAAGACGAGAAGACCGCATCAATCAGAGACTCCTTTCGTGGGCGAACAGAATTTCCCAAAAAGAACATTAATCTCGAGCTGGCGTTATTTCTGTAGCCCCATCCCCTACCCTCTCCCTCCTTTTGACGGTCGCCCATCCACTAGGTAGAAAATGTCTTTCTCTCCCCAGCCTTCCGCTCCTGTAAAAATCAAAGATGGCAGCAGCTATAATTTTCACCAAGAAAATAACGACCACTTACTCGCGCCAAAATCACGCCTGCCCTGCAGACTTCAATTTTAACAAAGAACGCCCAACTGCGAGACAATCATTCAAATAGAACAGACAAATCAGGAAACCACACAGGTGAGGTCAATTGAAAGGCGTAACAATATGTCTCACTGGATACAATAAACAGGAAACTAAGCAGGAAACTTAAAAGTAGCCTCTTCGTACTTCCCTCAGCTAATTGCACTTAAAAATTGCCTTCAGGGATAAACAACATGATTAGTTTATTTTCAGTATCGGTAACTATAATGTTGCCGTCTTGTTCGAGAAGTAAACGATGCGCAGATTTTAATTGCTGTTCAAAGTCTCCTTCCAATCCTTACTCAATACCCTTGTCCTCTCTAGACTCGAATTTAAGGCTAAACAGCACCTGAACAAGAGGGACGAAGGACTGAACAATACCTCTTGTCATGTCTGCACCTAAAATATCCTTGTTCTTGTCTGGCGCATCGAACTGTTTGCCTCTGTTGTCTCGCTTAACAGACCAAATCCCTTGCAGGCTTAAGCCACGTCCGGTCCATTTGCTGGCTCTAACGTATTCAAAGGCTTGAAATTGTTAAAAAAATGTTTTTCTTGGACAGGGAATGGACTGCAGATAATGTCTTCCACATTTAATAACCCACAAGGACGCTCGCATCTCTTGGGTTACTTGGGCGAAAAAGTGTATCTCGTAGAGCCCATCTTCATTGTTGCGGTCTCTCACTCCTGTAGCACTTTCGAGACAATTTTTGTCTTCGACTCCCATAGCAATTCGAACTTTCTGGTTGTAGCAAGGATCGCCGGCAGAGCTTCTTCCACTTATCTCGATTTTTCCTCCGCATCCGGCAAATGCTTCACAAATTCCTCCAACTTAGACACAACAACGGGCGGTATCCGAATCACTTTTCGTTTATGAGCCAATTCCTTTCTTGTTGAGAATGTCCAAAATCTTACTACTTTCAAAGGCGGACGAATCTCCTTTATGAGAAGCTTTTAGGATGTTATAAGATTCGAAAATAGAGATAGTCTAACAACAAAATCATATGCTTCGGCTAATAGCTAGCCACTCGACTATCACGTTCTCCACAGTAGAAAGTATGATCCCATGATAAGATTGTTTTTTTTTTTTATTTTTTCCGCTATGGGTGACGATAAACAAAGTGAAATGACTCCCACAAACAGTACACTGCGCCATGCGGGAAAGCAAACCATTAACACTTTTCCCAGTACTTTGAACAATTCCACTCGAAGCACTAGAAACGATATCTTTCGTTATTCAAGTCACACGCTTTTGCGAAACTTAAAGAGCTTTTGGTCGTGATAATAGAGCTTACTCCTATTGTTGTAATCATTCAAAATAGCTTGAAGAGATAACATATACATATATATATATAATCTCATTTCAACATATCTCGTGAGAAGCAACATACACCAATTCTTCTTGAATAAAAACTCTCCCCATCAAGGGAGGGGCCAATAAAAAGAATCATTAACAGTACCATTATCAATAAAAATATCTTTGTTGATTTCGTTATAAATGAAAAGAAAGAAACCCACATTTTATATGCCAACTGAGTTTCTTCAAGTTGACCGAAGCGTCCAAAGCGTGTAGCCCGCGCGTATTTTTCTTTAGTGAAGAAATGAAAAACCGTGTTGGTCTAAAACGGTTTTTTTATCAGTCTCTCTAGTTTTTTTATTCTACTTGACTCCTGCTCGGTTGCGGTGTGAGAAGAAACAGCCGCAGACTCTCCAGGCGCACTTCCTGCCGGAGGGGAGGGTAGACGAGAGCGAAATAGGTCCAGCATGCTGTGTTGTTCGCTCCGCTTTAAACCCTGGAGAGAGAGTTGGTACATAACAATTACTACGAAAAAAAATTTAGCTAGCTAAATATACTTGCCTTGACAGTTTTCGAAATGAATGTTTATCCCACGGCAAACACTTAAACACGACGTTCGCCTAAAATAAAACTCTGCGTGTTGTTCTGTTTTTTGTTTTGTTTTGTTTTGTTTTTTTTAATTATTAAAGCTGGGGTTTCCATAAAAGCAAGTTTACTGTCGGTCTACCGCCGCCACCCAAGTTTGGGTTTCGCTTCACGACCTCTTTTACGGCTGTTTACGGAAAGAGATATTTAAACCCTTGTATGAAGTGCGACTTAAACATCAAGCGATGAGAGCACAAAAAAAACCGTTAACGGTGCAGAGAACCATTGGCCAGCACGACTTTGAAAGCTCTACACGAAAAGTGGCTGACAAAGGGAAACATACTGGTAAGGACGACATATGACGCGAAGCAAACCAACAGTGGTTTCGGACGCGCGTCCATATCTTCTTACCTGAGCACCTTATAGTACGTTACATTACGATGTCGGTGCAAAGAAAACACTACGACTTCTGCTACAAGAACGACAGTAACCATTGTAAACTATAGCGTTGTTACTATTGTTTGCTTTTTGTTATTAGTATTTGCTGCGGCTAATAACAATTTTCATGACGGAGGTTCATGCAGTAGAAATCAATTTACAAATTTGTATGATGATGTTAACTTACGATATAAAACTGGTGATATCATGTTTATAGTAAACATCACAGTGAAAAGGCCACAAGGTAGCAGTTCAATTGTTCTCACCTTCATGTCCAGTAGTTTTTGGAAGTTAGAAGTATCTGTATCAGCAAGTAACTTTATATAATTGTCCACAAATCCAACCGCGGGATCGTGAGGAGACATAACGACCTACAACGAAAAACAAAGTGATTGAAGTAGGTTTAGGTACATTAATGGCGATTTTCACTCTTTCACTCCCAATATCTCATTAGTAATTCTCCTTACTGTCTGCCATACAATTCTTATGATGTTAGTTTGGAGAATTTGGAATTAGATCAACTTATAATCCTCTAATTGATATGAGGGCTCAGCTGCTAATCTAATATGGGAGGTTTTCGAGGGAAGACGTTTCCACTGGAAAAAAAAAAACTGTTCAAGACAGATACACTTATTGAAATCCTATTACTTAAGCTATATGAGAAATCTGAAAAAGCTTCTGTCCTGGCTAAGTGAAAGAGGTAATCCCCTTGTGCTTTTCTTCAACAAGAGGGTACAAGAGAACAGAAGAAAAAGGTCTCCAACCAGGTGGTGTCGTCCAATCCATTACCTTTAATATCATTTCTGCCTTTTTCATTCCCTTCGCCACCACTTTAGTGTAACTGCAGCCAAGAAATCATGCAACAAATAAACAACTGATGAATTTAGAATATATAAGTGAAGTGTTAAAACTATCTACCATAACAAAGTTCATTTTTTTCTGTGACTGATTACAAACACAACGAGCGAGTACCGAAAACGTTCTGATTGCTCCCTCCCCTTTTAAGCCCCTGGCTCTGAGATGCCCCTTTGACCATTTAACTCCCACAAGTGATTAACAAGTAACTTCTCCCTATAATATCTAAACATTTTCCAGCAAACAGATCATGAGAATATTTATATTTATCAGGTCGAAGTTGTTACCTCGATCTGACACCAAATTCTCGTAACTTATTGATAAGGAAATGCGTAGCAGCTAGATGGGAGAATTAACAATCAGATCTTGGGAGTTAAAGGGTTAAGTCCAGAACTTAAAGTATCTCCCCTACAGATCTCCCTTCCTCCCCCATGTTAGGGCGTTTCTGGTCGTTTAACAGTTGAGTTAAAGGATAAGCTGGATGACTTACCTTGCTGGAGGCTTCCTTTGCACTTTTGAGCCGATTGAGGGAAGATCAAGGAGAGTTGTTTTAAGAGAGTGAGTGTCCAGTAACAGCTGCAGCGTAACAAAAACGAAGAAAACAGCCATTGGCACAAACCTCTTAAAAATATTACAGGATGCTTCAATCAGATCGAATCAACTGGACAAGCAGAGCGAAGTAATTCACAGCCAGAAGCATGAACTGAGGAAAGACTTACGCCCTAAATATCTCCTCGAGAGGAAATAAATAAAAAAAAACTTCCTTAGTACTAAAGCGTTCGTCTTTTTCAAAATGCAGGTACTGTTTAAGGTCTATAACCTGTCAGACGAGGTAGCGTGATGCTTAGCGCGCTGGAATCCGCAAAGGAAGGTTCTGGTTTAAATCCTAGCGGAGTCATTGAGTGAGACACTTCACTTTCAGAGTGCCTATCCCCACCTAGGATTACGAATTAGTACGGGTGACATGCCGGGAAAACCAAAAGAATTGCTTGTGGGTAAGCTGCCCCAATGGAGCGGCATTCCATTCAGCGTCAGTAACAATGTTATCTGTCCCTGGGTTAATCTTCGACAGGGCGGGTCTCTAAGCCTGTTGGCAGACGTCCGTACCTTTCCTTTGAGGGCTTCAAATACTTGCAAAACTCTAAAAACCCGATATAGTAACTTTCACTCTACCTGCTCAGCGCCAACAGTACTAATTGGCTTGCATTTATACAAGTTGCTGATGAACCGTGGAATGAAAGAACTGAGGAAAAAACAAAAAAATTATCTTCTCTCACACACTAGCTCATCATCTTAGCTTTATGAGACTCGACGAACTGTCGGAGCATTTTAACCTTTATCATTCAACACACTTTTCTATAAATAATAATGGCAAATACTTGTATCCGTGAGATAGAGCCACAGTAGCAGCATTGCCTAATCGAAAACAGTCTCGAGTTACTTTCGCCAGCAATAATCAAGATAACCACACATTGCGTTACTTTATTCTGAGAGGACTACTTCATCCTTTTCATTCTTCATCGCAAATTATTCAGGACTGCATTCATTTTGCTTTGGTTTTCAATCACCCAGATGCAAAACTGAAACTTGCAATTGCGACTTATAACCCCAAGGTTCAATTGCTAATCCTTCCCTCTGGCTGCTTAACACGAATATGATGTCAGATAAACTCAACTTTGCAACTGATAAGTTGGAGTATTCACATGATCTGTTAGCAGGATAATGTAAGGATATTACGGGGAGAGGTTCCACGTTAACCACTTCTGGGTGTTAATTTTTAAAAATACCGCGTTTTCTCGCGCTTCGGGCCGGTTCCGTTTTAACTATGAGTTCCCAATGACTCACTTTGATATTCATCATTGTTCTTATTTCCCGTTATGATTACATTGGTTTTAGTTTTACGATAATCAAAATCAAGCTTACTTGACAAACTTTACGCAGAACTGAGTGAAGTATTTTCTTGCTGAGGACAGGTAATCACGTAAAAGAGGTACGGCTTCTTTCAGGTGATTGGAAATGGCTGTCACATAAGAGCTCTCGTCTCCTACAGCCTCTACGCTTTGCCAATTGACCTTTAAGTAAAAAAAAAAAAATTGACGAGTCAATTTTCTCCCAACAACGTGGCCTATGTTTGGTCGATCCGAACTAAGCATACGCTTAGGTGACGTCATAGGTTGTTTTCATTATTTTCTCCAACAAGGACCATGGTTCTGGAAATGTTTACAAGGTTCAGAAAAGGCCACGAGGAAAGTGAGGCAAAAGGTATCCACTGACACCAAAGTAAGAGACCATGGCAACAAAAATCGGAGCAAATCCTCGAAAAATCGAGCCGTGTATCTCTTTTTCATTTAGGGAAGAGTTAAAGATAATTCAACAACTGCAATTCATTTACACTTGATTCGCTGCGGCTCGTAACCGAGAGTTTGGACTTCATCTCAGGTCGATAAATGGACAAACACACAGCAAAGTGGCATCTATTTCTAAAGCTTATAACTTCCTGGTCTTTTTTCTCCTTTTTTTCGCTAATTCTATCTAATGGATTTAACCTTGTCATGTTTATCTCTGATTATTATTAAAATAACTCTAAAAAGTTTTACTGTCAATTTAACTACAAGTAAGAAATGGTGACTGGAAAAGAACCATGAAAGATATGTATTTAGTGCTTCAAATGTTGCCATTTCCTCTGGGGGCCATTTCAGTGATTATTTATGACTCAATACGCGTCACCTGAAGAAGAAAAGAACACTGCACCTTTATCAATGCTGTCAAGGGCGCATCGCAAGCATTCTCCAAGTCTTGTACAAGCAGCTGGATACAGTTCGAAATGACACTGGCGATAAAATAAACGCAATGAGTAGATTTATAACAGATCTCCACTCATATCCCTTTCCTTAAGTCCCATCCTTGTTCCTCCCTTTCTGTAAAGGAAAGGGGACGCAATAGAGTTACCACCCTGTGATGTCATTTACCTCAACCTGAAAACGAGGCCGAGTACAAATTGCTCAACCATACAATGACTCAACAGAAATTTTAGTTTACACTCAGTATACAAAGCAGGTTACTAGTATCTTCGAAAGACAAAATGGAGCTTTACTAAATATTTTATGTGAACAACCGTCGCTTCAAAAGGGAAATTCACCAAGGAATAAAGATGTCCCCCAACCGTATTGTAATTAATTTAGTAAGCACTTAATTTTGCGTAAATGAAAGAGGCATATTCCAGCTTGACAGAAAACTCGTGTTCTAAGGAAAAGAATTTAAAAAACAAATCAATCGGCATGGTTTCAATTTAATTCTTGTAGCCGTATATTCAAAAGAACAATGGCAAGAGAAACTTTCAACGTCATCGTCCGTAATAAAGAACAAGATTATATTTCTACTACACAGTGTTAAAAGCCTCACTAGTACCAGTAACACCGACTCAAATTACCATAAACGTTAAGGGACAATGACTAAATGACAGTGTCAACTTCTCAAAACGGGTTTTTGTTAGAAGGGGGGAATTGAACTTCCTTGAGACGCTCAGGGGTTTCTCATTCAGTACCTCATGCATAACTTTATAGCCACAAGAGGAAACAATTCTTGACCTAGTCTGTAATCAACTTCAGTGGACTTGACACATCCCTAAGCCATACAAGGAGAATTTCTGCGCTCTTGTCTTCCGGTAGTTCATTTTGGCGCCAAAGTCCAAACATCAGAGGGTACATCGGCGTGAAAATAATTAAAAATATAACTTAGGCGTGTTTTCTGCCTTCTACAGGTGCTTTCATTGACTTTCAGTTCTTTAACCAATACACTTTTATCAATTTGACAGTTTAATTTTCTGAAATAAATATTTGCAAGATAGAATTCGGAACTCACAGTTGCTAACTGTTCTGTTTTCAGAAATTAAAGCTAATGTATTGATCAGAAAAGTTCCATAAGAATCACTTTTCGGTAGATACACTTTTCAACAGGAAGTAAGGAATGATAACAAAAAGCAGCGAAGAACATCAATTAACTCTAGACGTGTACCGTTTAATTTATTCAGCAAGGAGCTTGTGCGCCAATTTGTCTTGTTCATTGCTGTTTTTTTACCAGCTGCTTTGAAACTTAATAAACAAACTGCAATCGAATCATGCACAGAGAAGATCATCATCTAGCGTCAACTCCAGAGAACGACTGATCATCAATAGCTATGTCAAACTCGTCCGGAGAAGGAACCCTTGTGAACACAAATCCCTTTGTATCACCTAGCTTTGTTAAATTATTCTCAGCCATTAACATTTTTCTTTCCATCACAGCAATTCTAGGAAATGTCCTCATCCTTCTTGCTCTCCATCGAGTGTCTTCAATTTATCCGCCGACAAAATTCTTCTTCCGATGTCTAGCTATCACGGACCTAAGCGTCGGGCTATTTACACAACCACTCTACATAATCTACATGATCTCTTTGCTAGTAAACGTGGAAAGAACTACTTTTTACGGCAGGTATCTTGAAGCAGTTCGCATAGCTTCAAGTGCACTTTTGTGTGGATTTTCCGTTTTGACGTCAACTGCCATAAGTGTCGACAGACTTCTCGCCCTGTTGTTGAGGCTGAGATACAGGTATGTTATAACCTTGATGCGAGTTCGTCTCACAATGCTTTGTTTTTTGATCATTTGTGCTTTATTCGTCGTTATTTGGGTTTGGAAAACGGAAGTTTTCTTCAAGTTATCCTCTATTATCATAACGCTTTCGTTGGCAACTTCTATTGCATCTTACGTCAAGATCCACTTGTCTATACGACACCAACAGGCACAAATACAAAACCATGTTCCCCAAGCAGAATCGACCACAGGAGGAAGTCCATTCCACATAATAAGATACAAAAAGACAGTGTCTAGTATTTTGTGGGTACAACTGGCCTTAGTTGTGTGTTATGTTCCCTATGTTATTGCGGCAGGGACTGGAGAAGACAACGGACTAGCTTGGTTGGCTGTAACCACCCTCGTCTTTTTAAATTCATCTCTAAACCCGATCTTGTACTGCTGGAGAATCACAGATACAAAGGCAACGTGACGAAAAGCAGTGAAGGATACAATCTAAGTGCAACAAGTTATCCTCTATTATCACTTTCGTTGCAACTTTTATTGCATCTTACGTCAAGAACTAATAGCGACAAGCAGTGGATCGACTGTTGTTAGGATCGAATATTCTTTAAACAGCGTGGAATAGTAACAGGCCCTAAGTGCATCATAATTGCTTTCAACCACGACATTTTCAACCACTGTTGGTTGTTGCGGAGGATTGTCTCTAAGTAAAATAGAATGCGTGAACCGAGAGTTTCGTGTCACTCCTTATGGATCAGTCAGTATTTTCAGCTCAACTAACTGCTAATTTTTCCTAGCAACTACAAGAATGTATAGAACGCCCTAAATTTTTTTCTTGAAAAGGTAATCGCTCACAAAAGAGCTTTGTCAACGAAAATTTATAAGGGAATCAAATCAGCTTATGACCAAGATACAGTTTTCTGTAATTTGAAAATGTCGAGAGAATTCAAAGCTAACTTAGTTCACTGACGAACGAAATTAATTAAATTGAAAATGCTTCCAATACCATGAAACAACTGCACGTGTAGCTATAAAACTGTTTATTAAACAATGTTCTTCCTTCCCTACAGGATGATCCGAATCTGCAGGAAATTTCATTTAAAAAAACCAATTTATTATTTTAAAGAGCTTAAAAGCAATTCAAAATACACCATAATTTCCGTCATTCAGAAATTATAAAAACTGCTTTGTTTGGACCATTGAGCTGTCTGCCAATTTCTGAGAGCAGGTGCAAATTTCTTCAGGCACCTTTCGCATGCACGAATTGAAATGAAAATGCGCCAGTGATATCTTTTATCATAAAAAGGCAAAGTAGTCTTGACATGAATTCGAACGCTCTGATTTCTTTTTTTTTGGGCCGCGATGTTGCCATGTGGACGGGCACCTTGCACGAAAAAAGTCATGAGCCATTTTGTTTTGTTTTGAAAGCCACCGTATTTAAACATGTCAACATTCCAATTCTCCGCAAAGAAATTGCCTGAAAGATTGACAATTTATGGGTTTACAGTAAAGAAATAGAAAACCTCACCACGCGAAATTCATTATCCTCAAGACCTTGTAGCAAAAGATCTTAGAAAATGAAACAGGCATACATAAAAGACAGTTTCCGCAGATAATTTTAAACACAAACACAAAATGTGCAAAAGCAAATAACAAGACGGGAACTGATGTTCCATGGAAATGGTATGCAAATAAAAGAACCAAAAGTCCACCTTTTATCCGACATTCCATGTGATCAAACGACTGGTAATTTTGTTTTAAAACTCGTTACAGCTTACTCCACCTGAGTTGCTCATACGAGTGACCGGAAGTGCATTTTGTTACAAAAAGTTAAAAAAAGCATGGCATGACTGCCGTATGATAAACTACTCACGACCCCAGCACGCTATCAGGCCCGGGGAGTGCGACTCCGCGGTCGTTTTTGTGGGAACCTTCCTGCGCTTGGTCAGCACTGCCGTGATCTCGGGCCAACACTCCCCTCGGATGGTAAAAGGTATGACCGATACTCAGAACCTTTCTTTTCATTTACAATTCAAAGGTGACTAACTTCTCACTTTTCAACACAATTTCCACGCAACGAGAATTTGGTTAATAACTGCTATGTAGCGTCGTGTTTTCGACAAACTAATTGATATACCTGTCAATTTTGAAAGCAAGAGTTTTCTTCATTTCCTTAGGGGTAATTATTGCTCGAATTATGTTATTGAGAGGATGAATAACTTCTATCAATCGTAAAATCAGGTACGCGCCAACAATTGCCTCGAACTAATTGAAACTCCGGATCAATATCAGTATCTGGGCAACTGCCCATCTACCCCTCCCCTAATTCAACTACAGTCAATTGATAACAAGTTAGGGTTAATGTTGGGTTACGGGAGGGGTAGGTGGACAGTTGCCCAGATACTGATATTAATCCGAAACTCCTAAGTCACTACTCCTTTGTAGGATTTGTATAGATTTATAGTACTCAATCGTTTTAACGTAGTTTCCAAGTAGAGAGAATTCTAGCGTTGGCTCACAGGCGGTGTCATATTTCCCGCCACCTAGGTGACATATCTACGTCTCTCGAACGACATATAAATTATCTAACATATGAAGAAAACAAACAGAGTTCAAAATTTAAAGAACTGATGTTAACTTCGTTTATAAATCACGTCACAAGTTACCTTAAAAAAAACAAGGAAATTGCTCAGATTTTCATTTGATTTTTCATAATCCATTAAAAATCGAAAACCGAAATAGACCATTTAGATTAAAAAGCGCGAACAACTTCTGTATCTCTGGCATGTGACTTATGCCGACGCTGTAATTATCAGGTGTTAATGAAAACGGAAAGTCAACTCAGAGAGAAGCTTAATCATTCTCTTAAAACCCTCCATTGAAAATATCGTCGTAAAGTTACGGCAAACAACTTTAATTTCTTAAAGGTCCCAGCAGCTGTATTCATCGAAACTAATATCTTATGTCAACAAACGACCACATTTATACTCTCTGATGAAACTTCTTCAAAATTAATATTGGTCACTGGACAAAAATTAAAAAACGGTCAGCTTGTCTTTACTCGATTTTGTTCTATTTTGGCTGTTGTTGTTGTTTTCCTCTCAGGCAGATTAGCCGTAAACGGGTGACATTCACTTTTTCGGTATTCCTTATGGCGTTTGATTTAACCGATTATTAAACTCGTTTACAGCACCGGACTGCCAATCGGGAGAAGTCGTGTAACAACGTAACGCCGTTTTGTCAGTTAGGACACAAATGATTCATAAACTAAACAAAACATATTAAAAATGTAATACAGTATAAACTCATCGCACAAGGATGACACACCTCGGGTTGGTAAAAATTAAAACTTGAGCATATGCCTCGAGAGTTACATTATCACCTACAAAAAGCTGATAACACTGCAACGAGCCCAACATTTTTACCGCGGAGAACAATGGAAAACTCTTCAGAAAAAGACTTCTTCATAACCATAGTGCGCGAAACTCTTAGATCATCACCAGCAGGCCTGGTTGAATTTCTTTTGTTTCTGAATATTCTTCTTTCCATCAGTGCATTTCTGAGCAATGTTCTGATCCTTTTTTCACTTCGCCAAGTGTCGTCTATTCATCCTCCAACGAAACTCTTCTTTCGATGCCTTGCAGTCACTGACTTTTGCGTTGGGCTCATTGTTCAACCACTCTATGTGTATGTAACCTACACTGCGTTTCGTGTGAAAGATATCAGAGGCGATGTTTTGTATCGTGTCTACAATATTTGTGGGATAATAAGTACGATTTTGTCTGCAGTGTCTGTCTTGACCTCGACTGCCATTAGTGTAGACAGACTCCTTGTGTTGATGTTGGAAATGAGATACAGACATGTTGTAACATTGGGTCGGGTTCGCGGTGTGGTTATCGGTTTTTGGTTACTTGGTGCCTCGACTTTGCCAGTGTGGTTGTGGAGTAAAGAAAACTTCTACAGAGGATCGTCTCTTATCGTACTACTGTGTTTGATAACTTCGACTTCATGCTACGTGAAGATTCATCTAACACTCTGGAAACATCACGCTCAGATAAATGTACAAAACCACTTCCTAGAACAACCGAATGAACGTGGAGGGAGTCCGCTCAACATTGCAAGATATAAAAAAACACTGTCCAGCATTTCATGGGTGCAAGTGGCCTTACTTGTCTGCTATATTCCTTATAGTATCGTAGCTGGGTCTGGAAATACCAACCAGGTTATTTGGTCGGCTACAGCAAGTCTGGTTTTCTTAAACTCGTCTCTTAACCCGATCTTGTACTGCTGGAAGATCAGAGAAGTACGACATGCCGTGAAGGACACAATCAGCCATATAAACTGTTTTTAAAAACCAGCTCTGGGCAAGTATGCTCGAAACATAAAATTTCAAAGTAGGTGTTGCGTTTAACCTAGTTACGATTTGATAATTTTCGACAAAATACAGACGCTACTACTAAGCCTCTAGAACTCACGAGCAAATGACTTACAAAGAAAGGTTGAGCAGTGTTTTTGATAGCATGGCACTTCTATAAAATGCTTTTCCTGTTAATAATGCAATTTCCTACTGTAAGAGTTCTCATATAATTTTGTTCTCTTTATAATCTTCTTGTAGCCATTGGATTGATTTTCAATGGTCGCTGCCATCGCTCGCATCAAACACAAGGGTATTCTGAGAAACTACGATGCTTTGGGTGTTTTTTTGTTATCTCGGCTTAATCAAAGTAATTACAATATTCAATCACAGGAGAGGAAAATAAATCACAAAGAGCACGGGACAGCGCAGAGTAAAAAATAATCAAATACTAGAAGTGCGGGAAAACGCGAGTGACCAAATCGCGAATGGTCTTAGTTTTTATTCTAATTAGTTGAGTGGATGGCGTGAGTTTTCTGAACCAATCACTGACTATTTTCGAGACTCAAATGGAAAACTTCCCTATTAGGTTCAATATCGCTAAGTACAGTGGTTCTTGTATGATCACCACGACTACCGGTCATGTTTTTTGGCGATAGTAACCAGGTTTGACTAAATGATTTTTCCGATAAAAGTTAAATAAAAGTTTCCGTAACGAAAAAAGAAAAAATCTACTTGAAGGTGACATGGCTTACATTTTCATGATAAGACAACTGTTCAGTAAATTCATAAAAGAAATAGTAAGTAGAAAATGTTAACTAAGGTGTCCTCACAACATATTTTGACATATGGAAACATGGATTTCAAAGACGTGAATGGTGAAATGATCCACACCTAACAACAGTTCATTAATAACAAAATAGCAGGTGGACAGCAGCACATAATTATAAATAAAATAATTAACTTTGACAGCTTTTGAACTGAAAGTGTTAAACAAGCGATATTTAACAACAACCATGGATACCAAATTCTTAAGATCTCTCATCTTCCCACTTCCTCCGAACGAAGTTCGAGAAAACCTTTGTTTACACTGCATGCCTTTCTGATTTTCAATTCAAGAACATATTTTTTATTGCGCGATTACTTAAGAATTTCCACTGGATATGCTGCACAAAAGGAGCTGAATGATTTGACAGAGTCATTCAATTCCCAGCAGGTGTTTTTTCTCATCACTGTTCAAACAACAACCTGTCATCTTTTTTTTGCCAAACGACGGTTTTAAAATCAATACTTGTGAAATTAAGCCTTGAGTTCTTACACGATACTCACGGAAACCAGCTGTTAAAAGGTAACATTTACCGTTATTTAAACGGAATTTCGGCACATTACATACAGTCGCCCATTTAAAGGGCACCTTTGCTCGTTCTCTCACCGAGCATGCGCGATAGAATCACATGATTTAATACCCATATAACTTGTGTTTCCTTTTTATCATCAAACCACACCAACAGTCGACTGATATCTCATGGGGAAAACAAACGAATTCATGAAACATCAAGTACATAGACCCCAAAAAACCTAGATACCAAACAGTGCATCAACTAGCTTAACACTGAAATTTGGAAATTAAGATTTCACGAACAATCACCGACATCAAGAAATTCCTCGCACCAACTAAAACTTAGAATAATCATCTAACACAATGTCGAACTCAGTTGAAGACAACAACTTCGAAAGCGGACTAATTGAAGCGCTACAAACATTACCAAAAGGTATTGTTGATTTGTTTTCAGCCTTGAATATCATTCTCGCGACTTTCGCTTTCCTGGGTAACATTCTTGTCATCATTGCTCTTTGCCGAGTATTATCCATTGCTCCATCGACGAAACTCTTTTTCCGATGCCTGGCAGTCAGTGATCTTTGTGTGGGCATCATCGTTCAACCGATTTACATCTATGCCACAATCGTTATGTCGAGTGGGAAAACAGTGACATTTTTCAAAGTTGGCGGTGTACTAAGCGCGGTTTTGTGCGGGGTATCTGTCATGACTTCAACTGCTGTAAGCGTGGACAGACTGTTAGCCCTGCATTTGGGGATAAGATACAGACATGTTGTATCATCAAAGCGAGTTCGCCTTGTTATTGTCAGTTTTTGGGCCAGTTCGATTTTATCGGCACCACTTTGGGTGTGGAAAAGAGACATTGCCTTTAAGCAAGCCTCTGTGGCGATCCTAATTTGTTTTGTGGCTTCAATAGTCTCATACGCCAAGATTCAATCGAAACTACGAAAACATCAAGGGCAAATTGAAAACCATGTTACCGGAACAAAACCGAGCGGGGAAGGGAACTCATTCGATGTAGCCAAATACAAAAAGACAGTGTCTAGCATAGTGTTGATGCAATTGGCATTAGTTTTCTGCTACCTGCCTTTTGGGGTTGTATCTGGGATTGGAATAAACAACGGAGTAGATTGGTTAGCTGCAATAACATTGCTTTACTTTAACTCATCTCTAAATCCGATCCTCTACTGCTGGAGGATAAGACAAGTGCGACATGCAGTCAAGGACATATTCAAGCAGCTGTACTGTTGTTAAACAAATGCGAGTCGATGGGCGCAAAGATAGAAACAGTGTGAAATGGAAGAGGATGGCAAAGAAGAAGACTTTATGATAGAAATAGACAAGGAAGAAAGAGGAAAGATTACTTCACATAGAGAATAGGGATAGGGAATAGGGAATAGGTGATGTGTACACTATTCATGATTAGAGATAAACGAAAAACGTGGCGAGGTAAATACTGTGAATATACTGTTATTTGGAACTGTTTTTGCTTCTAGAAATCTCCAGTCTGCTGAGTCAAGCTGACTTGCATACCGTAGAACTTTCCACAACATTTCATTCCGTCACACATTTATTATGTAATAATACTAGAATAGTTGTTATATAAGCTTCTGGAATGTTCCACAACATTTTGTGAATGGAGCGACGAATGTTTTGAAAGTTATACCAAGAGAGAATCACCGCGGAAGGCCGCTTATTTTGAAGAACTTTGGAGAGATTGTGTCGGTGGTGAGCTAGGATATAGAATTTGCTGGGCTTAATTAAGTTTATTAACGATGAGTATTGTACTATGTTTAAGAGTCGCTCCTTGTTTAGAACATTACTCGCTGTTCAATAAAGTAGTTGATTTTGTAAGATCGTTTTTCTGTCGGTTAAATTATACCGTAACAATACAGTATAGTTTCAAACTGAAGGCGATACACACTTCGAATGATCTCGAACTTTAGGCTGCGTCCGGTCGACTTACGACGAAGTGTAGATGTCATTCTACCCTGGATACTTTGAGTCCCCAGTATCAGGAAAATTTTGTGAACTTAACTCAAAGCAAACCGGTAAATTTGAAAGGAAATGTTTACTTTGCGATTTGACATATCGCACAGAAACTGTAATAGAGGAAAATGCAGGCACGAGTTGCCCTTTGCAACCAACCTTTGCAACACCTCGTGTCAGTTTATCCGCGCTTTGTGCGTTTTGTATATTAACCTCTCTACTTTGTTTGGTATCACATTATGGCAAGTTACTGACGCGAGTTATTCCACAAAAAATGAACGCGCTCGCCGGCCTTACGCCGGCTGTCGTCGTAATAGCAACGCTGCCAAAAATGTAAACCCGAAGATAAACAAGTTGGGACTAATGAATTTATGAGAAAATGACGAATCATTCTGACTCATGCCCAGTCGTCTCCAAAACGTCCGCGTTTCTATAGTGGGGAGATAGGGGTGATGGTAAGGCGGACGAGAACACTCTTCATCTCTCACACTTTCCCTTCCAATCATACTTTGCGCCCCCAACATGCCCGCGAAAGTTGCCACAGCTTTGAAAATTTCTGGAAACGCGACACTTAATCACTTCCGGTATGTTGACGACATACTTTCCTACGGTGTAAATATTAAGAATGATTGCGAAATAATTTTGGTCATATATTGATTTCTAATCCCCGACCAGAGATGCTTGTCTCCGGTTTTTTCTGCAGTATATCGTCCCCAAAATTCCAACATTTTTTCACGACTGCCAACAAGAAAATAGTACACTAAAATACAACCATGCATGAACAGTTGTGTGTGACTGATGAGCAGATACAACGGTGTAAATTCATCAACACAATATATTTCAACATCGCCAAACAAACGTCTGTAAAAAGAGTGAAAATATAATCTCCTTTTGTTGCGCAAGCTTCCGTCTTTAATTATTTTTCAACTTAAAATATATTGCCATAGTTTACAATGGCGACGTTTCTTAAGATTACTTTTCTTAGTAATATGATGTTTGTTCAAACATAAAAGCATAATTAAGGGGGGCTATGTCACGAGTCACGATGTCATACCGCAAAAATGAACTACTTCCGACAGTCGTTAAATCTACTCTTCATAGCCGAGACGAAACGCGGTATCATAGCAGCCACGAAGTATTTTTGCACAAGAATTTGGCAGTTTTTATTGTATAAATTACTCGATAGTCATCTTTTGAAAGTTGATCTTAGGTTTCAAAAAGTTTAGCATAAGGTGATTGGTAATCACTTCCGTTTATCGTGTGTCCATTATTTAGGCAGCACGGAAAGATTCGCAGTTTTGTAAATTTGCAGTGAGCACTAACAATTGGCAAACTATACAAATCGACCTAAAATTAACTATTCCCTCGTATAGCTATTGTATAGTTCGATTTAAAAAAAAGTTCACTAAAAATCGCAACAGCTATTACAACAAACTGTCTTAGGCAAATGACATGTCCATCACCTTTCAACTAAAAAGACTTTATTAATTAAACAAAAAAAGAGGCAAAAATGTCTAAAGATTAGGTTGTCTATCAATGGCATGACGAATTAATTCTACCCCTTAAAGCAGAAAAACTCATTTGTTCACTTCCTATGAACAATGGCAGACTCTAATATAGAGGGAAACACTACCAGAACATTCAACGATGCTATTAATGCATCTCAAGCAAAGTTGGTTGAAATTTTCGCGGGCTTGAGTATTTTTCTCGCTATCTCTTCATCTGTCGGTAACTTTGTGATTCTCAGCGCTCTTTATCGAGTGTCGTCCATCTATCCTCCAACAAAACTATTCTTTCGATGCCTGGCAGCTACCGACCTCTGTGTTGGCCTTATAGTGCAGCCACTCTATACAACGTCTATCATGTCTTATGCAATGGAGATGAACGAGAATGTTTCGTATTACACTGGTAAGATCTGTGCGACGTCAAGTACAATTTTGTGCGGAGTATCTTTGTTAACAACGACTGTGATAAGTGTGGACAGACTTCTTGCGCTGTTGTTGGGATTGAGATACAGAACTTTTGTAACACTTAGGCGAGCTCGCTTTGTCATAACCTGTATTTGGGTTATGATGGCTACAATTGCCATGATTGGGTTGTGGAAAGCGGATGTCTTCAACAAAGTGACCTCAGTCATGACAGTGCTTTCACTGATTACTTCGATGTCCTCTTATGCAAAAATTTACCTGACCCTAAGAAAGCATCAAACTCAAATACAAAAGGACTCCACCCATGGACAACCATACGTAGTAGGATTTGCAGTGAACATAGCAAGGTACAGAAAAACAGTGTCCAGCATTTTGTGGGTGCAGCTAGCGTTACTTGCCTGCTATGCCCCTTATGGCATTGTGGCTGGAATGAAAATAAACACTTTAGCGTGCTATTTGGTTTCGTCCGCTCTAGTCCACTTCAACTCAACTCTAAACCCGATCCTGTACTGCTGGAAGATCAGAGAAGTGAGAAAAGCAGTGAAGGATACGATCCAACAGCTACACAGTTGTTAAAAAGAACACTGTGGATCGATACTTGGTTGAGATGCAAAAGTTTTGGAGGAGTGTGGTATAGAAACAAGCCCTAAGTACAATAAGAGATTAGACCATCCTCGCTGCTGCTGGGGAGCATAGGGCGTGGATCGTGGATCGTGGATCTTCAAAGGAATCTGTTTTCGGCTGTTCCTCAAGTGATGTTATTTTTGTTTTTTTCGTCTTGGACAGTGCGCTCCTCCAAGACTGCTTTGGACGGCCTCTTTTTCTGGAACCCAGAGGCCGTCGGATATTCAGAATCTTCCGTAAACACTTACTGATGAAGGTACTTTAGTACAATAAAACTGCTGTCAAATATGACATTCTACTCTCATGTTGACCCTTGCACAAATCAACTTCGAGTGGTAACTCAAATCCTCGAGTCTCATAACAAAAAAAACAAGGATTGCAAAAACCAAAAAAATTTACTTTCCGCTGTATCTTCTTTTGGATTGGTTTGAACATTGCCAAAAAAACTTCACAAGGCTTATTGATTGCTGCGTTTTCGAGAAATGACGTTACTTTAAACCCCTTTTCCTCAGCAGTATTCAGCCTCTTTCTTTTCGCGCAACAAAGAGCGCGCAAAAAGTCAGTAACAGTACATCAGAAAGATGAAAGGAAGTGGCTTGAAGTGTCTTCCACCCCCAATTTTCTAACACAAAAGTACGGTCTTCGTCTTGTGGATTCATTACATCGCATTCAGGCAATTGACGGTTACCATTACGTCCAAGTTATTCGGACGATGTGCTACTTGGCTCGAGAGCAATTTAGATTTGTGAAATGAACAATTCAAACAGGTCTGAAAATCAGGTGTAAAAATTTTAGGCCACTAACCTATGGAATACATCTTGTTCCCCATTGAGGTCAATTTTCTCCGCCAATTCAGGATCAACTTTCTCCTTTAACTTCTCCTCTAACTATAGAGAATGGAAACTGCATTTGAATCAAGTACTAGATGGTGTTGAAAGAATCCGAGAAGGCTTTGAGTTTACACCCTGGCCGAAAGTTGTTGCTACTGAAAGGTAAGTACTCGCCCTTTACACAACCGATGAGATGAAAAACCAAACTGAATCTTGGAGAAGCATAAAACACCTCAGCTCTACAAAATCTACGATACAATGCAGGTACTAGTCACCCATTTAAGACAGAAGAGCAGAGTAGTTAAGAGAGAGAGAGTGACTTTTTAAAGCTGAAAAATATTTAATGAAGATGAACCCTTAAAGTATCTGGGAATAGTCGCGGTATTATCTGAAATAGAGACAGAATTTCACCTGTTGAGTTGTTTCCAGACAATAATCAGCTGTACAAAGAATACAACAAGTCAAACTTTGCTCTTCTTTGCTGAATTTCACTTCACCAGAATCCTTCAAGATGCTAGCCAAGCCACCTGTGCTCCTAAGGAGGGAGAGCAAAGAGTATTTATTATAAGAAACACTTTTTATTATTTTTTTTAACTAAGATTACTCTGCGATCGAGTATCATAACACAAAGCAAACGTTATAACAACAAACAAGCAGAGTAAAGGTAGATTTCACAAAGAACCAATAAGAACTGAAAAAACGAGTGACCAGATCACTAAAAGTAGCAGAGTCAGTACATCAATACTTATGCAAAGACACGTTACTTTCGACATAAAATTGCTTTATCTTTTCACGTTTGAGGTTAATTTTGAAGATTTTATAAACGATTGCAAGATGCTGGTAATCGGACAAGTGAAATCAGCCAGTTTGAACCTACAACAGCCAATTAAACTTCAACTATTAGCTTTTCTGAATCAATCACTGAAATTCATGAATTTCTTTTGGTGTAATTGAGCCATTGGTGCTTAAAATCAACATATAACATTTAAAAATGTAACCATTTCTGTCAATAAAATTATATACCATAATACATGTAACTCCGAATACACCTTGCTAAATGTGTTGGTCTTCCCTTTTTTCCAAAGCTACTACACCAAAATATATCAAATAATAAAGTTTGAACTTTGACAACCCAGACCAACACTCACTTTACAGGGAGATGGTTATTGAGTACTCTGGTAGCATACTCTCTGAGAAACTTCTGGAATGCCGCAGTGAGCGAGAGCAGCGGGGGCCCGGTGCTCAGCTGTGAGCACTGTACCATGCACTTTTTGTAGAACACAAATAGTTCACCAGCGCTGGGAAATACAACGTTACTTCCATCACCTTCTACCATGGGGATTCCCTGAGACTTGAAATCTTGAACAAACCTGTCCATCAATTCTGATAGGTTTCTGTTGAGGAATGAGAGTAGTGTTCAGTTCTTCTAGTCTAAAAAGTAGTCAGTACCATCTAAAACCTACACCAATTACGCTTTTGTCAGGCGGCGTTTTCCTGCGCTGCTGCCCAACCAGTTAGCTTGTCACGTTGAGTTCTCCTAAGCTCCATCGATCGTTTCCTTTGTCCTAACTGGCCATTGTGATCATTTTGGCTTTGTGTTTAATAATCCTTAGTTTCAAACCCTTTATGAATGGACGACAGTTAAGACAAGGAAGGTTTCCAAGGCTTGTCCAAACTAGTGACTGAAGATTTCCCCATACAATAATCTTAACAATCTTACTTGTCTTGTGATTCTATATAAATATGAAGATGTGGCTCAAAACATCTTGAGATAATTCCTAAGAACTTGGACTGTTTTGGCTGAAAGAGGAAAAAAGTACAGAATACAACATTTTTTTCAATCTTTGCATTTAGCTGCAGTCTGATTACGTGGGCACTTAATTTGTCTGAAAGGCAAACACCAAGGATTCTTTAATAAATTCTGGACACCAAGGACTTTCTGTGTAAAAACTATGTAGGTTTTTGTTATTGTCAAGACACAACTCACAATGATTTGCCACCAAAAAAACATTCTCTAATCATTTGAAAATGATTCTCGAGGGAAAATGGTCAAAAAGGAACAAAATTAGGCAGATTTTGGAATTTTCAGCAGCTAGTTATAGTACTTAGTTCACTGACAATTCTTGCTCCAGAATAAAGGAAAACCAGTCACAGGCTGCTTGGCTAACTTGTAAATAAATCGTGTACCATCTTAGAAATTTATGAGTTGCTCAAATGTCACATCAACACCTACATAATTTATATACCATTTTGGAATCATGATACAAACCTTGTCTCCTTTCTCCTTTGATTCTCCTTTCTCCTAAAAAACAAAATGGAGAAGAGACTGTAAAATAGGAAAAAAAAACCTCCATAAAGTTTATTGTTGGTTCATACAATGTAAAAAAGCATTTGCAGTCAATTCCTTATCTAACACCTTTCTCTCACTCAAAGTCTCTGGGAGTAAATTCCAAGTTTCTATGCAAACATCAGCTGATAATGTGGTTGTTAGCATCATTGCTTTCGAAAATCAGTCACATCTGATTTAATTTGTGGTTTAACTTTAGACCAACTAGGCCACAGTGAATTCCTCTGGCCAAATATATCCTAGGTTAACATGCGAAAAACAACCTGCAACCTGCATCCTATGAACAAACTCTTCATACATTTTTTCTTGTCTTTTATAAATTAAGAAAGATGGTAAATTTACACTTAAAAAGGAAGATATCACACATTTGTGACAGGGAAGCAAAAACGTAGCAATCACAAAGGAGAAATGAATCAAGTACAATGCATTAAACCAATAATAAAAACTGTTCAACAGAATCAATGGCAGTAAACTTTGTTACCTCATAGCCATGCTGAACAAACCTCTGAGCCAATAAACTTTCAAAGGTTGTTGTTCTTTGGATGGCAAACAAAAGCAGCTTGACATCAAGTTCTTGAACTCTTGCTGTCATAATTTTTGACAAATCTTTTCTGTGGGTCAACAAAGTACATCAAAGTAAAAAACTTACTTCTTCCCAAATGTATTCACCATAGCAATAAACCACTACCATTCAAGATATCTCATTTTTTATAACCCTAACAATTTGATGAAGATATTACTATATACTGGTAATTACACACAATTCATGGTTATCATTCTGTCACCTATAAAATATAACACTGCAGTGTAATGAATCAGTATTTTTTGCATTAAGAGAGCTTTTGTAGCATTACCTTTATAAAGTAACACATTCCTTAAAAAAATTTGGAGTAAAACATTTCATTGAGAGATGACAGACATTTTTAAATAAAGAACTTTTCCAAAGATGCTTATCAGTGAAAAAGTGCAGATTTTCTTATATCCCTTAAATAATTTTACTGTAGAGGAATAAATTAATGATACATCCACATACAATAAATTTAAACTTTGGAACAATTTTCCATAGGGCATGGGAAGTAATCAAGGCTTACAATGGTCTTGCTTTACTTTGCTCTGTGATTAGTCCATAAAACTTGCACCATCCTCCCAAACAAACACATTCAAAGCCAAAACCAATCCTGACTTTGTTACACATGTTTGACCAGTCTGTTTACCTTTATCTCAATTCTCATTAGCTCATTTTCATATTATTTTCCTTGCATGTGATTGGCCACATGTCTTGGTTTCAGTTTTCCAAAACTCAATTGAAATGTGCTCTATCACTAAGGGTGGGATAATGTAATGTTTGTTCAGTCATACTTGGTTATTTTACAAAATTCTTCACTGATTCTCTCCTCCACATGCCATTCAAGCGGAAATGTCCCTTGAAAGTCTTCATCAAACTTCACAAGAGCTCTCTTCAACCAGGAATACCGGCGGTCAATTTTATCAAGCCAAGAAACCTGGGTGCAGAAACAAAAACATGAGAATAGATCAGAGGATAATTTCAGTTCAATGAGTTGTAAAGTAAATTCAAATGCAAATGAACACATATTCTAAAAACACCAAGGGATGACTAACAAAAGTCAACATGGGATTCTCATTTTCATTTTAACCCCTTAACTCCCAAGATCTGACTGTTAATTCTTCTCTCTAGCTGCTGCACATTCCTTCGTTGATTAGTTATAAAGGTTTGGTGTTATATTCAAGATAACAAATGCACCTGATAATTTTAAGTATTCTCATACCCTGCTTAATAACATTTATTACACCCATTTTGAAATCACTTGTGGTCCCTGTAATCTGATTGGCTCTAATTGATGCGATTTATTCACAAATTGCACCATTTTTTTCCTTTAAATCGCATCTTTTTCCCAGCCAATGAGCAGGCTACACTAAAAACAAAACAGCAAATCAGATTTGAAGGCTTGTTCAAAGTAACCGATCAAATTGCAGAAAAATGAAAGACAAAGAGTATCATGTGGCAAATTTTGCAACTTTTGTCGACAGTTGACCAACTCTTACTTTTTCCACCCCAGAAAATAGATGAATTTAATTTCAGACCGGCTCAGCACTGCATCAATAAAATATTTTAACTGACCAAGTCCTGTGTTTGGGCGATTTCAAAATAGATGTAATAAAGTGGTAATTGAATTTCGTGTCGTGCAATTTTGGTCTGAAATCATGCTTGTGATTTCAAATCGAACTCGCGCTGCGCGCTCATTCGATTTTGAAATCACGCGTATGATTTCAGCCCAAATTGCACTCCTCTCAGTTCAATTACCATTATTAATAACACTATTATAGAGAGAAGTTACAAGCTAATCACTCCTGGAAGTTACCAAAATAAAACCTAAAGCTGCTACTATGTACCTCAAATGACTCATTGAAAAGCTGTTGATACTCTGCTAATTGGAGTTTGACAAACCAGGAGAGCAACTCATTCCTGTGAAGTGATTAATAATAAAGTCAATCGGACGTCACAATATAATCAAAAGTTAACTAGGAGTATCAAAATATCTAGAAACAAAAATGGCAGCTACCTTGTAAGTTTTCACCAAAACTCTGCTCACTTAAATAAGCATTTGTTTTCTTTTCACATAATGTATGAAGGTAATGATCAGTGTTTAATTTTTTAAAACAACAAAACTTCTGATTCTGCACTCTTCTGCAGACAGGCAATCATAAAGAACTCCTTCTTTATTTTTTTCTATTTAACTGTTCAATTTTTTATTTCAATTTCATTTTTTAAATTTTACCAACAAGAAAACTTAAATGATTTTTCATCAGAAATATTTTCAATTAATAATGGTAATAGGACTTTGTGGTGTCCAATTTGGTCTGTAATCACAAGAGTGTTTAAAAAAATCAAACGACCACAAAACTGGAGTCCGTTTTGTTAATTATGAGTATGATTACACTGACAGAACTGGGCGACACCAAGTCCCGTTACCGATCAATCAAAACTTTGACAAAATTTGAGGAAGAAACTAGACATTGGTTGCACATTTTCATAAAAAAACAACAACAGTTAACTCGGCAAAATGCCTGACAGCAGAGTGTGCACATGACATGTACTGTCCACTTACAAAGGCATGACATGTTTTCTGTCCTATTACTCTGTCTACTTACAAGCATGGTGCATTCACTTTCCTATTAGTGCTCAAATTGAGCAGGTGAACATTCTAAAATTTTGTTATAGTTTTGATTATATTTTAAAAAAAAGGCCACTTACTTTACTTTAGGATCCAATACATTTACCACTTGACAAGCCTCAGCTAATTGTGAATTAGGTCCTGATGGCGGCTGCCGACAATTACAATTGAAAAATTTGTTCAGGTGTACTAAAATGCTTATCAACTATAGCAGTTACTTATTAATGCAGTACAAATACCACACCAGTATCTGCCTGGTTTGGTTCCAATGCCCATCAAAAACTGAATTTTTTGACTACAGACTTGTTCATCCAACATAACTTTAATAACACTAGACGTGTGAAGTTCTATTTGTCCCTTTGTCAATTTGTCACACCTGTTTTAATTTATAAATGTTACTGATGCCACATGTATATGAAGAAGTTACTAGGAATAACCACTTGTGAGAATTAAAAGCAGTAATGATATATTTTTGACATAGAAAGGGAATGGAACAAAATTCTGATGTTACACATAACTGAAAAGTTAATAAACATACCTTAATCCCTTTCACAGATAAGACCTCTTCAAAATCTGCCAATATCTGAGTACCAAGTTCACTTTGTATTTTTTTCACCCTAACATTTAAGAGTTACACAATTAGAAAGATCACAAAAGGTCCACAAACCCATTATTTGCCATGGGAGTTTGATGCATTGGTACTACAATTGAGTATGCACTGACAGATATGTTGTAAACCTAAGCAAATGTCTGGTCAAAATAATACAGTATTTTTTCCTGTCTGATTCAACATTATTCTTTTGTTTCATTACCAAATTACCTGGGTCCCTAAACAAAGAAAAATAATGTTAAATGAAACTATTTTGTGATCAATTCAGCCTGGAAACACTTTAAACTAAAACACATAACATGTAACAGTAAGTTTGAATTTTAATTCAGGTCAAAATAATTTCATACTACAGCATTTCCTTCGTTTAAGGATTATGATGATGTACCTATTGCAACAGGGGAATCACATCAAAACAGTTTAAATTAAAATAAATGATCTGAAATTCATACTATATTAGATAATAAGCTGAATTATAGATGCATTTTGAATAGTTTTACTTATGATTCATTATGAGGACAGATGCATATATGAGACCACCATTCACAACATTTTGTTTTTTCATAATATATTAAAAGTAAATTCTATGTTGGGAAAATGCAATCTCTCAAGGTACTTGCAACCAACCATCTGTAGCAACGTTTTCTCTTTGTCTCTCACTTACTTGTCTGCCAGTTCCCGTATTTGTGCAATCCCAAAGTACTTTTTGAAATGTTCCAAAACATTGACAACTCCTTGTAACAGATTGGCTACCTCTCCATACTGTCTCTTTCTGGTCAAAGTCCTAGGATATAAAAAACTACTATAAACTTCCTCTTCCAACTTAATAATGTCACATGGACCTTACAGTATAAATCATCCAAACTAAACAAGGTAGTAGATTTTCTGAAGTTATAAAGGCTTTCCTGCATGAGCCTTGTTTCCATGCTGAACTCCATACATCAGAATTTTTAACCCACATAAATCTTGGCGTGGTAAGTTGCTAAATTGCTAAATTTCCACCTTAACCCTTAAACTCCCATGAGTGACCAAGACAGAATTTCTCCTTTCAAGAACTACACAATATCAAGCAGACAAGCAGTAAGAACTAAAAAAAATATCAATAAGGGGAGTACCAGTTGATCCAATAATAAATTCTCTGAAGAAACATCATAACAATATTTAGTAGACAGCAGTACAAATTTCTAAAGGGTTTGGTTTTTATTTCATTAATGTCCTGCTGAACATTTCTTTACAAGTAACCTTCTCCCTGAAATAGATGTAAATTCTCTCTTGACCTGCTGACACAGACACAGGAAGCTGTATGCAGAACTGAAAGTGTTAAATCTTTGCAGCATTTTATTTTTGGGATTGAGGACAATCTGTCAAATCTGGAAAACTTGAGATGATACAAAGTATTCCAGGAGGAACCAACCAGCTACTGACAAATTATATCCTGTGTAAGTTTGATCAAATCAATTAACTTACACAAGAGAGTCAACTCCACCAACAAGCATATGGAGATGATTAAGAGTAGTAATGGAGCTTGTCAAATGTCGCTTTGCATGATCCAGCTGCTTGATATCTCTTGTGATTTCTTTCACCTAAAAAACAGTCATTTTATGGCAAAGTTGTAGCTATGTACATTTTTAAAGTATCATCAATGATAGCATTCAGGGATAGGAACATGAACACAAAGACAATGAAATACAAATTTATAATGCCAAGTTTGGTTTTTGCTTTAGTTAAACGACATTGACACACCGAGCAAAACAGCCTTTTATGCAGTTTCAATTTTTAGATATCCTTCTAGTAACTTGATACAAATTAAATTTTAAATGTATTGTTAGTTTTAATATGATGTAATCATATTTGTATTTTGATACAAGGCTCCTACGAATACCAGCCTTTGAGCTGAATGGGCTACCCTGTCTAAATAAAGTTTTACTTGCTTACTAACTTGGAAATTTAGGTTGTGATAGATACAACAAAGGATGAGATATCATACTAACAAAATTAACATCAGTCTCTCTTCTTTTGATTCTTTAATAAGACTCTTGTACAATTAAATAGTAAAACACCAACATAGAGTAAATACTGCAGCTGTTCTTCAACAGAACAACCAATTCTCCTAAGTTCTTTACTCTACACTTGTTACACGTATTTGTCTCTAACTGAACCAAATAGTACTCGCACAAGAATACAATACAAAGACTTGGCTGGCAAAGTGGAAATCACTCCATCTGGCACTACAATGTATAATATGATATGCAGGGGCGGAGGGGGAGGTGGAGGAAGATAATGATCAGCTCACCATTTGTTCTGATTTATCAGCTTTTTCTTTGATGTCGATTATTTTTGCAAACAACTGTTGAATTGCTTGTTGAGCTTCATCAAGTGCCTGGTATAAGAAAAAAAATATCCTGTCAAAGGTTGCTGAACAAGTAATTAAGGGGTGTGAGTTATGTCATGCAATTACAAATGTGGTTGGCATTTTGAACGGCTTCGGCGACTGATATGCATAATTCGAGTAAATTGGCAGCTTTATTGTTAAAAAGAGGACTCCAAATCCAAGCAAGTAAAAAGTTGAAAAATTTGTGGAGCGGCTTCAATTCATCTTCGAATACCTTATTGTTACTTTATTTTCACAGGACTTAATTTTTGCAGTTGTCAAAATCATGACATTAAAGACCCACGTAAAAGGTTTTCGCAAAAAAAATAATCATACAAAGTTTGCTCCCTGCTGTTTGATTCTTTAACCAATGTCAATATCAGTTTATTACATCATCATCTTGTCCATGTCTTTTTTAAATTTCAATTTCAGCTTCTAAATCCTTCCTCTAAATCAAACTCAACATCTTGCTGCAGTTCTTGTAAGATACACCATGCCTAGTTTTCAAACAATCCTTTCCTATCAGTATAATAATAATGATACGGTTTTGTTCACTGTCATTGGAAATTATTGTTATGGAAAATTCATATCCATTGTGGTCATTTTGAGACTACCTGTCTGTTAATGCAGATCAGTGTTTTGACAATTTTCACACAATTTAGTTCCTTTTAAGACACATTCGTAGCCAAATCACAAATATAAATTGCCACAAAACATGTTCATTCCATTTTTGCCAAGTTAAGTTCCCACAAAAATATGTAACAGTAAAGGACACATATTAATTTGTGGAAATCACTCAGCTGTAAGCAAATTGTGTTCTCTAATAATTATCATATGCAAGGACAAAACATTCTGAACTACTCTGACGATCTTCCACATGTAATTTTGATGAAGTCAACAAAATGACTTTATGCCACCAATCACATGGCATAATTGATGACCATTTCGCTTTCTTTCGCATTTATACCTTTTAAAGGATGGTTGATTTACACAGCATCAGTAGCATAAAGAAATTAGTGTACTCTTTTGATAATACACAGCTTTACTCAGTAATACCTCATTCTCATCTGTGATAAGAGAACTTAAGCAAATCAACGACAACAGCACCAAGGATGTGGCAAAAGAAAAGATATAGCGAGCACAACAATAGCTTAGCATTTGCATTTTAAAACTTTTTATATTTACCAGCTGTCCTCTACAAAACAATTATAATACAAAATTTGCACTGTCTGAGAACGGAAGCCCCAGACCGCAAATTATTTAAAATTCCATTTTGAAAAAAAGAGGTGTAGTGTTGTACGAGACAGCAAATATGTTTAGCCATTTGCGAAATTCTAACTACATGTAAAAATATAAATTCATCTCCTTGATCAACATCTTCCTTGACGTTGCTCTCCCAACTGCTTAAAGTCCCTATTATCTACATGGGATATCCATAAGGTAAAAAAAAAAGCTCTTCCATAGCAAGCCAAAGGCAAATTATTCACAAACTGTTTTGCATAACCTCCCAGCCTCTCAGGTGTGTAACAAAAGAGCTACATAACTACAAAGATTCTATTCCTTTAACTCTCTCTTTGTGATCAAGTCTTTCATTCTCATGAGCCTAATGTTTGGTTCAGATGTGAGCCCTCAATGAAAAATTAGACCCTAGTCACTTTCTTACCATGTAACACCTTCAAGGGTTGGTAAATTTACAAAATATGGCACTGCTCAAAAGTACGAGGAAGGTGCTCTAAATTCAATCCTTTATTTTCAATATTTGGTTCTGAATAGTTTGGAGGATGAAGGCTAAGTCTAGTTTTGAGGCATTAAAAAACATTTGAGAAATTGTTAGGCGAATTCAGAGAAACTTTCAAGTCAATAAGCAACTTTGAATTGAATGGCACATATATCATTTACCAACACAATTCAAACCAATCAGATCATATAAGGAATCTTGGTTGATTAATATCATCTGCAGATCTAAATATTACTGTTTCTTACTTGTCTTCCTTCATGGCCAATGTTAGTCTGTCCTCGGACAACTGTTCTAATTTCTTCATCAAGACCCCTGATAATCATAAAGTCATATTCATAAACTTACCAATTACAGAAGACAAAATCATTACATTAACTCTCTATACACAAGAACATTGTGAATAGCATTAGCATTCCAAGTTGCAACAAGTTTGGTTGACCCCTTCACAAGGAAACAAACTGTGGCTGCCAAATTTCCGATGCTAGTCACCAATTTTGCAACTTGTGACTGGCAGCTATGTAGAAATTCACTCATTCATGGGAGTGAAAGGGTTAGATGGTATGTATCTTATTGAATCCAAACCAATCAACAACCCACATCAATGAATAAAATTTCAGAGTCATGTTCCTTAAACCAAACCAAATCCACAACAATACAAAATATAAGAAAGTTTGTGCAGCATTTGGAAATAATAAACATTAAAAAGTACCCTGAGCTTTTCATGTGGCCCTACCTGATTCTTAGTCTCATCTTATTAACAACATCATCTATATTGGCAAGGGACTAGAATGAAAAATAAAATTAATACTACACAAAACTTGATTAACACTACATGTATACCCTTTTTCAGAAACAAATTTTGAGGACATTTCCAGCACTTCCAAGAATCCAAATTTCACCTTAAACCCTTTCACTGCCAAGATTTTGAAATAAATTCTCCAAACAGTCTACATACATTTCATGTGATGTAAATTCTGAAAACATAATCGCTTGATTAATGCAGATTTCCAGGACTTTCCAAAACCCTTTGTCTTTTTCCAGGACTTTCCAGATTTACCTGGACCTTAATGAACTGTAAAGAATCATCACTATTAAAGAAACTACACTGAACATCTATCTAGGATGTTAAAGACAGCAATAACAAACCTGTTCAGTTGGAAAAATTGAGTTTATATAATCGACTGGGTTAAAATCTTTACTGTCAAGGGGATCATCACTCTTAAACACCTAACCAAAAAGAGACAGAAAATCTAAGTAATAATGGTAATTGAACTGAGTGGAGTGCAATTTGGGCTGAAATCATATGTGTGATTTGAAAATTGAACGAGCATGCAGCACGAGTTTGATTTGAAATCACAAGTATGATTTCAGACCAAAATTGCACGACACGAGGTTCAATTACCACTTTATTACATCCATTTTGAAATCGCCCAAATACAGGACTTGGTTAGTTCAAATATTTTATTGATGCAGTACTAAGCTGGTTTGAAATTAAATTCATCCATTTTTTGGGGGAAAAAAATAAGAGTTTGGAAACAATAAATGCAAAATTTGCCACATGACACTTGTTGTTTTTCATTTTCCTGCAATTTGATTGGTTACTTTAAACAAGTCTTGAAATCTGATTGATTGTTTTGTTTTTAGTGTAGCCTCCTCATTGGCTGGGAAAAAGATGCAATTTAAAGCAAAAAATGGTGCGATTCAAGAATAAATCGCACCAATTAGAGCCAATCAGATTACAGGGGCCACCAGTGATTCAAAATGGGTGTAATAAAGACTGTTATCATTTTCATATATTCATACAAAAAATGTCCACTGCTTCACTCCCATTATCAGCATCATTTTTATTATTATTATTATTATTATTATTATTATTATTATTATTATTATTATCAATAGTATTAACAATTGGTTTATACATCAGTATAAGTTTATGGGGATATAAAGCATGCAGAACATTTTGAGAGCATGAGAGGAGTGAAAGAGTTGCTTGAGGTGCAGGAAGTAGACTGTTACACAGGTAAACCAATAAAAATTATGGTATATTGCTTTTATAAAGAAAAATTCGATTCTTAATGGGTTTCCCATTGTAAAAAATGATAAGTTTTTGACCAAAGGCCTAGACACTTGTTGTATCTAACTTATTTCATAACACCTCAAAATACTTTTCAAGAAATAATGGCAATAGGACCAAGTGGAGTCTAATTCAGTCTGTAATTATACCAGTGATTACAAATTGGATGAAGTGAAGTCCAGTTACCAAGTAATCATAACCAGTAAAATTTAAAAAAAAAAACACATTTCAGGGCGTGAAATTAACTTTTTTTTCTGATAGCCACTTGGCTCCTAAATTCTTCAAAGTGGTAGCCAATTCAAAAAAAGTTGGTCGCCATTTTCAAAGACAAACAAAATCTTTCTTTTTGCTGTCAGCGTTCTAGATAGACCCTCCAAAATTAAGCTAGGGAAAAGATCTTTAACGTGCTACAAAGTGGCCACTAGGATGGATGATATACAACGTTCAGGCTCATCTAAATCCAAGATGGCGTCTAGTTATCGATCGAGAAGCACGTGCTACATTTTAGAAACAAACTTAATGAGGAAGTTTGCCGCGGATTTATCTTTGCAAATCTTTTTAATTCACTATCTCTCTTGGTAAGGTTATGATGAAACGTTCTAGTCGCCAATTTGGCGACTAACTTTCAGGATTTGGTCGCCAAAGTAAAAAATATAGTCGCATTGGCGCCTATATTAGGCGCAATTTCACGCCCTGCATTTATTTAAGAAAATATCTCCAGTAAAGCCATGATCTAAAGTAAGAAATTCCTCAATTTTCTAAATTCCCTGTTCTTTTAGGATAAGTGATTGTTGCTATGGTTCTTGCTATCAATTTTGTGATTGGTGGATTTGACTAAATGGACTTGGTATGATTGGCTGCCTTTATTGTCCGATCACAGGTGTCCAATTACAGCCAACTGTCAGATCACATTGTCTAATTACAAATCTACAGAATAATTAATGAAAAACAAAGCACTTATGCACCAATAACAATTGGGAAAATTGTAATAATTATGATCAAATGAGTAATATCAATCTTCCAGAAAAAAATTTACACCTTTCATGTCCAAATGCAAATGCTAACTGTGTACCGCCCATTTTGATAAATGTTTCATGTTTCATACCAAAACACTTATTAACAAAATCTTTGTTAAGTCTATAGTCCCTAGCTTGCAGTTCATGACAAAAACTGATTATGCATGTAAAAAATTGAAGAGCTAGCTCATGTAAAACAGAATTTATTGTGTAACTTGGTAGCTTCTCAACCCTTTAATACACAAGATCTGTTTGTTAATTCCCCCTCTTGTTCCTGAAGGTTTCCTTTAAAATTAGTAATGAGAATTTGGTGTGAGGTCAAGATAACAAACTTCTACCTGATAATTTTGTGTATTCTCATAACCTGTTTGCTGAATAATGTATGGATATCATGGGGAGAAGATACATGCTGATCACTTCTGAGAGTTAAAGGGCAAGAGCACTTTTAAGTAAATTATTTTTGAAACAAACAAGTAAACTCAAGCAAGATGTCTGTAAAAGGAAACAAGCTGGGGTACAATCTTCCTGAAAATTCACCATAATTTCATTAGCGAGTCACCCTGGTCTGCAAATGTTCTGCATTTTTTTTTTAAATAAATATATATTGATTTACAGCCAGATTTTGTCCTGACTATAATGAGATTTTCATCGAAAAGACTCTCTGCTTAAAATACCAAATTTCATTTGATAAAAGGACTTGCAAATAGGAAACCTTCCAATGTAAATATGGCTCAGTTAATCCTATTCCTTGATAGAAATTCCCTCTATACGTACACTTGCCACGTCTTTAAAATAGTAATTTCAGGTATTACAATAAGGAAGTCTGCACTCAAGATATGGGTGTACCTGACTTAAATACCCCTAATTACAACAGAAATACCTGCGAAATAGCTTCTTCCACTTCGGGTGAGTAAGTGATGGGTTTCGACAGCCTTTCTTCGAGAAAATCCTCTTCGAGCTCCCCTGGCGAAGAAGCGCTGACCTCGGCCGCCATTTTAGACGGAAATCGTCGTTAACGGCGGAAGCCGCTGAACTGTCAACACTTGGCTCGGTTACAAAGGCTTTGGCATTCGTTGTGTACTATCGCAAAACGCTTTGTCCCCGCAACAACAGAGCGTTCTCCTTGTCAGTCCTGGATGTTGTCAAGCAAGTAATGTAGAAGGTAGGTCCAGATCATCTAGCTTCGTTTGCCTTGTGGTAGATAAGCTAGATGGCAATCCAACGCCTTTTTGCGTTACCTAATTGTTGAGATCTTCCGATTTTCGAAATGCGACATGTCACCAGGGAATGTCTGGTTGAAAACACTTTAGCAATGTTTTTTTTGGCGCACATGTGGATTATTTCCTGGTTCCCTAAGCTAGGATTTGCGTCTCCAAAGGGTTTTGGCACACAAGCATGCCATCACCTCTATGTCTCCAAAAATTACTTTTCCTCTGCCCGTCTAGAGTGTCTACAATTGATGTTCGTGTGGAGTTTTTGAATCCAGACATGCTTCGTCTGGGCCGGTGTCATTTATGCACTTTGTTTTTTTATTACTATTTTTATCCTTGCTATTTTGTAAACCGTCCTCCTGAATGTTGTAAACAGAAATTCAACTTTTTCCTTAAGCTGAGAGCAGCAGAAATTCCCAATTCATTACACATGGGAATTTGTGTTCGAAGACATTATTCACACGAATAAGACAATTCATTAGCAAGGACACAATATATGAATAAATTTCTCAGACGCTAAAATTATACATGCATTGGCCATCCATGAGTGCTTTGTACTCACAAAGGCCGTTAACACGAGGCGAACCGTCTCCGAAAAAGTTGATAGCATTAATTCCTTTTAATAAAACAGGAAATTTATTGTTACATTGGACACAAGGTGAATTCGCCATCTTGTGGCTGTTATCAATTTCGTGTAGACGTGTCTTTGTCTCTTCTTTTGCCTTCAATGCATAGGTCGGCGCTCGTGGGCAATAAAGTTCTGGGTCAGTGCCATTCGCGTCGAAGTTCTTAGCTCCTAATATTGCACTGCACATGTAAAACTGAGCTTTAACGGTTTTCTTTCACCTTTTTTCAATTTTATTATTTATTTATGTGTTTGTTTTTTTTTATTTGAAGTAAGACCATTTATGAATTCTCTGTACGTGTAACGCGGATGACTGCTAAGGCGGAATGTCTAAAGTCCGAATCATCCTATGTTTTCTCTCAAGGTTTTATTGTCCTAATTCTTGCCTTCTTGTCCCCAACTTGTGACCAAACATGAGGTGGTGTTCCAAAAAAGGTTCACGCTACTGATTTCCTTCTAAAAAACAGCAATGTTGCTGTCGTATTGATTTCAGACATACAGTGATTTAGCCATCTTGTGGTTGTTCTCAATTACATGTATGTCTTTGTCTGCCTCTTCCTTTGACTTCAATGCTTTTCTTGTCATTTTTGCCCGACGAACTTCTGGGTCCTTGTTATTAGTATTGAAGTTCTCAATTTTGAAAACTGCATTGCACATATGAAACTTAGTATTGGCCATTTTCTTTGAAATTTTCACTATTTTTGTATATTTGATATGTATTTATGTATGTATTTGAAATAAGATCTTCTACGCATTCTCTGTACGTGTAACTCGCATGGCTGTGAAAAGGGGTTGTCTAAGGTTCGAATTGTCTCGGTGAGCTCAATTTTTTTTATATTTACTTACCACCTTGTGACTTGTCACAAAGCAAACAGTATCAAAACAAGTTTTTCTCACTGATTTCCTTTTGAAAAAACAGTGATTTTGTCGTTATATTGATTTTAGACTTACAGAGATCTAGCAATCTTGTAGTTATTATCAATTGCGTGTTCCATGTCTTTGTCTGTCTCCTTTCGCCTGCCATGCTTTAAATTTGACATGTGTGCTAGAAAGGCAAAACTCAAGATCAACTATTTTTGTTCAACTTTCCTTTTTGTTGTCATCTTTTTGTGTTTATTTGTATGTTCGAAATGAGACCATCTTTGAATTCTCTGTACGTTTAACTCGGTAGACTGCAAATGCGGAATGCCCATGATTTGAGTTGTTGTGGTGGTTTCTCAATTTATATTCTGCATCCAACCGCGTAGTGACTAAACGTGAGGCAAATTGTCTTCGGATAAGTTTATGAAACTGATTTCTCTTCAGGAAAGAGTAAATTTCTTGTTATATTGGTTCTAGACATACAGTGATTTGGCCATCTTGTGGTTCTTATCAATAACATATATATGTCTTTGTCTGGTCTTGTTTTGAATGCAATGCTCTACTTGCGTCTAAAATACAGCAAAGTTTTGGGGCGCTGTTATGAACCTTGAAGTTTTTTATTTTAAAAACTGCTTCATACATGTTAAATGTAGGATTAACTGTTTCCTCCCAACTTTTCATCACTATCATATACCACTATTTAATATGTATTTATGTATATATTTGAAATAAGATCATCTACGCATTTTATACATATATAACCAGGATGGCTGTAAAACCAGTTTACCCAAGGTTTGAATCGCCATGGTGAGTTCAATTTTTTTATATTATATTTTTCCACCATCTTGTGACTAAACACAAAGTAAACACTCCCTAGAATAGTTTAATTTGTCACAGACTTTTAAAAAAAAAAAAAAAACAGCGATTTTGCCATTATATTGATTTAAGACCCACAGGGATTAAGCCATCCTGTCGTTATTATCAATTGCGTGTATGCGCCTTTGTTAGTCTCTTCGTGCGCCCACCATGCTTTAGGTATATTTTTCAGTTGTGGGCGACAAAGTTAAAACTTGAACTAAACCAACATGTTGTAACTTTTTCATTTTTTATGAACTATTTATGTGTTCATTTAATAATTCCAAGAAGATCATATATGAATTCTCTGTACATTTATCTTGGTTGATTGCGAATGCGGAATGTCCAAGATTATTATTATAGCTGTCATGGTGATTTGTCAAATTTTTTTTCTATTTGTCTGCTACCTTGTGCCTAAACATAAGGCAAATTGTCCTAAGAAGGACTTAGGGAACTGATTTTTCTTTAGGAAAGAGAGATTTTGTAGTTATATTGGTTCTAGACATGCAAGGATGTGGCCATCTTGTGGTTGTTACACGATAGTGAATATGTGTCTTTGTCTGTGTCATCTTTTGATTGCAATGCTTTATATGCCGCTTGTGCATAACAAAGTTGAGGGCGGTGTCTACATATGTATAACATTGAATTCTTCATCACAAAAAGCACATAGCTCATGAAGAACTTAAAATCAACTATTTCCCTTCACTGTAAGATAAGGCGCATATTTTTTTTATTTAATGTAAGATTATGTGTTAGGTTTTTTCAATTGTCGCCGGGGTGACATGAAATAGAAATGTTGCGGGTTTTTATTCTGGCAGGGGACTCAGATATTATCCAATATTTGATTCAAAATTGTAACTTGTGTTAAACGTATTTCTTTGAAAACTACAAAATTTGCATATTATTTAATCACAGGGGTACTTATTGTGTTCCTCGGTCTTCAAAGACTGTGCGCCAACAAGGTGGCACCCTGTTTCCTATTTATGGTCATCTCCATTATGTATCTTGACATCTTTTAACTGGTGCTTTAGTTGGCCCCCTGTTTTGTGTCTCCCAGATGATGTACGTGTAAGAAGTATCTTAAAGGAAAACTTTAATGGGTTAATGAATAAAAAATGAAATAAATTATTCAGGTTTTGAATGTTTTTGTTTTTTTTCCTAATCTGTGTCTGAATAAGGAGCATGTGTGAAGGGTGCAGTTTGTTTAAAACAAATGTTTTTCCTTTGATGCTTTATATTTGGTTTGTGCGCTTCGAAGGCAAAACTTGAAATTGACCGTTTTGGTTCAACTTTCGTTCTTATTATCCTCATTTTATATGTGTTTGGAAACAAGATCATTCATGAATTCTTTGTACAGTACAATAACTTTTGAGTTTTGGTGGTAGTTTGTCAGTTTATATTCTGTGTACAACAGCCTTGTGACTTAATATGAGGCAAATTGTCCTCAGATGAGTTTATGAAACTGATCTCCTTTTAGAGAAGAGTAAATTTCTTGTTATATTGGTTCCAGACACACAGTGATTTGGTCATCTTGTGGTTGTTACGCAGTAGTATATATATGTCTTTGTCTGGTCTTGTTTTGAATGCAATGATCTATTTGCGGCTATATATATGTACTATGCTGGAATATTCTGGGGTGGTGTTTGGAACCTTGAAGTTTGTAATTTGAAAATTACTTTGCACATGTTAAAGATGGGATTAACTGTAGTTTCCTTTCAACTTTTTCATCATTATTGTAGTTTATACTGGTATTAAATATGTATTTATGTACATATTGAAATAAGATCATGTGTGCCTTCTTTGTATATGTAACAAGGATGGCTGTAAAACCAGTTTGTCTAACGTTGGAATTGCCATGGTGAGTTCAATTCTTGGTTTTCAATTCGCCACTGACTCGAGACTACACACAAAACAGTCCCCAAATTGTTTAGGTTGCTGATTTTGCTATTATATTGATTCAATTAAGACCCACAGGAATTAAGCCATCCTGTTGTTATTATCAATTGCATGTATGCGCCATTGTTAGTCTCCTCTTTTGCGTGCAATGCTTTACATGTATTTTTCAGTAGTGGGCGATAAAGGTAAAACTTGACATGAACCACTGTGTTCTAGCTTTTTCATTTTTTATCAACTATTTATGTGGTTTTTTCTTATTTCAAAGCAAGATCATTTATGAATTCTCTGCACATTTAACTTGATTCTCTGTGAATGCAGAAGTTCAAGATTAAAGCTGTCATGTGATTTGTCATTTTTTTAACTATTTGTCTGCCACATTGTGTCCAAAATGATGGAAATTGTCTGGCAAAGATTTATGTTATACTTACTGATTTCTGTCTAGAAAGGAGAAATTTTGTTATATTGCTTATAGACACGTTGATGTGGCCATCTTGTGGTTGTTGATTGTTATGTAATAGCTTTTATGTCTCTATCTGTGTCTACTTTTGATTGGCATGCTCTTTATGCTGCTTCTACAAAACAAAGTCCTAGGGCAGTGTCTTAAATATCAAGTTCATAGTCACGAAAAGTGCATAGCTCATGAAGAACATAAAATCAACCATTTTTTTTCACCATTTTCAATATTATGCACTTATTTTTGATTTATTCTAAGATTATTTGTGAATTTTTTGTATTTGTAGATCAGGTGACTTGAATTTGGAATGTTGGCAGTTTGAGTGGTCACAGGAGGCTCAGATATTATCCAATATTTGTCTCCAACTCATGACTTTTGTTTAACATCTTTCTTTGAAAACTACCAAATTTGCATATCAATTAATCACAAGGGTACTTATTTTAATCTCCTGCCTTCAAAGACTGGGTGCCGACAAGGTGACACCCTTTTTCTGTTTATGGTCATCTTTCTCAATAACATCTTTCAGTTAATGCTTTTAAGCTAGCTTGGCATAACCCCCCTGTTGTTGTATCATTTAGGTGATCTAGGCGCAAGAAATATCTTGATGCGAAACATAACAGCGTAAATGGATTCATTATTCAGATTTTAAATTTGTTTTCGTTTTTCCTCTATCTGTGTCTGAATAAAGAGTATTGGAGAGCATGCATGGAAGGCGCAGCTTGTTTTAAAAGAAGCACTTTGTTTTTCTGTTCAACTATGCAGAGGCCACATTAGCAATAAATATAAAGCTCAAGGTTGATGAATCAATCGTAACTATTAGTACATGGGTTTTGGTAAAATTTGTCGTTCCAGAGGCATCTTAAGTAAGGTGAGGTTTGAGACAAAATATAGGCTGGAGTGTAAATCAATCGGTGGTAAGCTTTCAGCTGCAAATTATTGGAATCAGAAGCATTTATCAAAGAAAAACCTTGCAAACACATAGGGACAAAAATCTGATGTCTGACTTTATCAAAGTCTACTATTCTGTTATCCTCAATTTTTCTTATTCAGTTTCCCCATTAAGTGATTTTCACAGGTACAAATTCTAGGCAAAAGATATTCCTAAAGATTTTCTTAACCTTTTAACTCCCAAGATCTCATTAGTAACTCTCCTTACTGTCTGCAATACAGTTCTTGTGATGTTAGTTTGGAGAATTTGGTATTGGATCAACTTATAATTCCCTAATTGATATTTTTCTTTATCCTCATCACTTGTCTGCTTGATATTATATTGATATTGTAAGGAGAAATTCTGTCTTGGTCACTCATGGGACTTAAAGGGCTAAGCAGGGTATCAGGGATACTAGGGATACATGGGTATTTAAGGACAACAGAATCTGAGCAATCAGTTTTAATTGATATCAATGTTGTCTTATAATTAACCTTTTAAACCCTTTGATCAGTATGCATATTCTCTTTACTGTTGTGTATACATTTCCTTGAGTGCTATCGAGGAGAATTTGTTTGTTAGTGTAACAAACAAGAGCTTCTTTAGTTGGTGATCATTTCCTTTATTCTTGTGACATTAATGTTTGATTCAGGAGTAACATTGTAAGGAGAATTTAGTTGTTAGACACTTTTAGGGGTTAAAGGGTCAAACGTAGTCCATCCTTTGTATGTGGCAATAAGGAGTGTTGGTAGTTCTGCATCCTCTTCTGTAGATGGGGTGTTAGTCCATAGTAAATTACCACTGTAAGGCTTCTTGACAAATTGCCACAATCCTCTCAAACTCCTGAGTAGGGAGAGGCAATGTGAGTGTCAAGTGTCTTGCCCAGGGCGGGTTTGCTCAAAGCTGGGTTAAGATAACCCAGGGTTAGTGTGAAATTTGATTTCAGATCTGAAAGCTTTAATCCCATTTTTCTACAATTTGATAAATGAATGCTCTTAAAAGGATTGGGAAAATTATCCAAGAAGGTCTTTTGAACAGAGAAATATAGAAACCTGGATTAAAATTTAACCCTGGGTTAGCTCTGATTGGCCTTTGAACCACTAGGTCCTGTTACACAACACAATGATGCAGCCAGGTTCCCAACATAGAGGTCTGTCACAAGCTAATGCCTAAAACATCAGCATTAGAAACTCTCTCTGGGGGCCAATTTACATTATCAACTTTGTTGTTAAAACTAAATTACCTTGTAAAACCCCTGCTGACAAAGCACCACCATTTTCTTGAGAAACTCACCCCATTCTGTCAAAGGAGAGTCCAACCAGCTTAAAAAACCATTGGCCACCGTGTTGAAGTAATAATACTTACTTTTTTTCTACTCTCTTTCTTTCCAAGATGGATTACCGGGAGTGTAATTTTGGACCCTCATGCACCTGTGATCATAGGCCAACCCTGGTTCATGGTCCATCGCCTAATTTTTCAACACCAAATGTCAGAGGGGGTGAGCCATTGTCCCTCACATCGCCTTCATGCACAAAGAAGGAACATATTGACAACAATTTGAGAAAAAAATCAAGAGGTGAAGGTTTGTAAAGAGCCTTTACTGACATCTAAGAACTATGATTATGACTCAAATAATCAGAAATATTTGAAGAATAATTTGAAATATTTTTAGCGTAGGCGCCTTGCATATATGTCCAATTTTGGGCTCCTCTTATTATGATGATTATTAATAGTGATTTTAGTGATAATGTTATTATTGCGATTTTAGCAACATTTTCCTCATGCTTTGCATAGGAAAATAAAACAATTTTTTGCTCTTTTTGCAGTAAAGAGATTTCTCACAACTAGGGCTATTTTTCTTCCACTTAATGTCACAATAAATCAGCAGACAATTGTAGGAAATGGTACAACAGAAATGTTTAACTGTCTTTCATTGAGGAGGAGTGGAAGAGTCTTCTAGCACCTTGAAAAAGAGTCCATGTTCTTTAGTTTTGATTGTAAGTCTCCAAAAAGCCATATAAATTCACATTCCTTAGCATTCATTGTTTGATTAAGAATGGAAAAAAAAGCAAAAAAAAACTGGGGGACAACCCTATAAATTTTATGTTGCCCAGCTTTCAAAAAGTGATATCAATGTAAATGATTTGGTTTGCCATGTTTTTAATATCTGTTTGTACCTATGTGGACTATAAAGAAAACAAACTATTCAAGGGGGCACTGTGCCAGGATTGTGACTTTAACACACCCCTCAAGACATACTGGCTCCTTCAAACCAATGAATTAATACATGCACATCCACAGATTATTCATGGCTGGATTTTCACCTCTCTCCCAAGCCTAGTGGGAACTGACTCAAACATTTTATTGAAAATTTTTCCTTTAAGTGCCCATGACACGGTTGGTTTTGGTTTTTTGCATATTCTCGTTGATAGCTGTTTTTTAAATTAGAAGTAATCGACCTTAGCGCTCAGCGAGTTCTCCTTGACAACTTTTTCTTTGTGCATTGAAAGTATGATTTGGCGGCCTAAAAGTGTTCCTATTAAACGCGCAGCCAAAACGATCATGTCGCATAGTTGTGACGTAGGAAACTGTGAGGACACGGCGGTAACTATGGTGGAGAAAGGAGAAATCTAGAAGGAAGGACGAACGTGTTGCGTGGCCGGAGCGCCAAATGATGTTAGCTATAAGAATAATACACATACACCGGGTATTTCTATACACTACTTTCCAAAGGATGTAGCTGTGTGGCCAAATGGATGCGTTTCGATCGTCGACCGAGGAGATTTTACTCTTCAACGTCGTCGGCCTCATGCTCAGTACCACTTCGAAGACGCCTGTGACAAACACAAATCACTAGTCAAATCAGGGGAAGATAAATAACGAGTTCAGCTGAAAAGAATGCTGAGAAGGGGTCTGTTCCCACACCGTACGCGATTATTCATCGTTCTTTTCGACTGACATTTCGCAAGCGAAGAATGGTGAGCTCTTTATTTTTGTTTATTTCACGCGCTTAAGATATACTCATACTCCTTGTCTTTCCATATGACTTCATTTGCGCTTTTCTTATCGTATGAAAGTCCTAGCAATTGCAGTTTCCATGGTCTTTTAATAACAGAAATACATCCTTTGTAATAAAGTTCAAGCCCTTTCCCGAGCTGACCGGTATCCAGTTGCGTGAACAGTGTGAAACCTCTGGCGGAAAGCCAGTTAACCTTTCCGAAAACCATCCCACGAGCCATCGATTACCCCTGCCCTCAAGAAACTAAAAGTAGCAACAACAACATTCCAACAGTAGGAATGTCATTTTGATAACGGCATCACAGCGAGATAAATATTGAATTATTGAAGTAGATGTGGCGAATCCAAGTGCTGTGTGAAAGTCGATGCGAACGAAATATTTATTTATCATACTGATGTCAGTTATTTCCTTTGAGCGGAATGGGTCATAGAGCAATTCTTCGCTTAAACTAAAGAAGTTTTTCTCAGCTAAAATTCCTATTTGAGATTAACTTAAATCAGATGATTATAAACTCACTCGTTATCTGTTCGGATTGACCGGTGTTAAAGCGGGTTAAACCCCCTTCCCCTACTAAACTTTCCTTTAAACGTGGTTCCGTAGGGCTTTTTGACCGCGCGAGACCTGGACCCGAACATGGCGCGAGCTTTGAAAATGTCAACATGCCAAACAAATATGGCGGCTCGATACGATCGCACGATTCATATAAAAAGAGGCGTGTAAAAAATATATATACACATTATAGACTCTGGGAATTCTAACAACGACACCCAATGTATTTCTTGGCCTTTTACGTCTGAAAAAGGCCGACACAACGCCTGTGATGCGTTTGGTCGCTTCGAGAAGACCTAAAAAATAAAGATAACAACGAAGGAATCATGAAGTTAAGGCTACCAAATTTGGTCAGCTAGGCGAAAACTGAATTCCGAAGACGGCTGCGAGGAAAAGGAACCACCTACAAAACGGGCGCTAAGGTCATCTCGGGTAAGTAACCTACGTGTTCAGGATAGTTGCCTTTTTCCGTCCTCGGAAGATAAAAATTATTGTTTTGATCGATCGCGAAGTTCAGGTCTCTAAGGTAGCTCTGATTTCCGCTAGCAGACGGCAGCTAAAAATCTACAAGGAACTCGAGTGGTATACATACAAACATTTGCACTAGGCCTCAAGGAATGTTTATTTTGTAAACGTGGGAAATATGAATAATTTCTAATTTTACAACAATGTGATACACACTATGAGAATTGAATTTGCCGCAGTGCGGCATTTCGATGATGCTTGCAAGGATTCCTCGAAATGAATCGCTTAAAGGTATGTACCTTATTATCTTGCACGGAGCAACTATAGAATACAGGGCCACTGATGTCCAGTAGTGCTTGTGTTCGTGGTCAAAGAAATTCGCAATTCCGAAAAGAACATGCCAAATAAATATTCATGGCGCGATTCGAAAGTGTGCGCAAGCTCAAATACCAATCTTGACGAAATTCCATTCCATTACGTAATGTTTTGCGACAAAGAAAAGGGGATCTTTCGAGTAAAATTTATCGCGTTTTCTTCGGTGGAATTTCCTAAGATTTGCTGGACCGTTAAGCATATTTGTGTCCTTCCTAGTGCCTGTTGACAAAAAAAATTCATAAGACCCAATTTGAGATAAAGGAAGAAAACACAAAATTGCAAATAGCGAGAAAACTGCCCATGTAACCCCTATTTTCTCGGCTTTTAAATGATCGGCAGGACAATTTTCACAACTTGTGGAAATTTTAGAGATTCCACCAAAGAAAATGGAAGAAAAACAAAAGGCAAAGCCAAATTATCAATTGTAAGCGCCTCCCTTAGTGGAGCCTTAGCTTCATAACGAAAATCATTTTCTTAATATTTATTACAGCAAACGATAATCCGAACCTTGCTCATTGCCTTTTGATAGCTTTTTATGACCTAGAAAAGTGAAAACAAAAAAATTTTACTAGAAAAACAATACGCTGGCGCGCGCGCCAACATTGAGCAAAAACCCTAAGGAGCCACCTTAGGCATCGTTTGTATCACATTTGGTAACTAATTCTATTTGCAAGCTTTTTGTCGATGTTTTTTCAATCACAACACAAAATTCATCAATAAAGGTAAAGAAAAACAGCCATTTCGTTCTAATTCTGCCGCATTTATTATGGCGAGTCGTACAGTATACGCAAGAATTAAATGCGAACAAACTACTACATTCGAACTACTGAAATTGTTACATTAAGTCTTTGCTTCTTCTGATGCGAATCAACATTGCTACGAAACGCCATAACAATAGAGGAGACTACTGCATCCAGTCATAGAAATAACTCGGTCTGATTTTCTAATTAAATAACATTAAACAGTTTCTGAACAAGAACGAATCGCCCTATGTAAGGTAATCCGGATTCCGGAATCCAGAAAATTCTTCGATACTGATATGACCTGGCTAATTTCCCAACTAGCTATTAATCAGTCTTCTACTCCGATTCGAAAACCCTATTTCCTAGTAAAGTTTGATTTTAGCTTGCAGCTCTTTCTTTAATCTAAAGTTCTTTGGGCTATCTTGTGAAGATCCTGGTAATCATTTGCTTCGTCCACACAGCACATTCCATACCCCTCACTCAGCGTCACTGTCCACACAAATTACATCTGCAATGCAGCTTGCCTTGAGGGTTAATGTCCATGAGTACAAGGAATTTGAGCCTGCGATTTTTTTTTTACTAACGAGAGCTCGAAATATCTTCATAAAATTTCGTCATGTGGTGTCGAAAAGAGCGCAGTTCACTCACGTGGTCAATGGGTATGCAAATTTGGAGGAACAGAAGAAGTTGTTTGCAAAAGCGTTCAAATCCCATAGGATTTAAAGATTTTAGATATATGAAAATTCACATATTTGCACTGCGGTGGAAAGATGAAATTAGAAGATCCTCGCAGCTAAGAACACTACTGAAACTAGTAGTTGTAAGTAGGACCTGAAAAAAATTTCAGGCCCGTACGGGATTTGAACCCATGACCTCTGCGATACCGGTGCAGCGCTCTACCAATTGAGCTAACAAGCCAACTGAGAGCTGGTCAATGAATTGGGTACAAATAAACATCCGAGTGAATGAAGATTTTGAAAGGTCCTACCCATAGGATTTGTTTGGAACACCAACATGGCGACAGACCACACGTTTCAAATTACAATAAACTTTGAACAAAGATATGTATGAATACCTATGGAAGCCGGGAGAGGTCTATCTTTAAGTCGAATTTTCGCCATTTAAACGTAAACCGCTTTCTTTGATATTTGGCATTCGGAATAACAAATTTGAAGATTTCATAAAGCATCATATCTTGGTGCGAGTAAAACAAGATATTACCAGATTTTAGGGTGAAACAACATTTTTTAGAAAAGAAAAAATAGCGGCGGGCCCCCTTAAACCTTTATAGAATCATTGCTCTGGAGAAAATCATAGCCGACGCAATGTGACTTGACTTGGTTAACCTTTTAAAGAAAAAAGGAAGTATAGAAAAGAGAATTGTTATTCTTGGGAAATTACCGTGTAAATGCAGGTCTTTCGCGATTTTACAAAGGTTTAAGTTGAGTTGGTTGAACACCGTTTTATGCGCAATCTCATAATGTTGAACATCGTCGTCAATTACATACAGAAAAAACAAGCTTTTCCTAGCACAGTCTGCGATTTATTTGCGACATACACGGAGCGTTGTAAAAATTGTATTTCAGTTTAAATTTTTCCTCAATTTTGTGGTTTTTTTTAAAGGAAAGTTAAAAAAGTAATTTGAGACGGAAACCGGAATCTGCAGGAGTAGAATCCAGCACTTGGAATATGGAATCCCCCGCGTGGAATCCAGAATCTAATAATGTCCTGGATTACCTTACATGGGTCGAAACGACGCAACCACTTCTACTACAAGTCGTTCGTAAAGCCTACGATAAGTAAAAATGTTTCTGTTCTGAAATATTGGAACTTTCAGCTTATTTTCAAATGCAAATCAACATTAATGTTTACGTCTTAACAAAAGTGGAGACTATTGCATCGAACTCATTCTTATTTTCTTATTTTAACGATTATCAACTGTTGAGGGATCCGAAATAACACCTTAACAATTACGAAGAAGTCTAGAGTCAGGCGGTCTGCAGACAATACAAAGCCACTCGCCCTCCGGGGCAGTCTTAAATCCCTCGCAGCTCATGTGCAACCATTCCACGCTCACCTTGCACTGTACCATGTTGTCCCAACACTCGTGCATTGAACAATAACTAAATTGATGTCACAAGTTTGTCTCTTATTGAATCTAGAGGTGTTCGACTGTTGCGGAAAAGGTTCAAAACGACCTTTCTCCAAACATTAAACTAAATACTTGCGCATTTTCCTTTGGTCAAAAGAAACATGCGACAAGTCATTTCCAGCCACCAGTGCGTATGCATTGGCGATGCACATGAATTAAAAACATACTTTAGTTCACACTGGAACTCAAAGTATTGTCTATTTCTAATAGAACATTAAGGATGATGTTTTCACTTAGTTTTGTTGAGGGGTCTAAATCCGCCGAAGGGGGTCCAAACCCACTTGCGGATTTGGATTGGGGGGGTCCATATCCCCTAGCGGATTTAAATGGGGGTGGTCCATATCTGCTAGTGGGGGGTCTAAATCTAGGGGGTCCAAATCTGCTAGGACACTAAGGGAACCTTCACCATACAAAAAAAAACAGGTTTTAAGTTTTTTGGAATTTTTCTTCTTGCGGAATTGGTTTGTAAATATGATGAGCTAAATATTTACACAAAAAAAATTCATGTCATGGGCACTTCAACTTGAACCCAGCTCTAACTTGAACCAAAATTGATTTCCCTTGGTTTTCCATCGTACATTTACTGCAACTTTACCCTAACTAACTCAAACCCTCCATAACTTGAACCTCACACTACCTTAAAGCAATTTTCATTTCCCTTCTGGTCATTCTCTGTATATTTTTACCCCCTGAAAACTTGAACCACATCTGTCAGTATGTGAGAAATCTAGACACAGTGTACTGCAGTCCAAAATGTTTAGTGCCACTTACTCGCCATTCATTTTTTTTTAATGTTTTTTTTTTACAAGTAACAGTTAATCTTTTGATAAAAATATCATTCTGCTTTTGTTGCTTTGCTTTTACCTATGGCAAGAACATAGTTAGAATTTATACACAAGAACTTTCAAAACTTCTGTCCCTCCCCTCCCCCATAGACAGTTTAGACCCCATTGATCAAATACTCGCTCTCACCTTTTACGCAGGTGGTTTGAAAATATAAGGGTTAAATTGTAATATCCATGCAAGGTTGCTGAGTTGAATAATGTTTGCTCTTCAACCATGGCATGTTGCAAAGCAAAACACCCTTCCAGGGAGGTTAAGGAGAAATTTGATACTCTCCCACACATGATTTCCAGCAATATTGGGCATAGTAATTTGGTATTATCAACTGAGTTGGTAACATAAATCAGCCACCATTAAGAGTTTCAAAGCTGACATTTCGAGCGTTAGCCCTTCATCATTAGCTCTGACTGAAGGGCTAACCCTTGAAATGTCAGCTTTAAAACGTCAGCTTTAAAACTCTAAAAGGTGGCTAATTTACACTTTAAACTGTGATTATGTGTTGAATGTGTGGCTCTGCTCACCAAACTATCCAGGGAACTGACAGACATGTTCACAGCATTGACATGTAGGGTAAACACCACCAACTTTGACTATTGGTGACCATGTTTGTGATATCATTTCAGTTGCCAATGTTAGAGCATACGATTGCCGAATGTGTGAAAGGGTGTACCAGACTGAGGAGGAACTGGAGAAACATCTGCTTAACCATGCTGAGCATCGCCCCTACAAATGTCCTCAGTGTCAGAAAGGATTTAAACAGCCTTGCCATCTGAATCAACACCTGCGAACACATACAGATGAGAGGCCATTCCCCTGTGAGGTGTGCCGCAAATCCTTCAAGCAAGCTTGTCAGCTTAAACAGCACATGCGGCTCCACACAGGAGAGAAGCCTTATCACTGCTCCCAGTGCAATCGTTCTTTTAAGCAAGCTAGCCAGTTAAACCAGCATGTGCGCCTCCACACTGGAGAGAAACCTTACAAGTGTAGCCACTGTGACAAGACATTCACACAGGCCAGCCAACTGCGATCACACAAGAAGACCCATGATCCTAAACCTGAGAGGAAGTCCATGTCAAAAAAGCCAAAGGCAGTTGCCCGAGGTGCAGTGGTTATGCCTACTTTTACCACCAAGGTCTCTTCGCAGTCCATGTTGTATCATCAGAAACAACCTACTTTCAGTCCTGCTTTAAAAATGGATCCTCCATTTGGTGGAAACTTCAAAAGTGCACACCCATTTGGTACAGGTATGTCTCAGGTATGTCACATGCGAGAAGTACCAGTTTCCTCTATAACACATGACTTTCTGGGATAGATCAAATAAAACTAAGAGCTGTAGTTTCCTTATGTATTTTCAATGCTGACAAGCAAAAAAACATGTGATAATTACAAGGCTGTGATCTGCATACACATTTTGCATTCATATACAAGAACTCTGTTCACTTAAAATCTTTTAACTACTATTTGATTTGGAAACGTCCATTCCGAACCCACTAATCAGAAAGATCTTTGAACAACCAGAACAGTTTAAAAGTGATCTGCCGTAATTGGTCACAAACCTCTCTTTCATCACCTTTAATCATATGTAATATTGATAACTAAACTTTTGATGGTCAACTTTTTGAGGATCTATCTGGTATAATTGAGTTATTTCTAAAGACCAAGCCATTGTACTAGCAGCAATAATAACATTCATGCAGGTGACTTGAGAGTTGGTTACACACACTGTGTTGTGAGACAATAACAGCAAAAGCTAGGACTTTGTTGACTTTAAGACTTAGACACTATTGCTGTTGTTTTTGCATTACACAGTGTGTGAAGTTTCCTCTTCAGTTACTAGTGCAATAGGCTACACAGTGGGGAGGAGTCAAATTTGTAGTAATTGTCAAAAGAGTTTTGTGGAAGAAACATTCCTTACAGTTTAAGTCACTCATTACTGTTGGCTACAGAGAGTCAAACACAAATGTAAAAATGAAATTGATTACTATACACAAAGAATCACAGAACTATTTACTCTTTTCTAATAGTTTCCAGCAAGAGAAATCAATCAAACTTGTGCAAACAAAAGTTTAGATTACAGCCTTGAATGCAGATATTGTTATGATAATTGTTCTTGTCAACAAATATTAAATTATTGCAGTTTCATATAGCTCATGATAGACATACTACAGTCTGGAATGACAGTGAGCATGCAAGCATTTTCTGAAGTCATTCATCTAAGGGACGGGTGATGAAAAGTGAACATGTGTAAGAAAAGATGAGGAAGATACATGTCCTTGTAAAAGTCATGTAACATTTAACAAAGCTCAAAACTTTTCTGTCCTATTCAGCAGCTGCTGTGCATGTGTTTTGGTTGAGTGAGGACCTGTAACATGTAACAATTTACTTTTCTTCAACCAGTGAAAGATGAACTCTGAAAAACATCAATGCTTCAAATTTTTGGCAAAATTTAATGTAAACAGGACAATGACAGGAAACAAAATGCATATCATAGTAGCTTTCGTGCCCAGGAAAATAGTTCCTTATGTTGAAAAGCTTGCATGCCCACTGTTCTTTCAGGTTTGTCCACATGAGTTATGGTAATGAAATTACCATGTAGGGCTTTTTGTAAGCAAGATGAATAATTCTATATAAATATTCCATTGGTGTAGTTTAGCCTATGTGCCATGCACATTGGATGAATTGTCTTACAGAACAAGAGAGATGGGTATGTAGGGTGTGGGTGCTGTGATTGAGAATGATGGTCAGCTGTTAATATTATGGACCTTTTGAGGAGAGTATTAATGGGGTTATAACCAAGAGGGGTTTCACAGACTCTTAACTCTAATTTCTTCCCGTGCTTTTCAGTGACATGCTTTATCTGGAGTTTCAGTTGTATTGTTTGAAATGAATATTTTTCTATCAGGCTGCTTTTAAATATGGAAACATTTGCAATGTATGCAATAAGCTGAATTATACTTGCATTTTGATTGGTTCTAATGCTTAAATGATCTATTGGACAGAATCATAGATGACATTACCATGAACAACATCTTTCTTTTTATCACATAAAACAAACTGCTTCTATGTTCCTGTGGGTTTGTACAGTGGTAGATCAAAGAAGACGTCAAAATGTGGTGATAACATCAATGACACACTTGGCTGTGCCTGGCGTGTCACCTATTTGTTCTTACCACATTTCGACATCATCTGTGATCTATGGCTGAATGGGACATATGGTGAAATGGAATCTATTTTTTAAGTTATGTAAGGTTCAGAAGGAGAAATTTGATGTGTTTTGTTTGCTTCTGCATTTTGATATCTGTTACAAAATTGATAGACGGCAACATGAATTGAAATAGAACCTCAGAGTTAACTTGTTACTGGCATAGCAACCAATTGGCTTGTGATGCATTGGTTAAGATTTGAATCAGACAACACTGAGGCCAAGCCTCCTGTAACATACACCACTCTAAGATAAACACATGTGAATTGTGTCTCTCACAGCAAACCTAAGGAAGCAGTGTAAGCTTCTTGGCTAGTTTGCAAGACATAAACTTATGCATTAGATTTGGCACCTGTAGCCCCTGAGGGGTGCAATGCGATAAATTGACACACCTGCATTTCATCATTAAAGTTTCATGTACTTTGTCTCTTATTGGCCTTTTCTTCTTGTGAAAAAAGAAACTCTTAATTCCTCATTAGGGGAATAACTTTTATTGAAAAACCTGTGAAAGCTGTCAGTTTTCTAGCAACATTTTGGATTCTGTAATTTTTGATAAAGGGATTTTTCATATCTCTCACTGATGACTCCCCCACTCCATTAGTACTCTCCTTAAAAAACCTAAGCACATGTAGTAGTAACATATCAGATGCTGACCCCTGGAGAATAAGCATATACACAAACCATAAGTTCAGGTTCATGTGCATGTGGCTTCCAGTTCTTGAAACATTTTTGCAGTAGCCAGGGTTCCCAGAAAATGTGATTTACTACATGGCTCCAAGCTGCAACTTTATTGGTCACAAGAGCAACTGAAATTGAATTTTTTTTTAGGCCTTAAGTTTTACTGAGATAAGAAATTGCATAAGATATTATGAATGTCCTGTAGTTTTCTCTTGTAAAAACTTGCCCAGTTTTCCTTGGTGATCTGTGTGTGAAGCCAAAACCTTGAGATATGCAATAATTTTTCTGGCTTTTTTCCCATTTTTGTTGATTAACTGCTTACTTTTGGTGATCAATCTAGGATTTAAATTCACCAAATAGCCACTTCCAAAACCACAAGTGTCCCAAGCTCTTGTCTCTAGAAAAAGGAAAATAGTCAATTCATGAAAGCATCACACAGCTAAGTTATGTAAGGAACTGTTGAGAATTCTTGTTATAAGACAAATAACAGGGATGGCAAAGCAAGTTGAAAACAGCAAAGAACACCAGAAACCACAATGGAAAGACAAGGAGTAAGTTAGTTCTCTCAATCTTTTGTGTAAAATGTTTATACTTCAAAATAGTCAGCATTGTAAATTGTTTCTCTCCCCATACTATTTTTTATAACAGGTATAAATTCTCAACAGTTCCTTGCATAACTTAATACTACATTACACAACACATGAGGCTTTCATGAATTAATCTTTTGCATTTTCTCGAGACCCACGCTTGGGATGCCTGTGCCAAAACAAGTTCAGCTTGGAGCCCTGAATAACTATAGCTACCATTTGCAAAGTAATTATAACAGGCAGTTGGAAAACAGCTAAGACATACCTGAGAGCTGGTAAATGTGATTTATTTGCATGAACCAGTAGTACCCAGAAATACAAGCTTAGTCTCCAGATACTTTTGAAAAAATTGGTAGAGAATACTAAAATATTTTGGTTTTAGTTTTGAGTGCTCATTGGGGGAAATAGGCAAAGTTCAAGATAACTGAAATCATGAGATTTCTGCACTTTTCCTTCATTTAGTGTACAGAGCATGTTTAGATGGTGAACTGATGTTTTTAATCATTTTGTACATCAGTATAATTGTTACAAATTGTTAGTCCTGATAAATTGTGTATAGTAATGTCGCTGAATGACTCAAAACTATTTTTTTTTATACTAATATTAATAGTTATAATGTAAAACTTGGAGCAGTTTCAAATTTAGTGTTGACATTTGATAGGGCAGGATGCCAAATGTGGCAAGAGAGGCAGGTGCATTTACATAATTATTTACATGACAAATGCAGTAAATCTCACCTCTAATAGTCCAGGCCCCAGTTGTTCGAAGATTGGATAGCACTATCCACTGGATAAAACTCTACCCAGTAGATAACGCTATAAGTTTAGCTATTACTTATCTACTGGATAGCAATTTATCCGTTGGATAATGTTATCCACCCTTTATACAACTGGGCCTAGATCATCAATGATACCACCATGGCCCTAGAATATATTCTTGTTCCTGGCATCTGACGAGCCAACCAACTGACAAATTGACCACAAGTGGTCAATGAGTGATGAACTTCTGCACAAACTCAGAAAACCAGTCTTGCAAAGGAGTTATTTATAGCTTCACAGCCCAAAGCATTACACTGTCAAGAATGAGTTTTCAAAAAAATTTGGGTTTTAAATGCTTGCAGATTCTCACTATGCAACCTCCTAGTCACTGTCCAGGTTTAAAACACTAAATTAGATACTGCTCTGTAGAGACACTAATAATTTAGTTGCGCCAGATTAGAATATGTGAAGACTTTGTAGATATTTGAAAAAATCATGCTGAGTTATAGAAATGTGAGGTTAATTTATTAATTTTATAGTTACTGTAAATTATTATTTTGAGGGTAATCAGTACCTTTTTCTCATATGTCTGGAGACAATAAATCCAAATGGAGCAGAAGCATACATTATATATTAAGGATTGTAGTACACCATACTAGCGTTCAATAGCATGCGTTAGCTAGTAGCATGGATACCATGCAGATGGAAATAAATTATAAATCAGTATTAGGAGGTGTGTAAAACATACCTGGCCCAGTAATGTAACATCCTAAGTACTTCTTGTTGTTTGTCACATATCAATCAACTTATGGAGTGTTGGCAAATAAAGCCTAAATGTTTTTTAGATCTGAAACTAGCTCTGCAGGGATTGTAGACTTGTAGAGCAAGTGTTAAACTTACAACAGATTGAGGCAAACTCTAGATTTGTTCGACCAAAATTAATTTTTCTTGATACCATATCTGTATTCTAAGGAGCAGGCTGAGGTGTGACTCAAAGTTTCCTCATTTACTGAAAAAAAAAATGGTTCTCTCAAAATCCATAACTTTGTAGGTAACATTTTCTTCTAGTCCATTTGATTGTTCACAGCTTTTCTTTCTTTTGTTAATACCGGACTACAAGGGAAGCAAACTTGATTGCATTCTGTTATCACATAGCTTAATCAAATGACCTAAGAAAAAATTCAGGAAAATACCAAATATTCAAAATATCTGTCTACAAATTATCAGCAATTTAGCTCCTATCTATAGGAGCTATACAAGTTAGAAAATTTGTGTATATTTTAAGCTTTCTTTCCAATGTTCTTCTGCTGAAGTAAAAAGTTGCAAAAATTACTTCCTACCAGAAATTTTAGTCCTCTTAAAATAAAAAATAGAAAAAATTGTTCCTGCAAAGTAAATCTGGTCAGCAGCACTGGAAAGGCTGTGAACAGTCCTTGGGGCTGAAAATTGTTCATAGGAAGCCTCCAGAGGGGTTTATGTAGGGAATCCACATATATTGTGTTATCTAACAATTCTGTAGAAAGCTTAAGTCCTAAACTGAGCTTTTTATGAGATAAAAGGTTTGGAAATGTTTCATAGCTTTTAGAGAATGCCTTCCAAGTTAGGCTCTAATTGGTTTCTTCCATCAGTACTGCTGCATGGCGATCACATCTTTATTTTGCCAACTTTCTGTACTAGCATCACAGTTCAAAAAATGACTCTCATGATCTTGCCTACATTCCTATTGTTACTAGAAAAAATATAGGATATATCTATAACCATAAATACAGGAAACAACACATTTCCTATTCTGTCAGTGTGGGTGTTTTTAATATAATACAAAATGGATACATTTTTCTTTTAAATAGAAGAGGGCAGTCTCTGCTTTCTCTAGCATATCATCTTGCAATTGTAGCAAACCCTAGAGTGAAATTTCATGGACTTGAATTGTTTTGCTTTGATTTAAATAGAATTCAATCTTAATTTTTAGGTAACTTAATATACTCTTCAGAGTATCCTCTGACTTATTTTCAACAATGCCACTTAAAGCAACAGTTCTTTTAACCGCAGTTGTTGGAGCTGTCGCATGATGTATTCCTTACAACATCGTTATCATCATTGTTACCATGTCTTTGTGTGTATCACTAAGACTTATTTACAAGGATAAAGCATCGCACGACTGCCCAACTGACTGCTGGTGAAAGGATTTGTGTTTCAGGTAAACTAACCAATAGTCATCATACCAATTGGGGGAAGAACGTTTATTAATCCAGGACATTACCACCTATTGCAAAGCCGCTTATGGTAAAAAAAATTATTGAAAACCTATGCTATCATGTAATGGAAAGAAGACAAAACCCTCTCATCTTCCCCTTTTGACACCAGCCATGCTGCCTAGCAAAGTAATGGCCTTCTGACGGTGTTACCTGACATTTTGTAACTGTGGTTGCTATAATAGCTTAGTGAAATAATGATCAGCTCTTAGAACTTGTGTGCAGTTAGTACCTCGCTATTTTGCCTAATGTTAATTAGTTCATAGTAATGTTTGCATCTGTTTACTAAAGATGTTACTTGTTTTATGCAACCCTTCACTTCCACAGTTTAAATCTGGACAATTATTGTTCTCATTAATTTATTTCTATTTTTATTTTGTTTTCGTTGGGTTTATTTTCTATTTTTTTGCAAGGAGAGGTACTGAACAGCTCTTTCAGTATTCTGTTTATTATGCCGTCCTTTGAGGCTAATGGAGGAAACCAAATATGCAAGCTTTTATATTAAAGCATATTGTTTTTTCTGCTTTTCTTTTTAATTTTTTCGTTATATTAACCCTCTACAATCTTTCTTGAGAGTGTAAGGGTTGTATACTAGTTTCAGCTACTAAAAAGACGAACTTATGAGAACATATATTCCAAGTCTTACTATTATTAATGCTACTAGTTAAAAGTTATGACGTTTTGTTAACATCCTATACTTAATTTACCAAGAATTTGGTCCTGTTTTGTTTTAGTCTGGCTAGTGACACATATGTTGGGAAATAGATGGAGAAATGTTAAAGTTAAGTTATTTGTTTTCCTAGAAGAGATGTAGATGTGTTTTGAGATAGTGATAGAAATATTTATATTTGGTTTTTAGGTAGATACAGTTATAAGACTGTTTAACTCCTGATAACATATTGTGTATATAAGTGAAATCGGTAAAACTTGATTAGAAAGGTCCATTACTCATTATTGTCAACATAACAGGTCCAAAAAAAAAAACAACCTTTAAATTCAGTATAATTTGACGTTCTACCATGTAATGTTTGTGAATCAAGAGTGAAGTAATTGAGGAATAAAACACCGGCCTCTCATATGGCCACCACTTGGAAAATGTTTTTTATTACTTGTCTAAGACCAAAATTCTTGCAACGACAGGATCTCATTTTACTGCTTTACTGCTGCCCAGGAATTTATATGACTGAAAATATTCCCCATCTCATTTAGTATTAAAAAAAAGAAAAAAAACTTGATAGACCCCCCCTTCCCTATCAAAAAATTCCTGCATCCACCCCTGAATATGCCTTGTATTTTTCTAGTTCGACATTTGCTATTTCGCCCCAGTCAAGGGACTCATCGGTGACAAAACATCACATTGAATCGTCGCTAAAAAAGCACTCATTTTTGACCATTGGCGACCTCGTAACTGTGCCATGGACAGAGAGGGATAGGAATCCGAGCTTCCATCTCCCCCAACTCTGTAACTTGTAAGCAGGCCCTCATCATCAGCGCTTCGAAGTGAACCTTTTCCTCGCCTACTGGAAATTATAAGGTCTTGAGCTACGCGAATCAGCAAAAGGTCTTAAAAGGATCTAACTCTTAAAATGTCAGATTCCCTGGAAACCTCTCCCCGACTCGTCTTAAATCTTCCCGCAGGCGGAGAAATGCTCGTCCTGCAAAGCTAACAATGCTGGCCCGCTCGCAAGCTATCAACGTTGAGTTCCATCCCCTTCTCATAACTCGATGAAAACTGTAGACGGTTCAGTTAATTTTAAGGTGTTCGCAGATTCGCTGTTCTCTCGCCCTTTTCCCTCGGCATTCCTTTTTCCGTAGGCATCCCCCCCCCCGTCCCTCGTCATGGCAATCCCTATGTGACATTGGGCCAGTTTGTCAGCATCATTTTGGGAAGCTAGCGCGACTTGTGTTTGCTTAACGTTTAACAGGCCCGTTAAAAATATGGATAGTGACGCCTTGTACTCCTTTTTTGACCCTGTCATTCATAGGATTGGGAGTGGCAGCCAGCCATACGTCAACAAGATTTGCTCTCAATCGTTTGTTTGCGTTTGTCGCGTGCAGACGTCTCTCGTGCAGAAGGAAGATTCCTTACACGATAACTTAATACGCTGCTTTTTTAACCCCTAACTGTTCCCCTTTTCAGCACGCAAAAGATATCTACCACCGCGCGTGATCCGCTGGGCCCGTCTACATTGCTTGACGCTTTAAGAACTTGAAAAACAATTAAAAAAAAAAACACGCCTGATTTGATATTCTCGGAAACTTTAGGCGAAGTTGTATAACTTGCCTCTTGAGAACGTGAACCTTTTTCAAACAGTAATAAAGGAACTCAGACCATATTTGATACCAGGGCCCATCACTCGATAATAAATACATCTGTGTGTAACATCTTTAAGGTTGCACATGATTGGAAAAAAAAAATTTCGGATCATGGTATTTAAGAGTGTGTAAACCTTAGCCAATAAGTTGCACCGCGAAATTATAGAGTCTGTTTCCAGTGTCAGATCAAGAACAGCTTTTGTATTTAGCGCTGCACATACCCTATGAATATTTATTTGTATTTAGCGCTGTACAGCCTATGAATACAAATGAGTACCGATCGATGGCCTACACGTAGGTGGTCGCCTGAATTTACTCGGCGTTAAGTATTACGTAACTTGTGCTCCAGTTCGCCCAATTTTTCTTTCCTTTGCCGGTTGTAGACGTAAATAGCACCCCAGATTGCAGATTAAAATTCCGACGGTTATAAAATGTTTGCCGACAAAACTGATACACGAAAGTCTTAAAACGAAGATTACTACTAATCTACTCGTGGGTTCAAAGTCCGGGAACAAAGTTGCGCATGATGTAATATTGCCAGTTTCCCATGTTGATTTTTGTTGTTGGATATTTTCTCTGTGATGGTAGTTCGACTCGAAGAACTAGGAGAAGAAACGATATGAAGTGCCTTGTTTTGTCTAGCCTACGAAGGAGCCGTTCCAATTTTTTCAGCAGATCAGTTGAATCCGGAGTGTGAGTGAGGCAAGGGTCACGCGAAGACCCTTCTGACACTACGCGATTCCCGCGCACCTCACGCAAAAGACGGAAAGACTCTGTCTGCCATTGAACAATAATTGCCATAAAGCACGAGGGACTCATTTCTTTTGACGGCCTCATCGTCGGACACTTAGGATCTTTTCTATATGCACCACATTTTCACCTCAAAAAAATTGATGCCCTCTTTCATTAGAGTTTATTCTTGTATTCCTTCCGCTCCGTCAATATTCCGAGAAATACCGCAGCTTCCGCAGAGACTCTCGGTTCTAAAATGTGCATCATCATTTTTTTCCGTCCTCTCATGAAATTAAAGGCGCGCGCTCATTAGAAAACGCCGACGTTTTCTTTGTGGCGGGAGCTCGCTTGCGATAAATAGCGCCCGCGCGTATGTAGGGCTAAGTAAGTTCATAATAACATTTTTTTTCACTTTTTTTCTTGAATCGGTCTTAACTTTTTTCACGCCGGTTCGTTCCAGGTGCCGCACAACCGCAGAGCTGTTGAGAGCCTCTTGGTAGGGTAGACGTAATAACAGGAATTTTTTCGTGTAAACAAGATATTCTGCTGCGAGTGATCTTAAAAGTAAGCAAATAAACATATGGCGAGTTCGTAACCCGTTTTCATTTCAAATTACATTTCGAATTGAAAAGGCAAAGGCAAAGGCAAAGAACCTGAAGGCGAACGTGGACAAAAACAGATTCTATTTCAGAGGAAATGACTGAGCACTACAACAATAACCTAGTCATAAGTTTAATTTTCGAGTCTATCACCTTCTCGGGCCCAAAGCGTTGAGTGTCATCCGTATCCGTCAATTAGACTCTTAGTAGTTAGTGGCACGTGGATCAAAAGTACTGACTTAACCATATTCGCCCAGTAATAACTCTCAGGGGGTTTTGTAATGGTGTGAGAATATCCTGGACTTTATGCAGAAATTACAGTATTCTAACTGAAGCAGAGTAAACAAGATTCCTCAAGAAAGCTCAAACAGAGACTTAACTGAACCGTTCTCACATTTTAAAAACACTGAACACAGTTTTAGCCTCCGAGGCTGAGGTAGAGTGTTTCGCTCGGTAGGTGTCCTCCTCGAATGCCTTTTTACCTCGTAACAAGAAATGATCACGTTTTTTCAAGAAAGAGGGGGGTGACATGCCCCTTGAGACACTCCCCCTTGCATGGCTGCACATGACAAAGCACTCAGTTTCGTTTGCTTAGGAGAACCTGAAAGAAATTTGAACGCTTTTTAGCTATTGCAACCTCTTTATTTGTTCCGTTCATCACTCTAAGCGCGCCGTTTGCTCCACTTAATTAAGAATCGCTGTTTCCCCCAGACTGATCTGAAGTGAAGATACATGACACCTCACAGTCAATTAGTGACGCGTTTCCGATAAACATTCGGATGTCCAATGCAATCGTATCTTTCAATGCCTTCTCGTATTTCAATCGAACACGGTTAAAGTCCAGTTTTTCCTCACTCAACTGCAGTTTAGTTTATTACCTTCGTTGAGAGTAGACGCCTGAGGCTTTTCACAGCTCGATTTCAAGATGAAGATAGCCGTAGCAGTTCTTCTAGTCTGTGTGGCTGCACCACAAAGTAAGTAATTCTTTTAGTCTGCCTCTTCTTTCGCAAGGAGCAAAAAAGTAAGGCTGTGCTGCTCACCCTCTTGACACTACATGGGAAATCGTTGACCGTCATCAATTGAATCTTAATGTCAGACCCGTTTTCTTACACTTCAGGGAGAAAACGGCCGATTTTGTCCCGAAAATTAGTCGGGACTGTTAGAACAAGCTTATGTTTTTCCCATTTTCCTATACAAAAAGCTCTTAAACGTGCTGACGAAATTTCCCTAAGATGCGCAACGTGAACATTGCAAACGTCGAAGTAGGATGTGGCATGGGCGTCGCTGAAAGAATTCACACAATTCACACTCTACACTAGTGGATATTTTCTTTGAATGAGTATTTTTAATTTTCGCGCGTAGAAAGAATCTGTAATAAGCAAAATTCGAACCTTCTAACCTTGCAATTGTTTCGTAATTTGTCGATGTCAATTGAGGATTTCAGTGTTTGCGATATTGATTCAGTGATTGCTATCGGCTGCCACGAAATCGCTAAATCTCAAGTTTAGTAAACCTTTCCAGTTATAGCTTCCCTCAATTTCCTCTGCTGTTAGAACGATTTCATCAGAGGAATGTTACATGACCTTTCGCTTTGTCGTCGTGCGTATGACATACGAGGATCGGAAACTCAAGCTGTAAAATGATACAAGGAATTTGTCGAAATCACTTCAGACATTTGATCGACTTTTAAGCTTACTCAGACATATTCCCAGATTATTCCGAGAAAACTAGTATTTTATTTTCTTGAAATCATGTCACATGAATTTAGCGTCGAAATGTCAGGAAATGGCACGCTAGGAGATAATCTCTCAGAAGCTCATATTCTGAGAATTATTGTTTGGGTTTATAAACGAGATCTTATGACCTGACAGTCTATGTTTAGTCTTTCTTTCCCATATCACTGCAATTCGTTGTTTAGGCACTCGCGAGTAAGACAATCAAAAATTCCTGAACGCGGTCCAATCATGGGGTTCGATTGCTGAAAGTCGGTTATTCGCTAAGAGGAGCTCAGGTCCTCACGAGATGTGTTGTTTTTCTCCTCCCTCGTTATCGCCAACGTCATTCTACTGAGAATATCATCACATTCAAAAATTGGTCTTGGCTACATTATGTGTAGTTTGAAACTCGATAGCACTACGGAAAACAGTTAGAATGTTAATAATCCTAGCCTACATTACCCCAAAAGGCGTATGGAATTGCTTTTGCCTACTGAGCTAAAAAATTTGCACCGTAAGCAGCAAAGGAGACAGAATTCCCACAACTTGGCCGGAAATTCGATTTTTCCAAACGTTACTCTTGGTTAAAAGCCAAGATTTTAACATCCTTTAGCTCTTAGATAAATATTGCTGATTAGGTTACGTTTTATTGGACAATAATAAGCTTCTGATGACAACTAATATTGTTTGCATTCTATGTTAAGATTTTCGGACTTTAGCCATAGATCTCTATGAAGTGTGTTACATGATACGCCTTCTCAAAGCATGTGAAAAGGATTAGTTTGCAAAAAATTAAAGCGACTCAACAGCCGTTAGGAAGTCTCTTTTGGGTTTTTTTTTGGAGCCAATCAAAGAGGAAAGATATACAGCATATTAGAGATTATGTTACGAAATAAAGCTCGGCTCAAAAGCTTAAATATGGCTGTTTTCGTACTCCGTGCTGTTGTGTTTTCACATCGATGCTTCCTCTCTTTGTCTCTCATGCGTAATAGCAAAAAATTGCAATCTAAAGCTCTCAAGAGCTTTCTTGTGTCACTTATATTTCAAGAAATTTCACAATTTTTCTGAATTTGCGCGTAATCGTGGGCAGAAGAAAAATCTGTCACTACTCTCAAAGCAATGACGGAATGGCCAAAGTCCGGACTTAGATAAGACCAACCCCCGCAGAGAACGAGGGACGAAGTTCAAGCTTGCACAGGCAAAAATTTCAATGCTTCGTAAAGCAACTTTACTCTAGGAAAATAACTAAAACTTTGCATGTATAGAAAGAGCCTGGTTTACTTTCTTTTACGTCCTAATTGATCATTTAAAATAGATATTTCGCGATCAATTTTTAGTTGAATAGAGAGCTTCTAATTATTTCGTAGGTTACAGATTCGAAATAGATTCCGATCTGCATGAGTCAAAAAATATTATTAACGCGTTCTTGAACCTGTAATTTATTACTGTCATGCTGTAAGAAGAACTCTTTTGGTCGAATGATTATTTTCAACATATAGTTATTGCTGCATCACAGACCTTGTGCAGCCTCGCTCATTTTATTTTTCCTTGCATGACTTTTTTGACCGCTATAAGATAAAAAAGATATGGCGCGTGGGCAGACCAACATGCGCTTGCATGGAAACGTTTTGCCAGCGTCAAATTCTTTCATAGCACTTGATGAGACATGTATCTGTCATTTTTCGCGCGAGACACACGCGCGTTGCTCTCTGCTTGTCCCTCGCTTTAGGTTATCTATGTTTCTGTATTAAGAATTGTTAAACTTAACGTCGGTTTCTTATAACTGTGGTGACACTTATCGTCGCATTTAATATTTTATCTCCGAAAGTTTTCGGATTCTCGCTCCCCTCTTTCGAGTATGGCGAAGCTTTTGAAAAAGCCAAAGAAATTGGACAGGAAGTTTTTCAGGAGGTTGGTAGACGCACTGAAGAGAAAAAGAACTCATTGCTAGAATCGGGAGAACAAGCGGTGGAAAAGTTGAGGCAGATGAAAGAAGAGATCAGCAGGCGCGCTGGGGAAGTGCAAGAAACTGTGGAAGGATCTGGAATGGAAGCGGCAGAGAAGTTGAGGGAACTGAAAGATCAGGTAGCCCAACGTGCCCAGAAACTAAAAGGAAGCGTTGAAGAAACTTTGGAAGAGAAGAAGAAATCTCTCCAGGAAACAGGAGAACAAGCTGCTGCGAAGCTGAGAGAACTTGGAGAACAGGCCACCAACCGTGCTGAGGAGATGAAACAAACACTGCAAGAAACAGGAGAACAAGCCAAGGAGAAGTTCGAAGAACTGAAAGAACAGGCAAGCCAACGTGCCGAGGAAATGAAGGGAAACGTGGAAGAAATGGTGGAGGAAAATAAGAAAAAATTTCTCGAGAATGGAGAACAAGCCATGGAGAAGTTGAGAGAACTGAAAGAACAGGCAAGCCAACAGGCCGAGGAAATGAGAGGAAACGTGGAGGAAATGGTGGAGGAAAATAAGAAAAAGTTGTTTGAGAATGGAGAACAAGCCATGGAGAAGTTAAGAGAACTGAGAGAACAGGCAAGCCAACGTGCCGAGGAAATGAAAGGAAACGTAGAGGAAATGGTGGTCGAGAACCAGAAAAAATTATTTGAGAATGGAGAACAAGCCATGGAGAAGTTGAGAGATATGAAAAAGAAAATCTGGAATGAAATGAAACAGAACGCTGGCACAAACAAAGAGCAGCTGCTGCAAGCCTTCCGTCAGAAGAAACAAGAAATGAAAGAATACTGGGGCGAGATAAACAAGCAAGCTGGCGAGGGCCAAGAAAAATTCAGGAAAATCTGGAGGGAGAACAAAGACAAATTGCGTGAAAAGGCAGAGGAGGTCAGTGTAACCCTTTGTTGTTTCTATATTAGAGTTGTTTTAACTCTTCTTTTGGGTATAAAATTTGCTTCTTAGACATTTACTAAAAAAAATTTCTAGTGCAAAAGAACCCGTTTGGATGGAATACGTTAGCTATAGAACCAACACCAAAGAGATCACAAGGAACAATTAGAAATAAAAAATATCACGAGGAGCCTGAAAAACTCAATATAGAAACGACCATACTGCATGAAACCTTTAATCCCTGAGATTTTTGATCTCTTATTTCTCCCCATCGTGTTACCCTTGAATCAAATGTGAAGGTCTTGAGAATGTAGGAAATGATCGCCAATGTAAATAGTTCTTGATTGTCAAACAGATTCTCCTTTTCGACACCTTGCGAAATGTATAGAGACCAGTATGGAGAATGTATAAAGCACCGGAAAAGCGATAATTTGTTGTCAGTTTTGCATAAGGCTGCATTGGTCCAAGGTCTGGTGCATGTCTCATGAGAAAGATATGTATAAATAAATATGTCCCGGAGTTACATAGGTGTGTAATTACGGAGTATTTTTCTTTACAGCAATGGGTGAAGTTCACTCAAATGACCACTGAACAACTCGAACAAGCCAAATCGGAAATTACTGATCTTGAAGAAAGACTGGTCTCCAGCCTTCCCGAGAAACCTTGGAAACAATTGAAAGACATAAAAACGACTGTCAAGGATGTCATAAAGTAAGAGAGATAACTGAAGTATTCGCTCATTTTGCAAACAGTATGTAGGGGATATGAGAAGGGTACGTTTTCATGGAACTTTGTATTCAAAAATAAACACAAATAACGTGTGATTTATATTTCAAACCCTCGGATGAGGTTTCATGACCCACCTTGGTACTCGCTGTTAAATAACTAAATATGGCAACAACATACTGTAACCAGATCTTTTTTGTTTTCTCCTTAGGTCTCTGGCAGAAATTCTGAATGTAAAAGTACGACAACTGCAACCCGAGGAGCCTGAGCCGACAGAAATTCCGTTCACCGGTGAGCCAAGCGAAGCTCCGATCACCGGCGAGTTCAGCGAAAGCAATGCCGCCGATGGCGGTGTCGGAAAAAAAGAAGAAGAGCCCCGTTTTTTCTCGCGCCTCCTGTCCGAGCGCAAAAAACGCAAAATGAAGCAGATCTTGAAGCAAGGAAGATCCTCCCTGTGGAAGTTGTGGAAAAAGAGCAGAGGTCTTAACTAGGAGAAAAATCAGCCTTGAGGTTCTCGCCTTGTTTTTTCACTCATAACGTTTTGATTTACATAGTTAATTTATATATACATATTATTTCATGGGGTTCCATGGGTTCAATATAGGTATATCTGATTATGAACAGTTCTGAGGCACTCTTGTCCCAATTGATGCCTACTGAGGAGCAAATTACGCGACGAAGCATTTATGAATTTTGGTGAACTCTTTGTTGCAGTTGTAAACACGTTTTCGATCTTTTTGTTTTTGTTTTTTTTGGGTGGGTTTCTCGTCATCAAGTGTCGTCCTCTTTGCCGACGACAACGAGCTCGGTGATTTTCTCAGTCTTATTTTGTATCTGCGATAAAGTTCTTAAGGGGATCGAATATTAACCGTGAAATTTCGTGTTTGAGTCGAAAACTTTCTTTGATCAAATAAAGACATTTTGAAATATAAAAGCTGTTGTTGTCTGTGCTGTGTGTGTCAATTGAATGATCAGTTGTTTGACGTTCGCGGTAATCACTGAAGTTTCTGCAGGCTACTTTTTAATATTCTCCTCATGGTGCAGTAATATTCACCGCCTGTGTGTAGTGCTTCCGAAGGATTATGGACTTTTCACTACTTGAGCGCTAATTTTACTTGTTTGCATGAAGAACATTATCAATAACTTAAAGTCAACCAGCTAGTTGCAATTTCAGTTAGACAAATCTCTTTAAGTAAAGAAACGATACGAAAGGACTCGATTGAAATTTTTAAGTCATCGCTCTAAGGAAGAATTCCGAAAATCTATTGAAGCAGCCTCAGGGAATTTCATATTGCTTGGAGTTAGCGCGAGATTCTAGTTGTTGGAGATTTGCTATAGACTATTCTTTCGCAACCACAAAATCCCGCTGGGTGCAATTTTCAGTAAATTTGGCCGTTAAAACCTTTTGGATTCTCCATACTGGTCTTTATACATTTCTTAAGGTGTTGACTAGGAGAATTTGTTTACTGATCACACGCTTCTTTTGTTGGGCATCATTTTCTTCATTCTCATGACCTGAATGTCTGATTCAGGGCTGATATTGTAGGGAGAAATTAGATGCTGGTCATTCTATGGGTTTAAAGGGTTAACTATTGTTCCTCTTCGACAAAAGGAAGTGAAAAAGACTTCTTCTCTCCACTTTCCATCCATTTCCGTGCGCGAAATTATAGAAGTAATTGAGAAGAGGGCATCACCCAAAAGTAATACATCTGGAACTCAACTACGATCTGGACTAGACGTGGCCTAGAACTTACGGTGAATTGAAAATATGTGTGTCATGATAACGTGTTATCGTGTGTTATCATTGAAGTTCATTGAAATTCATTTTGCTTTTGATATGGTTTCAGTTAAAAATAAAATCGGATATCCTGCGATGAAAATAACTTTCTTACTTTCTGATCTGAACCTCTCCAGAATCAAGGTTACTTCCCACCTTCACGGGTGTCCTAGCAAACTATACGTCGGAGGAAAGTTCAATAACTGCAGTTTACGATGAAAATACAATTTAAGCGGGTTTTTCTGTCAGGAAGTGTCAGGAGCCGGTAAGGTGTGAAACGACTGAGGGCTCTTCTATTTTATTTATCGGGTATCGGATGCCACAGCACGAGCAAAATGGCTGCACAGTCTTATTCACAAGGCATCCATCAACTACCATGTGCCAAGCCTTTTCGATATTCTGATTGGTTGTCCAGATATCGGCATCTAAGTTGGAGTAGCTAAAAATATGCGAGGCGTGTAGAGCAAATAGATGCCACGGGACAAATATTTCAAATATCAAAATTTTTCCGACACGTTTTCGTTAGCCATTATTCCTGGAATGTTTCGGCGAAATTTAACTGAAATCGGTGAAATCTAAATACCCTATAAATTTGCCTAAAGTGGTTGTGTTCCTCCCAAAATCAAATGCGAGATTTTAGCTAATATACGTTCGTAAACAACTCGCGCCTCGCCAGGAGATTAATGATCTTGCCTCCTGAAACGGCAAACCAATAGGACAACGGGACCTCCTGGCGTCGCTGACGATGGATCACGATTTCCAGGGAAAAGCAACCCATTGCAAACACGTCGTTTTTTTTTTTTTTATCTCGATCCCTTTGTAGAGCGTTTAAGAAGACAACACAATAATGGGCAAAGTTGCCAAAGGCAAAGGAAAAACTGGCGGCAAACATGAAAAAACCGGAAAATGTGCCGAGAAGTAAGACAAAGAATCGACATACAGCTTTCAAAATTACGACTTGAGGCGATCGCTAATTATTTTGTATCAAGGCTGGTACTTGCATAAATAAAAGGAAACCTCGTTTTTAACATTATGTATCACAAATTTTGGTTTGACGGCGACTTCTTTGTTCGGAATCTGGACGCCAGCTTGGAGCTCCGCCAGTACCAGTCGCTTTCACCAAGGATTTTTTTCCTTTTTTAACAGAATGGTACTCTTTTTCTTTTCATTAGGCCTGCTTTTTTTCCCCCAATTTTTTCACCAAGGAATTTCTTCTGCTTTTGATTTATCCATAAGCAAAGCCGATTTTACCATAGGTAAAGAGCTTTCCCGTCAAATGCGCGATGTAAACAAAATGTGCAAATAACATGAAAAACGAGCCCCAAGATGAGCGGTTGCTGCGAAGATTTCCCCAAGGGATTCGCCAAGATACGAGATTATGATACCTTCCGGATTTAATAACTTTTATTTGAACGTACGTCAGCTAAGATGTTTGAATTCAGTTTAGTCAAATAGAAGAAAAACAATTTTTCGGCCTCTTAGGTGGGAAGTAACCTTAAATTAATTTGTCCTGTATTCCTTCGTAAATAAACTTAGAATATGACGCTCAATTCTCAGTGTTTACGCGAGACAACTCGGTACGTGGAAGAAAATGAAAAATATTGGCCCTTGAAAGCGTGGAATGGCAGTGCAGATGTCCACGGTTTTTTTAATCAGCAGAAACAGTGTAAAACAGAAAAACGCTGCATTGGAAAGCCTTGTGCTCTGTTTTTAAATACACCAAATAATTGACATATGGCTTCAACTGATGTAGTTTACCTTCTGTCTATCGCTGATATTAGTGACATTAACATAAGGTATTCTCCTCTTTCGATTTCAATTCTGCAAATGAACTTGTTGTTACCATTCCAACAGCACATCATAAATTTTTTCTGCTCTACCAAGTTGATGTTGCTTTTTTTTTTTAACTGGTGAAGTTTTATGTAGAAAGACTTGAAGCACTTAATTTCTTTAATTATGTAGCGTACATTTTGTTGTTTTCTTTTCAAGATGAAAGATTAATTTCACATTCAGAGTAAACTCTAACACACCATTTCTCGCTTTTACGTCCATTTTCCATAATTATGCATTTACAAGTGTCTCAGCAAAACAAGAGCTGTGAATTTAGCATGTTTTTCTTTGCATAGAAATCGATTAAAACTAGTAAGGCTTTGATTGACTCCTCTGTTCTGGCTGACAAAATCGTCAGGTTTGGAAGCTTGACATTAACATATTACATTAATTTAAACATGTCGTTTTATAAGGCAACGGGGAGAACGCTTTTGTTGTCGTGCGTTTTTGTTTGTCTGGGCAGTCCAAACACAAGACCATTTGAAAAAAAAAAATTGCGAAAAAATTAATGGGCGCTCTTACTCTTGCTCTGAACTTGGGAAAAACATGAAAATTCATTCAATTTTTGCCTTGCATCCCTCTCTCAAAAAAAGAATTTTTCCGACAACGGTATCCTTCTTCAGGTATATTTTTATTGAGTAAGTCTGTTTTAAAATGGTAATATATACCTTTTGTAGTGTTTTTCGGTCGTTTATGGTAATTAAAATCACTGTGTTTTAACACCTTGCCTTTGGCTTCAGTTTATCGGGAGTCCTTTAATCTTGAATCATTAGAAAGGATGGTTTTTTTTGCTATACTTTTCCGAAAAAAAAAGGAAGGTTTTTAATCAAATGCAAACAAAGCGAAACTTCATATTTTCGAAACACTTTCTCGATTTTTTAAAATATTCTTATCAAGCGTTTCTCTCTTGGTTCAAGTGATCGGAGATGTCTGAATGAGATCTGATCCAACACCTATTTCATAGAGTCTTCAATCAAGTCATCAGGTCGAAATATTTTGGGTTACGACGCTACGTCTTTTGAGGCATGTTATCACCTCGACCGAACACTTTTAGACGAGATCAACATACAACTTCTCCATATCAGTGCATTATCCGTTAATCAGATGATAAGAATAGAAAAACTTACCAGCTAGAGGGTTTTATCTTTATTGATGTACGACCGAATTCTCTGCACTAATTTACAAGGATATAAATGGAAGTCAAACTTAGGAATCGTGCATCTGATCTTGAGAGTTAACGAGTTGAGAGTGGAGTGGACTTTCCGACATGACACCTGTCCAAATACATCACAAAAATAATGACTCTGTCAAACGCTTCCTAATTGTTTTTCACAAAACAAGAGAGTTATGTGAATGACTTACACATCACTTCGGGAGATTCACTTACGGTTTGTGAGAGAGTCAACTTCCTGTGAAGATCCTATCGGTTTGTGAACAAAGGCGTGATAAAGAAACTGTTTTGGTGGATAATTAACTTAAAGCCCCGTCATACCGTGAACTACGGACTCCAAACGGAGTTATTTTCATTGTGGAGTTTAATTTACAACAAAACGATTAAACATTGGCTTTCGAGCGGCTGTCGGTTGAGGAGCTTGGATTGATGTCTCAAGTCTTTCGCCGGGCTGATGATGTTCATGTATTACGAGGGATATCTCCTGACTCCCAATGAGGCGTTAGCGATCGTCTTTCTCATTTTTGGATTTTACACTGTTGTCGGAAACGTGTTGGTTTTTATTGTGTATATCTTAGACCCAGGTAAGAAACTTCGTCGAGTGTCTAACTCCTATTTTGTGATCAGCTTGGCTGTGGCGGATATCCTCGTTGGGATCACTGTGGAACCTATAAACGCGGCGAGTTATTGGACTAATAACCATGGTGTTCTCTTTAGCTATTTCATCTTCGCCGTTCTCTCGTGTGTTTGCTCTATTGCGAACATCTCTGCCCTGATGGCAGATAGGTTTCTCGCCGTTTGTCGACCGTTTCAATACCGATCGCTGGCGTCGCCGAATCGCGTTCGTTTGGCGTTATTACTTATCTGGTTGTTCTCCATCCATTTTTCCATCTTGCCCCTTATCGGATGGCGCAGCGCAAGCTTTCAAATCTACCTTTACGGCTTGGGAGTTCTATTACCAGCAACACTAATGCTCATCTCTTACTATGGGCTGCTGCGCGCACTGAAAAAAAAAATGATTAATGTGAAAAGTTATACTGATCGAAAAAAAGTCACCCACGTCAAAAAAACGGTAGCTCGAGAGCGCAGAGTATCCACGACAGTTTTCATCATGCTGTTAGTTTTCCTTGTCGCTTGGGGTCCGTGTGTGATAATAGATTTTGTTCTGGTGTTCTGCGAAAGTTGTCGCTCAGAAAAGCTTCTTCTCGCGCGAGATGTAACATTAACGATAGGGTTTTTCTCGTCGGGAATAAACCCGGGTTTGTATGCGTGGCGGGTTCCGAATTTTAGGCACGGGCTCATGCTTTTATTTCAACGAGGAATTAAGAAAAAATCCAGACTCGTCCAAGTTGTTCCTTTAGAAAAAGATGGTCCAAGTGGTGTTATGGACTCACACAGTTCCATTACAAAGAGCAACATTCACGATTTAGCTTTCAACGTGAGTAAAACACATAAAGAAACTATCAATTCAGTTTGAAGTCATTAGATATCCAATCTTAGTTTATTTTTAATTTTCTTGACGATGCAGGTTTCTTACCACAAAAATAATTGAAAAAAAATTTTTTTTGGTGTATCAACTATTTGTTTTCATTTTTGTTAGCTGTGAATTAAGATTTTGTTAAAAAAAAAAAAAACGTTCAATAAAGTCAGAAAGACAATTTTACTTCATGTTGGCTTCAATACACATTCTACGTCCTCCTACTCCTTCAGAATGAAAGTTTCTTGCCATAAATGATTTGTTTAACGTTATCGTTACTTTCAATCCTCCTTTCATTTTTCATGACTGCAAATTGAAATCGGAATGAACAACCAAATGTCAAATAGGGCTAAAAGAAAACGCTTCTTATTCACTAAATTTTTTCGTTTCCATTTTGTTATCTAAGGAACTTGTCTTTGATTCGTAATGCCGGGATCAACTCTTGGTCAACAATTAATAGCTCAGGAAGGAAAACGGATATTTTCATTAAGAAAAATGTTGTGGCATCACAGGATATAAACTGGAGCTCAAAGTAATTTAGGTTTAAAACTGGAGATAAGAAAATGCGGTAAGCTATGGAAGTAGACCAATGTATATCTGATCTACTGACTCAAACGAGTTTCCTAATTCTTCTAGGATTTATTCAAAATAGCTATTTCATTATTTTTCCTGACGACAATCATAACTCAAAAAGTTTAGTTAGCTTTGAATTTGTATTCTGTGGCCAATTAGTTTTAATGAGTTTTTTAGGAAAAAACAATTAATTGTACTAATCTTTGCCGAATTATATACAAGAAAAAGAATTTAATACTTGAGTAAAATCTCCCTGTCAAATTTCAACTCATGAACTTACTCAGAATGTCTTCTTTAAGCTTTACATTTCTCAGTCAATAAAAAAATGGTACTCTTAGCTTAAAAATGTAGGAAATATTGCTCAAAATAGTCATCGCGGCTGTTGCAAACGCGCTGGAAAACATAGGTGCACCTGCACAATTCTCAGAACAAATTACAGTCATTGTAATATAAACACGTTTCGTATATATGTGAAAAAGAAACCAATTTGTTACCAGGATACTCAAATTGTTTTGAATTTTAGTCTAAGAAAGATGAAACATTTTTTTGTTATTATCGGTGACTCGAAGATATTCAGGTTTTGCCGGGCATTTCGCATCTTCTCAGTTTGACACGAAGTTGATTAAATTCTGTCTTGTAATTCGGTGATAAGATAAGGGAACATAAAATCTAATGATGGCTGACATCAAAGGTGACTTCAACTCTTATATCATTGCCAGCTATGAAATAAGTTATTATCACCCTGTGGCGATTCATATACTGATTACTTTTCCCGCTGATAACATTTCCTTTTCCCACGCCTTATTTCAAGTGGACTACGAACAAGCGTTATATCGACAGCGAGTTGCATGATAGTATCTCGGTACCGCGCTCTATCTTTTCAAGTTCGTGCTTAGTCGAAGTAGGAAAAACTTTACATTTTCACTTCCAGGGAAAGTTGCAAGCCTCTTGATGAGATTAAAGATAATTATCACAATATAGTCTTAATGTGACATAAAATCTACAGCACTATGGCAGACCAAAAAAATTGATAGGCTTTGGTCGGGAGGATTAACTCACACATCTGCTTTTTGTTGAAACCACAGCCGAGAAAAAAAAAAGTTCAAGGAACGAAACTGCCCAAAAGACTAGAAAAAAAAGATAAAACAGAAGATTTACTCGCGAGAACACAGGAGAAGTCAAATCCCATATTCTCTACCAATCTTTTCACATTCTCTCAACCCCTTAACCCCTAAGAGTGACCAGCATCTAATTTCTCCTTACAAAATCCCCTTAAATCAAGCATCAAGGTCCCAAGAATAAAGGAAATGATCACGGACCAAAGAAGCTCTTAACTGTTAAAAAAATTCACCTTGCCAGTACCTTGGGAAATGTGTAAAACTTCCTGGTCGGTAAAAGAACTGAACATAATTCCACTCAGAGACAATAGAGCTCAGATAAGTTGGTGGCCATGAGTTAATGACAAGTGTATGAAACTATAAAATGAAAAACTGTAAGTGGGCCAGGAACAAAGGATTAGAAAACTCAATGTGGTGGTACATTGCAAATGAAGACGTTGCGCGTTTGACTGAATTGACTGTGTATCCCTGACAGGCAATACTTAACAAAATAGCTTTTTAACTTTTTGAGAAATAAGCACAGTTCTTGCAGCTTTCTAACTCTTTAAGAGCTCTGAACAAACTTCAAGACTAGTAATGCTGTTGTTTCCTGTTCCCATAAAATCTATAAAATTTCACCACGAACGAGGATGGAATTGGAGAGAATTATATCCATTACCTGCACGTAGCAAATAACTCGTAATTTATTCACCCCTCATTTGATTACATTTATTAAGCCTGGGGTGTTTGTTAATTTTAAGCGGTGCATTTATCGATTTTTAATAAAGCTTATTGGCGGTACATTTTTTCGTAAAAACGTATTTGGTACTTTAATTCGTATATCTACTCTTTGAGAACTAAACAATTCATAGAAGGAATCTTTAGGTAATTCTCTGATTGTGTCGCAAGAACAGAGATTTCCGTCCGAGATAGAGAATTAAGAAACTTTACTTGGAACAGAGAAGCTTTGCAGAGGAAAATTGATGACCTTAGCTTCTTTGTAAGGAAATTTGGAGGGGGATTGGCGACTCCAGCCCAGCAGGAGAATTAATATAACGCGCTTTCTTATTTAAATGAAACAGTTCCCATAAATTGTCAAATCCCACATTTACAACCAATCTTTTTACATTCTCTTAACCAGCATTCAGGTAATTTCTCCTTACAATATCAACCCTGAATCAAACCTTAGGGTCAGGAGAATAAAGGAAATGATCGCAAACTAAATAAGCTCTTGATCGTTCAAGAAATTCTCCTTGTCAACACCTTAGGAAATGTATAGAGAACAGTGAGGAGAACAAGTATTTTGATGTTACGACGTAAAGGGTTAAAGCAGGTCAAGCGAATACAAACTGAAAATAACAAATCAGAAAACAGCACAAAAGTTGAGATTAAAGGTTCATTTATAACAAGTGATCCAATTATTTCCCGTAGAATTGGAATTCACAGCCACTCATGGGTTGTTCAGTTCATTCAAAGACCACAAATTGTTCGTAAATGAAAATTTTTTTTCGTGCTCATGAATTCCAAAATGCACTCGGAATCATTTGATTACCTGCAAGAAACGCATATATTCGGTGCTTACAAAAAAAGTGGATCTAAATGACATTGTATACGCAAATGTACTGAATAACTGATCCATTATGCTACAAAAAGGAAGATACGCTCAGCGGTTCCCCTTGATTGTACGGTGTTGATACAGACAGGAAACTAATCCATACAAAGGTTTAAGTTACATCTTAATCACGGAAGAGAAATACTCTTTTAATTGATAAATCTATTTGTTCCAAAGGGCTTAAGAGGACAATAAGCCGGATAACTGATATGAGACAGCCATATTTACTGCGATTACTCTTCAGATTTAAGCAACCTGATTTACTTCTTACAAAGCCCATGGAGTTGACAACATCCCCATGAGAACCATTAAACCACGCGAGCCCTAACCTCCTTTTAGGTAGTGGGTATTTCCCGGACCCCCTTCAAATATCGAAGGTTTTTTTCCGTTTTTTAAATCTGGTGATCCTGAAAGGTTTGAAAATCAATGATCTATCTCCATTCTTTTCGCCTTTTCTAAACTTTGTGAAAAAGTAGCCTACAATCCGCGTATGTTGAATTTTAAATTCATTACATTGTTGTGAGCGGTAATCAGTTTGACTCGCAGAAATCACTCTGCCTTAGTAGCCTTGATTCAATGAGTTAATAACATCGCTTCTGCTGTAGGCAACAGAAAGACGACAACTGTCAAAGTTTTTCAAGATCTTCTTAAGCTTTTCACACTATTTCCGCTACCTATTCTCCAATAGAGTTCTAGCTATTTTTAAAACCCTTTAACTCCCAAGATCTTATTAGTAATGCTCCTTACTGTCTGCCATACAGTTCTTGTGATGTTAGTTTGGAGAAATTGGTATTGGATCAATTTATAATCCCCTAATTGATACTTTTCTCTACTCTCATCACTTGTATGCTTGAAATTGTATTGATATTGTAAGGAGAAATTCTGTCTTGGTCACTCAGTACGTTCAGTTTTGTAGAGCTTGCTCGCAAGTGAAACCATTTACATGTGGTATCCTGCAAAGATCAGGCTTAGGCCTTCTCCTTTTTATTATCTGTTATCATATCTGTTATGGATGTATCCCTATCCCAGTTCTTTTAACCCTTTAACTCCCAAGATCTGATTGTCAATTCTCCCCTCTAGCTGCTACACTTTTCCTTGGAAATAAGTTACGAGAATTTGGTGTTAGATCGAGATAACAACTTCTACCCGATAAATTTGTGTATTCTCATGACTTGTTTGCTGGATAATGTTTAGATATTACAGGGAGAAATTACATGTTAATCACTTTTGGGAGTTAAAGGGTTAATACCGTACGGTCCTCAATTTATCCTTTCAATTTAAACAGGCTATTCCGTACGCAGAAACGTATTGTCAGAATCATATATTTAGTGCAGAGCTGAATATCCTGCTCATACACTGTTTTACAGTCTTAATATCTTCGACACTTTCAAAATCGACACTTCCCTTATAAGGATTGGCGACAAAAAAGAAAACGCACGAGTTGCAAATTTTTCTAACGTAGCACTGGGCTGAATCCTCCTCCAGCGGGCGTTTTTAGAAGCGACTTCAAAAAGCGACTGGTGACGAGTGTGAAGCGCAAGGGACTACGGGAAGGCGACGTAAAGAAAGGACGCAACAATCTCTCAAATTTCGCCTCACCACCTTCCCTTGCGCGCCTAGTTTTTACTCGCAGAGAAGTGTATGAGCAAGAGGTAGAGAACATATATCATCCATTTCCTTTAAAGATTTTCTAAATAAATGCCTTTTTTAAGCATGTTTGCTGGATTTTTCGTAAACTTCCCTGATTAATTTTTCGTTTCAGCTTACTAATCTATACTATTTCAAAGCAATGTAAAGACGAAGACGGAGAACCATGAGTCGATCCTTTCAACAGTCGTAAACAAAGTGTTTGAGCAATCAGCTTTACGAGGTGTAATAATCAATAGCCGCATATCAGAAGTCTTCAGAAAGAAAGTATTCTGTCTTCAGAAAGCTGTCAAGAAAGCTAGTAATCGTGGCGGAAGGCAATTAAATGATCTTCTTAGCAAGTTGGAAACGGGCCCACGGTATCGATTTAATATCATATCGATCTCAATATCATACAGTTTGTATCTTTCTTCCGTAGATTCGCCTTTCTAACTAGGGTGTATGTGGAGTATTCATTGCAAAATCGCTTTGTTTTTTTATTTCCCTCTTTGGCCTGTCCGCCATTTTGAAAATTCGTAACGGAGAGCACGCGCATTACGTGGGGTTAGTGGTTGCGTACACCTGGAACCGAGAAAAACAAATGTTCGTCGCACTGAGGAAAGAGTTTGATATGGAGAGGAAATCAGTCTGAGATTAGATCCATGTTCAGTTTCATTCGAAAACAGTATCAAAGTACGCAATGTTAACTGCTTCTTCTCTCCGTCTTTTTTTCGGATTGTGACTATATGAGAATCATGTATGTGAACTGCGGAAATTCATTACTGCAAAGATCGCTTCCATATTCACATCTTTTTTTCCTTTCTTCTCTCGATTTCTCTCTCGATTTCTTCCTTTATGAGTGGTGCTGAGTGATCAATATCCCTTTTGATCGGATCGAGTGCAACCTGTCCGCGTATAAAACCCCGAGCTCCTCGAGAACAAGTTCGAAAAATCACTGTCTGGCTTACAATCACACATTTTGATTTTTTAATTCAGGAGTAGCCTGAGTTTTTATCTACCTCTTTTCCGACAGCATGAATTGTTTTCTTCCTTTTGTTTGTTGTTTCTCTTGCCCGTATTTGCATGTTCTTCTTTCTAATTGTCTTTCATTTTCCTTAACATGATCATAAATCATATCCAAACGCCTTAACCGGGTTAATCCTCCTGTTGATAATACTTTAAGCGCGCTCGTTAACGTAGTTTTTGTTGAATTATAGAAATTCATATGTGAGGTTTTGAGCTAACAAGTCGGGATAGCTGTTATAACTTTTGGAAAAAACGTGCAATAAACAGATCGAACAAGAAGGAAAAGTCTGGCACACAATCTGTTTTTGTGTTTTCGCAACAATTAAGAGCTCTGCGACTTCCTTAATAACACGACGGGGATGAAACCGGCCGGCAAAAAAAAAAAACTTAAGTTAAAAGGATGTAACCATCATCAGTCAGGCATTAAATCAATTCTCATTTATTTGATGAACAAAAGCGTATTACAACCTTGATTGCTGTGTACAATAATATCCCAGTTACTTCAAAGCAAAGTAAGTTTTCCCGTCTCATCATATACCGACATCCAACGAGGAGAGAAGGCTTGTGATATGCCGGTTAGTTTTAGCACGCAGATGTCGACTGCGCGTTTAGTGTATATTGCTCATGCAAATCCCAGGTTTTTGCAACAACTCTTAACTCCAAAGATACGAATTATATTTTGAATCATGATGCGCATAAATATCCTCCCTCGCATCTTTATTTCTATACATATTATGTTTTCTTGCCCACTCCGCCTTTTACAATAAAGTAAACGCCATGATTAAAAATAAAATTTATATACTTCGTTGGCCATCTATGTTAAGTGACCACTTGATATTTAATCTACGGAGCGTGTTCTTGGAAATCGATTGTGAGTTTTCGATACAAGGCTGGATAAATATTTTTTTGTTTTTGCTATCAGCAGTGATTCTCCTCGGATAACTTAACTTGTTCATTAAAGCAAAAGGCGATTACAGAACAAAGCTAAATATAAAAGTTATTGAACAAGTCCATTTGAAGTGTTATGAAGTCGTCAGGTAAATTGCAACGACAAAAGTTTTCCCCGATTGTCAGTTAACATGTCAAGCTGACACCAAGCTGTCTCTAAATATTTATTTGCTGTACATATGTTTTTTTCTAGATTTTTCCTTTTTCCTAAAATATTATATATTTTTGTTTTTTATACCCATAGATCTTATATGAAAGAGTCAGTGGATAAAGCCTGGAGCCTCTGCACATTGTTTGCTATTCTTGACATCTATCGTAGTCTTAAAACCTTTCCTAGGTTTCTCAGGTGTCTAACACTTAAAATGTGCAGCTCTATATGAGCCTAGCTTATAGGAAACACAATATTTTTTACTAATCTTCTTAAGAGACGATCCTCGATCTCCTTATTGCAGCATAGTCAATTCGTCTTTCATCTAATGCCATCTAACCAACGCATTTCATCTGGCTCATTGTTGTTACGAATTTGACATACTTCTTGTCCTTGTGAATGTCACAGTTTCTTTGATAAACTGAACGGCCGGACATTGATCTCAAGAAACGTCATTCGCTAAGTCGCGAGGTGATAAAGGATTCAACTCTACCACGGCCGGTGAGAAGTTTGAAACAAAAGGCCCTACCTTGGACGGGCGTCGTTGTGACCTCAAGTTGATACTATCCCTTCTTCGGAACTTCATGATCTTCAACAGTCCCTGTTTAAATTGGCGAACTCTCCAAGCATACAGCAGGGGGTTAACTCCTGAGGAGAAAAACCCCAGGGATAAAGTGATGTCCCTCGCTAACAGAAGATTTTGTGATCGACAATGCGCACAAAATACAAGCACGAAATCTATCACTACAAATGGGAACCACGCAGTGAGAAAAACCACCAACATAACAAAGACCGTGGTTGAAACCCGGCGCTCCTTTTGTACCATTTTTTTCGCCTGCGCAGTTCTTTGACAACGAGACGAAAATCTTCGAAGTTTGGCATTTTTCTTCCTGAGAATTCGAATCAAACCGTAATAGGACGAGAGCATTATGGCAGATGGCAGGAGAACTCCACAACAGTACAAATAAATCTGAAAGCTTTCTTGACGCCAGCCCAGCAGCGCTAACAGCGAAAAATGGAACGAATAAAGCCACAAAAAGACGACGGAAAGACGCACTCGCTTCTCTGTCACCAAAACACGATAGCGAAACGCCTGGCTGACAGCAATGTAACGGTCTATCATCATAGCGGAGATGTTAAGAATGGAGCTAACACATGACAGCACTGCAAAGATATAGAAGGCAAATAAGGCGGGCTCACTCCCCGTCCAATAAACAGAGACATTCAGAGGTTCCACAACGACACCGACTAAAATATCAGCAAACGCTAAATTTGCCACGTAATAAAACGATAAGGTCCGCAGATTTTTGAACGGGTCAATAATATATACGCAACAGACGAGCACATTTCCCACAACAGTGTAAATACCAAACACAATAAAGACCACTGCGAGAGGAAGGCTAACTTTCAGGAGATATCCTTCGTAAAACATGTAGTATTTCATCATGAGCTGGTTTTAGAGAAAACTCAACTGGAAATCTGAAATGGCATCTGCGACACTGTGAAGCTCTGAATCAAATTAAGATTGCTCATAACTCGTGCGGGAAGCCCTCACGGAAACCAAAAAATAACACTAAATCGCCTGCAGGTTATACGACATGCAAATGATCGGCAAACAGCAAGCATAGTTCAATCAGAGATTGGATAATGACCTAAGGAGATTAACATACTGGTTTGTCTTTGTTTGGAATTCGCCCATTATGTTATTCGACGGTAACAAAACCGCGACATAATAAGATCTCTTTTGTCCTCAAGTAACAATTATTGTGCTCCAACACCTGTTATAATTTAGGCAAAAAACATGGTTTCTTAGGCAGCTGGTCCTCAGACATGTTAAGAGCCAATATTTTTTTGTTGTTCTTGTTCCTCTTTCAAAGTATAATTTCATAGCTTTCTGGGATAAGTTCGCTCACACGCAATGTTTTTCGATCAGAGCATTCTAGATCTCTCAGCCTTAAAATTTAGATTTATTATGGTGACTTGGCAAATAGAGGATGTTAATTCCTACATAAGGGTTCGGATGAGGATATGACGGAAAAAAGTAAGTTCTTTTTCCCATATCATAAGGAGATGAGTTTAAAACAATGCAATTCATTGTGGTGTGAAATATGTAATTATGGGTTTTAGAGAAGTATATTTTTAACGTCATTTTTGCATGAGTGCGAATGATTCCACAAGTCTTCCAAAGCGTCAACAACAAAAGCAACAACAGCAAGAGCGAAAAACACACGAAAAACTAAAGAGGAAGTACAAATAATGAAATGAACCAAACCTAATTTCTCTTTGCGTTTTATTATTTAGGGTCTACATATACCAACATGCAAGTCGCTGCTTCGTTTCAAATTTTCCTGCTTTTTTATCAAAGCGCATTAAGCGTTATTGTTTTATATCATTCAATTAAAGCGTATCGTTTAAAGCCTTGCCCAAACGTGATTATTAAAAGAGGTAACTAGCCAGATCTTCGCATTGTTCAACGTACGTTGATTTACGGTGAAAATACTCCAAAAGAAATGAAAAAAAAAAAACCAGTTCATTAATGAAGGCATCGACGTCGCACCATTGGTAAACCTAGTTATTACACCTTGCATTTAAAACAGGCCTCATTTACATGCACGTACATTCTCACATTCGAAGATTTTCCAGCAAGTTGGGAAACAACACTGATAAAAATTGGTGCGCATCAACTTATCATTCGCAAAAAGATTTTTGCTCGACGTAGAGTTTGTTTCAAAGTAACAACTCTTTAAATTTGTTCTACAAACAGCGTCTGACCTAGAAAAAAACTACCAAGTGTCAAAAAATCTACTTATCCTTTTGCCCAGCGCCAGTTGATAGAAAGTTTGATTGCCAAGCAACGAAAGTAGATATTTTCCGAGGTATACTTCGACACTCAAAGATGCCTCGACATCTCTAAATAAACAAAGCTTTTTGTTTTCTTTCATCTTATTTTCCTTTTAAACCGGAAAAAAGAAAACGGGGAGAACTTTCGACAGAAGAATCCTACCCTGAGCCAAGTTATTTTATAACTTAGTCAATCTGGATAAAAGTAACGTTCGAGTCCCAACGACGGCCGTAACAACGCAGTTGAACTGCAAACCGAAACTTAATTTCGACAGAAACTGGCTGTCCGTTCAGTCAAGAGTACCATTTCCATCAACAAAGCAAAGTCGTCGCTTTAGAACAAGGAATCCAAACATGACAATCATGTCATTCTCCTGCACAAATCACGTGAGAAGTCTAGTACTCGTCTTTACTTTCCACTGTCCAACCAACATTAATTCTTTCAGAACGTGATCAGCTTCTATGTGACCTGTTTAATACCCGGTATCCTCTCTACCTAGAAGCCATCACGTGATTTTCTATCTTCCTTTCCTAAGCTTAACGGCACAAAGTGCTCTTCAGCTTTCGATAACCAAAAGCCGTAACAAATTCTGCCTTACTCGTGTAAGGTGTCCTCTATTCAGAAACGTTTTTATACGCAGGATTATAAATTTCATTGGCAACAGAAAAAAAAGGTAAAATTTCAACACCCCATGAAAGTTGTTTCAGCAGTGGTGTCATTGGTCGATAGAAATCGGTTATTGTCGGGTAGTACAAAATTTTCCAAAGATCTGCGTTTCTAGAGAGCACAGTCATCTTTTCACTTAACCAGAGGTTCTCGGCTCCTTAGATGTTCAAATACGGTTAAAATTTCGTTGCTGTAGCACGGCATTAGCTGCTAATTAAAGCAGCCTAAGAAATAGCAGTATCCCTTTTACTTCAAACAGCGTGCGAACGAGCTGACGCTTGACGTAGGGCAAGAACGAGCAAGCTAGCTTAGCTTGCTTGTTTTTACTTCGGGTTCGTTAAGATTTTTCCTTCAGTCAGTTCTGATTGCTTGTGTTTTGTCACAGGTTTACGATTTCTCATTCGAAATGCGCGCCCCTGTCTCCGTACTAATTTCTGGGGTTTTTAGCCTCAAAATTAAACTAGAGTATTTGGAGCGGTTGTCCTTTTGCCGGCATCAAAATTGGGTAGCCATTCCAGAGCTCATTCGCTTCAAACTTTCTCCCACTTTAACAGAATTTCAAAGGGAAGGAGAGAAGACACTTGCAGTTAAATTCAGTAAAAAGCTGAAAGTCCAAAAACGTGTCAGTTGGCTCCGCTCATCGTGGAATACAGAAAGAATCTTCTCCTCTACTGTTAAAAACTATAACTTTAGTAGCACAACATAGCATAACAGTGGGCCATTATTCCGTCTCCTTCGTCTTCACGGTACGCGCAGAAAACCGAGGACTAAACACAGCTGCTTCTTATTTACCAGGGAGACATTTGTAATGTCATCAAAAGTCAAAAATTCATTCAATTCAGTTCCTTAACCTCTAAGACGCTCGGAACATCTTCATTACAAGACTTATAAGACTGTTTCTGAGTTCGGTGGGGCAGATTGCTGCTGCTTCCTTCGATTAATTGGAGTCGATGGTTTCGACCCGCTTCCCCCACCGCCGCCAGTGCTGAGCTCGTCAGTCTCAATAATTGTATCCTGTCCGAACTTCATGGCACCGTTTGTTATACGATGCGTCAATAAAGGACTAGAATACTGGCCAGGATTAACATCTAACTTGGCCGAGTGTGTGGGTGTACCCGCTTCAGAATCGAGTAGTAACTTGTGCTCTAGCATCGGCGATTTTGGCACTAAGCTATTAAGGTTTTTGTAAGACACTGATTCGGCATTCTCCCGTTTGCTCAGTTCCTCCTTGTAGTAAAATTCAAAGTTAGAGACTATGACCGGTACAGGAAGAGCAATGGCGAGTACTCCTGATAGAGCACACATAGCTCCCACCAATTTACCTGCGAACGAACAAATAAGAAGTTTAACTGAGGCAGTATTACTAGGCGACAAAATCTGTTTCACTGCAAACAGCGGAAGCAATTAAGACTGTTGCTACTTTGTTAGATAAGCCTTTGGTTTGTATACTATTCCATAGAGTGGCATTTCTCCTTCGTCTCCCAGTTTTCTCGGAAGTCTCTTTGTTCAACCCTTTCTTTCCCAAGATTTAAATAGTAATTCTCCTTACTGTCTGCCATACAATTCTTACGATGTTAATTCCAAGAATTTAGTATTGAATCAACTGATAATCACCTAATAGATATTTTCCTTTATTCTAATCGCTTGTCTGCTTGTAAGGAGAAATTATGTCTTGGTCACTCAGGGAAGTTGACGAATGTAGTACACAGATTCATATATTGGTTTTAGTCTTTTCATAGAAAGTGTGAGAGAAGTTGAAGTTTTAGGGGCCAAGCGAAGCCACAAACTGCTAACAACAATCTCCAGATCAACTTTCCAAAAATAGAGTTAATAAATTCGTACGCGGCCTAAACGAAACATATTTAGGACATCATACGTGGTCCAATAGCCAACACTACTTACCGAGTGTGGTCTGAGGATACATGTCTCCATATCCTACCGTTGTCATGGTTACAACCGCCCACCAGAATGCGTGTGGAATGCTGGCAAACTTCGAACCCGGTTTATCCTCGGCGTAATACGCGGCGCTTGCAAACAGTATGACTCCAATCACCAGGAAGAGCATTAACATAATCAACTCGTTGACGCTAGCGTACAGAGTTTTCCCTAACACGTGCAAACCTTTGGAGTGACGCGTCAGCTTGAAGATTCGACACACACGGATCACTCTCATTACTCGGAGAATATCAATGCTGCCCGCCGACTCCTCTGGGACAATCAGGCTCACGTAAAATGGAAGAATCGACAACAGATCTAAGATGTTCAGAATCGCTTTGAGAAATCGAATCTTATTAGGCGATGCGATGAAACGAATCACGTACTCAAACGTGAACCACGAACTGCAGATCGCGTTTAACACAAAGAACACGTGTTTGTTTTTTCCGGGCTCGGCCGGCTTAGTCTCATTAGCGGCCGGCTTAGTCTCATTAGCGTCCGTTCGAGGGGAATCATTCAAAACAGGCATTGTTTCCACGCAGAATACCACTATCGAAAGCAAGATAATTACCAGCGAAAATATAGCCAAACCTTTGGCGCAGAATGAAGAATTTGGGCTCTCGAATGCGAGCCAAATTGCTCGTAGGGTCCTATTCTTTGGAAGTTCTTCTTCGTCGTCATAGTCCTTCCCGCCATCGTCGTCTTCACAGTTTGCAACCGCTTCGTTCTCCTTCTGCATGTCATCCGTCAACTGGAAAAAGTTCAATTCCTCTAGGAAAATATCAGGTGGCACGTGCAAAGGCCGTTCCAACATTCCACCAGACTGATAGTAATACAGAATGGCCGTGAAGGAGCTGCGATGTCGGTCAAAAAAGTACTCGTTGTTTTTCTCGTCGAAGTATTTCTTGCGCTTTTCAGGATTTCCCAGCAGCGTATTGGGAAACTGGTTCAACGTGCTCTCGTATGTCTCGTATTTTTTTCCGCCAATGTTGATTACAATTGGTTCAGTCAACGATGTGTCCACCACGCCAACTGGTACCGAGTTGGCGACAGACCAGTCACGTGATGTAGTGCGTGAACGGCGATAGCTGAGTGTAACTGCTGTAGCGACAGCCATTGCCATAGGGATAAATTGAAACAATTAATGTCAAAATTCTTACTTTTCAGTGTTGCTTCGCCCTCTTCGAAGGCACAAACTACTCAAGTCTCCAACCTTTTTCGAAGGCGTGCTTAATCGCAATGTCTCATTCGAAAACTATTCATACATTCAGATTTTTCCCAAAGTGCGGATTTTCGTAGCTTTCACAAACATCGGCCCATTGGCTACGATCTCCAATCTCTTGGCGATAAGTCTTTTTAATCTACTTTTCGACTTTTTTCTCCGAAATAAGAAAATAACCAACTATTTTAATTATTCAAAATGCACAGCACGACACGCGTTCGAGGATTTTGAATTACGATTCTTGGAAATAATTGATCTCTTTGGCTTCTCCTTAGAGTATTTTGACGGTTCAATTTTTCAAACGGCTGTTAAACAACTAATTCTGAAAAGCTTTCGTCTCTCGTCGAATATCAGTGAGGAAACTTTTCACGATGTCCACTGCGTTTGCTGAAACTGCAACAGCCATTTGCGGACATTGGAAAGATACTTCAGCCTTAAAAAGCCTGTTCAGATTTAACCTTGCATATTATTAAAAATATACTGAAGATTCTGTTCTCTGCAAAGTGGAGTCCTTGACGACTGTTCAGTCCTTCACAAAATTCTGGAAGAAAAAAATTTCATAGATCAATTCAATCACTAGTAACTTTGTGCATAGAGATCAAAGTAGAGCACATTTTGAAGCTTACCAATCAGTGGTTTATGTAAGGTATTGGAAGAAGAGACAAATTAATAACTAGTTTGCTTGTGACCAAAGGCAATTTCCTATTTTCAATTGCACATCGGCGGGGAGCCTCTATTTTACTCGAACTGTTCAAATTACACCTGAACTGGCATATTCAAATCGAAACGCTCTGAACTTAAAAATAATTATCGGGTTAGTTTGAGCACGTATCATGATAAAAAAGAAGCTGATGAAAGATGAAAGGAAAAACCGTGCAGAAAATATTTTCTCTCAATACCTCCCTCTCTGTATATGCTTTATACCGCTTTTTCCCATAAAATTGAATGCTCTTCCCATAGATTGCCTAAAGTCCTATCAAGTGTTTCTACTCAAGCTGGTTAAACGGAACAACGGTCTCGACTAAGATTTTTCAAAACTACAAACTTTTTTCTATAAAAGGGCGCGAGAAAAATTATGTCAAATGTCAAATTCATTTTTAAATAACCTACTCCCTCAGGTCAGTGTTGTTTTTATTTTTCTGCCCGCGATGACGTCTTTGCACTTCTAACAAGATTGCCGATATGCCTTCGTAGTTATTTCGCCACGCAAACGTGTTTGGACATACAAGCGCCCACTGAGAAAACTCCGGATCCGAAGTCCCGCTGGAAGGTGCCCAAAGATTGGGAGGTAAACGTGTAAATCCCTAAGGCAATATCTCTTTTTTCTTCAGTCAAAGGCTGTTCCTCGAGAAATCCACCTAACAACTTTATGGATTCTGAACTTAACAAAACAGGTGTCTTCAAACGCGGTAATTAATAGGCAAAATTTAATAGGTGTTTGTTTGGCGCCAACTTCGGGGTAGCGCGGGTGTTGCCTAAGACCGCAAAAACGTCGCAATTATTGTTACTTCGAACAGGAGCGTGGCGTTTTAAAATGAAACGTTGAATAAATCAGTAACCTTCCAGACTGCTTTTTTGTGACATGCAAGTTTGCCTGATTAGAAATTATTTTTGCTAATCGTCAAAAATTAATCAAATTGACAAAGACTGAAAAATGCTTTGCTTGGAATGTTCTGTGGTCAAAATCATAGGAATTAACCCAACTGACAAGGAAGAATAACCTTGGCCTTCTAAAAGTCCTAGAATGGTCCAGATTGCACTCAATTTGACAGCAAAAAAATTTAACTACATGCAGTTGAAAGACAAACTCATGTTATTTTGGCCGTATAAAAATTAACAAAAAATATGATTCGAGCGCAAATTTTAAACATAGTAAACAAAATCCAATCAATCAACACAGGTCAAAAAGATCAAGTTCATCCGAGATAAAAATTACTCTACCAAGAATAGTAACAAATTTTCACAAATATTTAGGAGAATTAAACTGCTACAGGACGAAGTGCTTCTTACCACAGTTTGGCGCAATAGAAGGAAACTGAAGGTGGAATCTTCGTGATCTGTTTGGTGCTAATGTTTCAAACTTAATGAACACGATCTTCCTATAGCCCTTAATTTTCATGAATGTTATTAATGAAGCAAACAAATCAACCATTAACCTTTTTTTCCCCCACGATGAATTCAGTAAGTTCTCGAGTAAATACACCCTGGTGCGTGGTCGAAGTTAGCGCAGCCACTACATGTACCGTTTAGTTTATCCAACGCCCCCTTACCCCACCCCCTCCCCCCCAACTGTTGGCAGTTAAGGTGAAATCTGAGCCTTCAGTTTTTTCCTTACATTCACACTTACATAATAGATTTAAGTTGATTTTCTGATTGTTTCTGCAGTCTCCAAACCTGTTGCTAACATGTAAATGCACCAACACATACACATGCCCACAGTGGGCTGATTCGCAAACTCCCGCTGATCACGAATGACCCGCTGATTGAGTTCAAGAATTGGAGCCCTTTTCTAAGAGGTTAAGTCATTTTGAAAGAACGAGAGGTTTGAATTATCAGTAGCGATGTTAATCATTCGTAAAAAACAACTTCATCAATCTGCTTACCATGACGTGCCAGGAACAAATGTTACAAACAAACAAATACAACCTTACGCAGCTCATGGTGGGTAACCTATCGTAAACGATAGGGTGAAGAATGAAAATATTTATCTCTATAACGGTACATTAATCATTAATGTTCTTTTTGAATGCAAATTCTCTAAAACGGGGTCCTAACTTTGAGACCCAGGCGGTACCTAAGTATCCACCCAAAAACTGCCCAGGACTTCATCACAATGAAACGCTGAATGTATGCAGTTGATTAAACTACACTACACACCGCTTTAGGTGAGCATAGAAGTTGTACACTGGAACGACGCAAACGTACTAGTTCAAAAACCATCGTAAATTAACTGACATATCGTGCTAAGAACACGGGGGAAAAAGTTAGTTGCAAGAGATTGCCAGAAAGGTTATATCCAGATTTCCGACGGAACAGTTTTCTTAATTGACCTCTCATTGACTCCAACTTTTTGAATGAAAATTATCAATTATTTATTGAAGACGAAACACAACTTCATAATCAAACGGAAACTCGTAGTGTATTTCAAAATTTTGAAAAAACGTTGCGCAAATCAAAGGATTTGATCACGCTTTCTGATATTTCATTCTTTGGTTTTCTTATCTATTGCGGAAAATTCGAGTTTAACTAAAACCAAATAGATAATGGGGGAATGTCCAGAGATAGAGGACGACATTTATTTTTCTATTCGTTTGATTTTGATCCATTTTCAGAGCGCGCCTTAATTGTTATGATTCATTAGAAAGAATGATTTCCATTTAATGAACAAAAAACACGCCAAAACAGAAAACTCTAGCTCTTCAATTAGTACATCGCGTTTCTTAATACCCGCGTACTAATTAAGATAAAACCGTAGCGATTTATTAGCATACCTTAATATTATGGCTAACTTGTACTAAAACAACACTAAATGATGTGTAAATATCACTTGCAAAGTACTGCTCCAATCATTTCGATTTGCAAAAACCAAAGTCTTGTTATTCTTCGCATACAGTCAAAATTTTCCATTCTCCAGTGCTCGAGGAAACTATATGAACACTTTCAGGCTGGGTGGCGTAAATTCAAATAAAATGAAATGTTTTAATGAAGCAATAACTAACATGACCCGGTCAAATTTCAATGGCGAAAGTTTTGATCAGTGACTGAGAAGTTCAGTTATGTTCAATCTACTTTTAAAGAACAAGGTTTTGTTTCATTTTTGCAAGAGTTAGCTGCTTTTCAACTATTTTCAGAGTGTAGAGACCAGATGTAAAATGTTTCACAGAAAAAAAAATAGGAATTGCGCGACCAAATTTTAGAAAGAAGCAAAATATTCTCTCTCATTCTATTAATAGGAAATATTAGAGACGGCGTATAAGATCTTCAGCAAAGATTACGGTAATCTATATCATAAACTTAAATTAGGCTTAGTAAACGCCAAATGCTACAGCTTCCTTCAGGGATCTTATTGTCCACGAAGTAACATTGCATTTTGATAAATCAACCGATATTTTTGTCGTACACATTTCCTGTACTTCCCGATTCTGAGTTCGCTTTTCTTGCCGATTTTCAGTTCCTATTCATGTCGTCTTCACTCAAAATTCTCTATAGATTTTAATGTATTTTCCAGGATTCTTAAGTCATTGGGTATTTGAGTGACATCAAAAAGTAATTTCTTCTCGTAGTCAAATTTGATATCTCATCAAATATGTAACCTCGACAGTAAATGAATACCAGGAGAACTTGTACCCTGATCACGCGTTACCGCGCATACGCTGTCAATCTCAAAGAAACGAAAGTCGTAAAACACACTTTTAATTAACACTCGCAAGAAATTCTAGCTTTAATTAGAGCGAGCAAGGGCCAAATAATTTATTGCTATAATCAATTTTTTTTAACATCTCATATATTTTATTAAAATAACTTAAAACTGGGGGAAAGAAATTTCTTAGCAGACTTTGTCAAAATCGTGCTTTAGTTTTCATATTTCGGATCTTTTAACCGTTCCTGTAACTTTTTTATCACAGCTGGAATATTCCTCTATTGATCTGCCAAAAGGATGCGTTCAAAACTGGCTTGTTTGACAATTGAAAACCACTAAACAAATAAAAGAAAAAAGCAGACTGGTTTTTGAAAAGATGGAAGTTTGGAAACCTTCATCTAAGGATTTACGTTCATACGTTTCTCAAATGAAAAATGCGTGTAGCACTCATCTGTTTCCTTTTTCTGTTTGGCAAGAACGGAAACCAAATCAAAATATTTTAAATTTTAATCTTCCGAAGCTCTTGAAATAGAAAAAAACCGACTTGGATGAATGATTATTTCATTAAATTGCGGTATCATTCGCATGTCTTAATATATTCGCTACTAAACTCTTTTGTTAAAAAACTGTTTTTTTTAAAAAATACAAAACATTTTAAAAAATACAAAATCTGAATTTAAATTCATTCGACAGGGTTCCCTGAATCTTGCTTCTTGTTTAGTCACATTGATATTCTCGTTTCTGAAACGTGCGTAAAAGTTTAACGATGCTACAAAATCAAAAAAAAAAAGAAAATCCTTTGACCGCATTTTTAATTACTTTGGTTCTGAGAGATCACTCACTTTTTAACTTCTACAACCAATAATTTTTGGCTTGAATGAAAATGAATAGAAGAACTGCAATTGACAGGAAAAGTGTAAAGATCAAGCAAATGAGAGATGCTTCTTTAGAGACACTGGTTTTTAGTTTTCGATAAATTGGAATAATCCAGTAAACCATTCGAAATTCGAATTGTAACTAATAAAACTAGGTGTCAATTCCAAGTCTAAATGCTTGATTTAAATGTCTTACCGCGGTTTTACATGAGAAAGGCAATAGGTAATTTTATCAAATGAATATTTTTCGAAGTTTTTGAATCAGGAACGGAAGAACAGTGCAAAAGTACTTCGCACTAGCAGAAGCAACAATTTCTTAAGGGTTTCATCGTCTGTTATTCGTATTTTTTTAAACAACAGTGTTAAACATTTTGTTTTCAAGTTCAGTCTCATACGTTCTCCTCGAGCAACTGAATTTTTCCTTACGCTTATCGAGCGCTAAAACTGTGATAAAATTTGAAAGGAAAACCTGCTTTCCGATACGTATGGTTTTATAAAATGAAGCAGTATACATTTTTGCGGCAATTTGAACCTCGGTAACACTGCATAACTGATTAGTACAAATTGCTTTGGGCATCTGTTTTAATCTGCAATTCGAATGTAGTATTTTTCTTGATCAAAGTTTTCAGGATTCGTTACAATTTAAAAAAAATAAAATGCAAGGAAACTAAGAAAATTGATTAAAGCGAAAGGAAAATTTTCCAAACAAAGATTTAAAACTCGTGGAAAATATTAAAATGTGTTTTATTCCTTCATATTCACGCCGAAAATGCCCAAAGCTGAATTCAAACTGGGCATGTCTGGGGCTAGAGACGAGGCAAAACCAGTGTAACAAAAGAAAAAAAATAAAAATGGGTTGTCCTTACCTTTTGTCAAAGATCACAGCCATCCTTTTCGTGTTTCCTCATAGAGAGGAGGTTGTTTGGTAAATCTATGCGCATACAGTCATCCTTTTCGACTGACGAATTAAAATTTAACGCAAGTTTCATTCAAGCCGGCAGATGGCGATGGTGTTATTTGGCAGCCATCAACGCAAAAGTCCGCAATATTTACCGCAACTCACAATAAAAGTTGAAGAAGATAACGAGAAAATAGTCTCTCGGCTCATTAATATTTCACGCGTTTCAAAAGTAAAATAAAACAACCTTCTTTTCGTAGTAGTAAAATTCTGAAAACGGGTGAAGACTCGCGTGGAATTGAATTAAAAAAAAAAAACGGTACAAATCGCAAGTCGCTTCTACCGCGAGTTCAACAGTTTCAACGGAGACTCTTTAGAATTCGCGACTGGGCTGTAAATTAAATGCACTTGCTAGCAAGCAAATTCGATCGAGTGTGAAGTATAAACAACGTCCTCAATTATACACCTGTTTTAGAGCCCACTATTTTTCTTACAACCTCGCAGTCACCATTGTAAAATGGCTCCAAAAGCTCTTTTGATAAAATGACATACAATAGTCTCTTAATTGTTCGTTTCCTGTCTAAGCAATTCCATTCACGCTGACCTAATCATGTCGTGCTTTTAGCGAACAACACTACCGCGATGAAATTCTCAGGCAAGCTTATTTTAACGCGCTGATAAGAGCTGCGTCTTGAGTTCATTACTCAAATATGAAGCAGGTTTAATTTGCCATTGATCCAGATTCTCTCTCTGGTAAGCCAAAAGAAATGGATTTCAGACAAAACATCGCAAAAGTTCGAAAACACCAAACATGTGGCGGGAGTTTCGCTCTCCAATCCGACGCACAGACTTGCTCCTAATTAATGCAAAACAGTGGCCTTTGACCAGTAAAGGAGAAATTATACATAAAAAAGAAAGAGCTCGGGTATGTTTTTCACATTTACTTCGGATTGCATAAATTGACGTTTATAAATGAATCATTCGGTTATAAAACCTTTTTAGGCAAAAGCGGTTTAGCAAAAGCTACCCCAACTCTTATCACCTCATAATCATCGTTCTGTTTTAGCGCTATTTGCATGTGAATGCTTACCAAACCATAGGTGAATTGATGAAGGATTGTTTAAATTTAAGTCAATCGAAAACATCCAATCCAAATAGCTCTTGCGAGGATTTTTTTAAAATTTAAGTTGATAAAAATTAAATTTTAAAATGGAACAATTCGCAATTGCGTATCATCCATTAGATTCCGAGAAGCCACAAAAATTCAAAGAAGACTTTGTTGTGATCAGTTGAAGAAAACGAACCAGCAAGTCATTAAAACTTTACGTCCAACCGAAATACACACACGCATAAATAAAAAAGTCAATTTAGAAAACGAAAGTCATAAAGTAATTCTGGTCATTAGTATCAAAGCAAAAAGCAAGATATCAAATTATCCTGAAAAAAAACCGTCTTTGTTAAAGGTAGTTCCTCAGTCATATGAAGGGATTTCCGGTTCAGACAAGATCAAAATCTCGTTTCCACTGATTAATGTTTTAAGTACTTTTAAACCCTGTAATAAGCTTAAGATTTTTAAAATTCCCAAATATCACAGTTTTCTCTCTAAATGCGGGGATGTGCTCGTCGCAAGGGGAAAAAGGGGGAAAGGGGGATTTGGGAGATTTAAATTCCTTAGGAGATCTCCAACACCCCCGATGGTAGGCTTGCCGCTTACCTCCACTCGCGATTTGTTCCAGGCTCAAATTCCGACGTTTTATCGAGTATTTGATCCTCTCTCTCGAGAAGACTTCTCGGGTAGGGAGCGTGGGCTCACTCTCCGACCAGCTGCTTGTACTTAAGCTTAGATTTTATTTCGAAATCAATTACAGATTTACCGATGTAAATCAACTAAGACAAAAAACAGGATCATCTCTGAAAAAGTTTTTGCTGTACATCAACTACCAAAAAGGTACTTTAAAGAACTGACTTTAAAAGCAGTCGGGAGCCAGTGAATGTATGTCGAGCAGGACTGGGACCCAAAACCAAGAAAGGAGTAAATTTGACAGTGTTTTTTGTCGCTGTTGGCCCACAGAATGCTTTCTTTTTTTTTTTTTTTTTTTAAATAAGCAAAGCTGCAAACGGTGTTCATGTTCCCGTAAGAAATTGCACGATTTTATTTTCAATCAACATCACGTGTGGTCAATAACAATGTTCCATTTTTACCCAATAGGGAGTGTCTCCCTTCTGAGCTTGAAATTTTGGCTTCATCTCCTTGAACGATAAGGATGATTGGCATCTGATTTCTCCTTACTGTATCACACCTGAATCACACGTTAAGGTCACGAGAATAAGGGAAATGATCACCAACTAATGAAACTCTTGATTGTTAACCAAATTTTCTTTGTTAGCACCTTATGGAGAACAGCATGGGGAATATACACACTGTTGTTATGGTGTAAAGGGTTAGGAGTTACATCTGCAACTTGGGAAGCTACAAAGCAACGTCTTAGAAGTCTACCGTCCTGACATTACTAAAAAAAAAGCCTTTTTGATAACATCCCAATCTGCTTTAGCCAAGTCAGCCAGCCATTTCAAGTTCTAATTGTTCAACATTGTTATGAGGAATTGTTACAAAAATAAGGATTATGATTAATAAAATATTCAGCTACTGGCCCAGAAATTTCTTTCATGAGTTGTGCACCGTTTAATAATATTTATTCAATCTCATGTTTGACAGTTCTAAGATTAAAATCATTGACAATTATTCATCTTATAAATATCAGCATTTCAAATTTAAAACTGTGAATCCTAGATTTTGATAACTTAAAGGCTTTCTCAATAAGAGGGTTGATTTAATAAAATTAAATTCCTTTCACTGTTAGCTTTTGGCACCCTTTATGTTGTTTCCAAAAAAAAAATTTCAGATAAATGGTTCACATAAATTAAGGATTTGAAAAAAAAACTGCTAAAACTAAGTTTAAATAACCAGACCTTAGTGTCCCCTTACTAGACCCATTCACATACTAAGCTTAACTAATGGTATATTGCAGCTTTCTGCTGCAGTACCTTTCCATGGATTGCTTTGGTTTTGTGTTGTTGCTTTTATTGCTCTTGAAAACTCATGCCTTTTTCTCAACCAATCAGATTCAAAACTAAAACAAACTCTGACTTGGTCACTTAATATGTTTTCCCAAGTTCTGGGCAGTTGGCTTGTTTTCACTTTGAATTTTCATTACCATAGTTCCTTGTGATACCTCCTAAGATCTAATTGGCAATTCTCCTTTCAGGCAGCTGTGCATTTGCTTACTTAATGGTTAAGAGAATTTATTGTTTAATCAAGAAAACACCCTCTGGCAAATATCTGTATGTTCTCAACCTAAGTTTACTAAATACTTGGCTCATGAGCAGGCCTCATTAACAATGCTTCAAGAAGGATTTCTCCGCCCTGAGGAAGATTATTTTGAGACAAGTGGGGGGGAGGGGAGGTTTGCTGAAGATCTGGCACTAAAGGGGGGAGGGAGAAACACTCTAATAAAGCTCTCATAGTGGGGGCCTGTTCACAGGTTACTGGATACTGCCTTGATGTTATAGGGAAAAGTTACCAGTATATGTCCATCGCTTCCAGGAGTTATTGAGTTACTGTCTACCAAGGTTGTACCATTTGCCTCCAAAACGTTGCTTCCCGAGTAAACAAACATGCATTTACTGCCTATTGAACCCAGTCTCTAGGAGTCTGCAGGACTTGCAGCAATTCATCTTCTCTACTGCCTTTTGCTGGTGCATGCATGTATTCCCAGCGTGCCTCCAGGGGAAGTGACATCAGAATGCTTTCTATGCGAGCACCAGGTGTATACAGACCAAACTTAGTGCCACGGTCATAAACCAAGTTAAATTCCACGTATCTGTGAGATGAGGAAAATCAAAAATCCAAAAATCTCTCAGTTAGAACATGCACTATGATTGAACAATTTAGCACGCTGTATTTCACTGTATAGCTTGCTCAATTCAAAAGTTTCTTTCTTTCCTCTCTGTTTGAACCTGGGGATAAATTAATAAATCACTACTCTTATTTTATCAATCCATATTGTAGGTTATGGGACCTTGTTTCTTGGCCCAGATTAATGGCTTTCATACTTTGCCCTGAGGCCATAAATTCAGGCTGGAAAAAAATCAGTCTGCACCTTATAGTACAAACCTCCTTAGTAAGTAGGAGATATATTAATTGAAACAGTAATCTTAACAGAGGAAAAATAGTACCGATAAACTTCAACCTACACGCCATCACCTTTCTAGTATCAAAACCTTAAATGAAAATCTGCATTCATCTCAGTAACATTATCCCCTCAAGTAGGTATTCCAAGCAGCAATTATTTTAAAAAAGAAAAAATACTAACATTCCATGCAATATTAAAGGAAAAGAAAGCAAAAAAAAAAGCTATTATGCAAAATTTACAAGCACATAAAAAATTGAAACAATTATAGGAATCTGTTTAATGAAACACACATGAGGAAAAGGAAAATCTTTTGAATTCTCTACAGCACATCTTATTTAATAACTGGTCAATATTCTGCTGATTAACAATGTTGTTTAGCAATTTAAATGGCATGACTTAATTGCTTCATATGTGGTTGTTTATAAATCCTAGAATGAAACACTTTGGTCCTGAAAGAATGAAAGCAAGATATTGCACTGTAATTTAAAAGTTAACATGTCCACATAGAGTTCTTGGAGAAGAGTTCTAAGGCCAGATAAAACTTACCGTCCTCTCCGTAACAACTGCCACTGCCGTTCACTTTCAGTGTATGGATCATCTTTGTGTTTTAAAACCATAGGAACATAGCCAGGCAGAACAGCATTGGCTCCAGCCTGAACAAACTTGAAAATCTGATCCTGTGAGGGTTTGTCAAGGTCATCAAAGAATATGCCCCCAACACCTCGACATTCGTCTGTTATGAAGAAAGAAACACTAAGCTTCAGAAAACTTGTGTATAAGATATAGACTTAGAGAGTTATATTTTGCCTTGACATGATTGCTTCTACTTGGTGAACATGAAAAATTTGAGTTGCAAACTGTCAACTGAAGGTAACTATTCAAGGTGTGGAATTCATTCCTGGATTAAAGGTACAAGGCAGTCCTGAAAATGATTGTTGTCAATGGCGGTGAGAGGTGTGTCAACAACCTAAGCAGGTGTCATCTCTACACTGTTCTCTGTCCATTCCCTATGGTACTGACAGGGAGAATTTGATCAACAATCAATAGCTTCTTGAGTGGATGGTAAATTCATGTATTCTCATAACCTTTATACTTGAGTCAGCAGTGATAATGTAAAGAGAAATTAGATGCTAATCACTCTTAAAGGTTAGAGGATTAATGACTTGACTTGACTTGACTTTTAGGATGGCTTCCATTAAGGTATTTTAACCATCAGTTACTGTGGTCAACAATAGTCCATTATCATAATTGTTAAGTTCAAACCATTTATTGAATCCTGAGTCTAGTTAAGATGCGATCTGTGCTTCTGAGGCAGATAAACCTAGCCTAACTGCCACCCTGCTTCAGAATACTCAGCCCAGAGATGCAAGTGTAGCACAGAGGTGTCTTCTTATGTTCTTGCCCCACAAGCAACCAACTTTCATCTTTAAGCAACCTGTATAACTTTTTTTAGTGAACTTCACAAGCTCTTAGACCCTGGAACCCCAGACTTCTGAAAAAAGAGCCTTCAGGCCCCCAATAATTCTTCTTAGAGCTCAGTTCTGTTTCATCCTCTTTCTTGGTAAATCTAAGCTGTTCTGCATCTTGTTATTATTTTTTTAGGAAACTTTTCAGACCACTGAGTGTAACTCACCTCTATGCTTCACAACAAAATAATCATCACACCACTTCTTGAATGTTGGATAATAAGATGGGTCATGCTTATCACAGAAGTCCTTCAAAGTCCTATGAAAATGCTTTACATCCTAAGACAGAAAACAAAGATTCAACACTCTTCCACCATAAAAAGCTATCTCAAGCACTAAAAATAAATTGATTCCTACAATTGAGCCAAATAATTAGTTGATCCAATACTAAATTCTCTGAACTAAAATGATAAGAATTGAATGGTTGACAGTATGGAGAATTACAAATTTGATCTTGGAGTTAAAGGGTTAATGACTCCTAGCATCAAAGAGTTCCTCAATTTTTTTATCATTCCCTTTATTCTCATAACCTTAAGGGTGATACTTTTGAGAGAAGTTTATAAAATGTTAGTCACTCTATGAGGTTGTGGGAGACTAGACATAGTGGACTGATTGTAAGAGTGCTGAACTTAGGATTGAGAGGTCTAAGTTTAAGTCCTGGTCAGGTCAATGTGTTGTGTTCTTAAGAAAAATGCTTTACTCCCAGAGTGTCTCTCTCCACTAAGGAGTATAAATGAGTACCGGTAAATTTTTAAGGGAAGCCTGATGAAATGCTGGGGGGGATTACCTTGTAATGGATTGGCATCCCACCCAATTGGGAGTAAAAATACTCTTGGTCCCTTCATGCTGAGGAACATGGGATAAACTCCAGCTAGATGGGCTACTTGGCTTGAGTACAGACTTAACCCTTTAACTCCCAGAAGTGATTAACATGAAACTTCTCTCTATAAGATCCATACATTATCCAGCAAACAGGTAATGAGAATACTCAGACTTATCAGGTAGTAGTTGTTATCTTGATATAACACCAAATTCTCATTTACAAGGAAATGTATTGTAGCAATAGGGGAGAATTGACAACCAGATCTTGGGAGTTACAGTTAAACTTTTTTCACTTTTAAGGGTTAAAGAGTAAAGAAATGAAGGCTTATCAACAAACTTAAATTCTTCTCATCTACCTCTTGATCTAGGTAATAAGGTGTAAGGTCAGTTCCACCACCAAACCAACTGTGTTTCTTGCCACTTTCTTCTTGGACTTCAAAGTAGCGGTAGTTGAAGTGAAGGGTTGGAACAAATGGATTGCGTGGATGAATAACAGAACTTATCCCTGCCGCAAAAAATGGAAACTTGTTTCCTTGAAGTTTATTACCCCTACTTTTCATCTGTTCCACAGCTGCAGGTGACAGATTGCCATAAACAACAGAAACATTTACACCAGCCTTCTCAAACACCTTTCCTGCAAAATTACAGAGCAAGGTACAGCTTTAGGATGGAAGAAAATTTTTCCCAGGTTGTCAAGTAAGAAAAGATGTCATTTTTTTTTGTTGAGACTGGGGGACTAGAAAGATCCCCCCTTGAGGAATTGCACCCAAGACTCTTGGACACCAACAAGCTGAAAAGGTAGCTAATGGAAAATCACCAAGTAAATGTATGCAGTCACTTTTGGATCAGCCAGCAGCAAGCTGCAGGCTCTAACAGCAATTTGTATCAGTCTTTAGTGTGATTTCCAAACAACACCATACTATTCTGAAACAAAGCTGTGGTCCTAAAGGCAATCTATCACTTACTTTTCTTTTCTTTTCAAGAACTGTTATGTCCAATGAAGTATGGAACTGTGCAGAAATCTCACCTCAGTCTTTTTTGCAGATTTCACCTTTGCCTAAACCATTCCTCCATGAGTGGTGGGCAAAGAAAGAGGACATAGGGTAATTTTACAAAAAAAAAAGGGAAAATATTTTGTCACTTGCTACTAGGGTCAGCAGAGTAGCATTCAAATCTAAGGCAAGCAGTCTATCAGAGAGATAACCAGAAGGCTGAGTTTTCGAAACAAATTTGCAACTTCATGCCCCTACTTGGGATTGAACGGTGTTCTCATGCCACAAAAAGATGTCCTGGAAAAATCGTCGCGGTTATTCCTTTTCTTATGCAGCCTTACCATCTTGCAAAACACAGCTTATTCCACCGCCACCTTCGTTTCTCAGCCAGCGATCCACATGGAAGTCGTTCCCATCGATTTCTGCAAGTTTCCGACAAATGTCGGCCTGAACGCCGAGGATCATGACCTCCATCCTGCTTTTCATGTCGTCCATGCTGTTCTCTAGAGTCTGAGATTCTGTTAATGGTTCCGCCATAAATTTGGAAGTGTCCACTTTTCTCTCGCGCGCTGTCACGAACGAAAATCCTAAAGCTGTACCTACACCAACTGCCGAGGCTCCAAATCCAATTAACATACTTGTCACTTTATACGTACGTGCGGCGCGAAAAATGCGAAGAAAAACCATTATAAAACTTATAAAACTTGAATTAAACTTAAACTTTTAAAACTTTCTAAATATTACCCAAATTTTCGCTGTGTAATGATGATGAAGACTGGGTTATAGCTTTATTCGTACTTCCACTGACAAAATACTGCGTGAATTGCAGGCGCAGATTTCCTTCAATCACGGTTTCCCGGATGTGAGCTGTCTCTTCGTTTGTGGCTTTTGGAAAGGTAAGGAAAAGGGAGAAAGGGTGACTGAAAATCAACCTCCATCATGCCTCTTTTATGACATCATTCGACTGTGCTCGGTTCAAGCCTTAACGAATAACCAAGCTATCGAAATACAGAACTATTTTTTATCAAATAATAAAGAATTACACGTTTTTAACTGTTGTTCTTTCTTGTGATGATCCACAAAAATATGGACGATCGGCGGGTTTTGTAAATGACAGAGCTTTAAAGAAAGCCTCATTTGCTAGCTTATGATTCCTTGAACACTCACCGTTTGGAAGTAATGTTTGTGAATCATCTCAGACCTCTTTTTGTGAAACGTTTCATCCAAAAAATATCCATCAGAACTGATGCCCCTCTTGTAAACTAGAAAATGTTCGTAACAATTTTCACGTGCATTTTTGTAGATGGCAAAAGTCCACACACCACGCAACAAAGATCTCGCCCCTGGTATAGGGAGGTACAGCAGATCAGCTATCTACAAAAAGAGGGCTCTGTATAAACGTAAAAAGACAGGAGTTAAGAAGGAAGTAGTCGAAGAACCAAAAACCAGAGTTAAGGAGGTTGGAGGGGACAAGAATGGCTCAACAAGAGTTGTTCCAGTGAAGAGAGAGGTATGTATCTTTCGTGAATATTGTTTAAAACATTGAAACTCTGTTTCCATGTATCTGTTCTGTAATTAATCAATAGAGTTTTTGTTAACCAGCATAATTCTGATTTGGGCCCATCTCAGAGTCGTTTTAGCCCAGGCCACTCTAAGTGAGGGTTAACATGGCGCTTAGAAGGACCTAAAACATTATTCTGCCCAAGATCATAAACTCTATTACTATTACTATCTCTCTGGAGGGGATTCAAAAAAATGATAATGCTTAAAAATGAAAAACTCTTTGGGAAGCAGGAATAGCACAGTGGTGAGAGCACTTACCTTGCACCACTGTGGCTTAAGTTCCATTTCAGGACCTGACATCATATGTGGGTCATTCTCGTCCTTGTTCCGAGGGTTTTACACTGGGTCCTCCAGTTTTCCTCCCTCTGCAAAAACCTATATTCCAAATTCCAATTCGACATGGAACAGTGGACAGGAACAGCTACCTCTTAAATTGTCCACTGCTAAATCACTCTGCATATTATTATTGAAATGACAACAAAACAGTCTAAACAATTGTGCAAATGTCAAAATCCCCATTAAAGGCTTCAAAATGCACCACTAAGCCCTACAAAATGATATTAATAGATAACCAAAATTTGGTTTGAACAAGGAATTGGTAGATAAGGTGTAGGTGATTGTGTCAGAGATATTTTTACTACAATTTGATACAGTTGATACCATTCATTCCCATTTATTCTATATTTTACAAATTTACTACAATTTTCTAATGTATGTAGCAGCCCTATTGATCATAAAAGTGATGCTAACAATGTTAAAGGTTAAAGTGAAACCACAAGGTGCAGCCAAGTGGTTTCACTGGTAATGTCAAGTGAATGGTTTTGACCTAATTGTTTGCAATCTTGAATGTTCTGGAAAAGCAATTAGTTCAAGTGTAGCCATTATTAAGAGTGCACCCATTTTCAGTGTAAAGTTCTTTATTACAGTTTTATTGATTTGCACCAGTGATATTCATATTTATTTTCATATTTATTTCAAACTGCAGTGTAATACTTTTTCTATGTTGCTCTCTTATAATTGTTTTAGTCTCGCTACTATCCAACTGAAGATGTGCGACGACCTCTGAGGAACAGGAGAAAGGCCAAGCCCACTAAGTTGCGGTCCTCTATAACTCCTGGAACTGTTCTCATTCTCCTTGCTGGACGTCATAGAGGCAAGGTTAGTAAAACATCTGTTAGAAGTGCAGCTCTTGGCATACATAGCACATGTGAAGCACTTATGGCCTTGTAAGTACTAGCAGGTGTTATGGAGTTTCGATGGCTAGAGAGGCATCATTGTTAGTAGAGTTTCACCTTTGACAACTGGCCAGGGATTTTATGATGACAACTGCAAGAGTCAATGTCTTAATCCCAGTTCTAGTTTCCCTCTTGTGTAGGAGTGTTTTTTCCCCTTTAGTTTTAGAGGTACAGGTCAACCTTGATTATTGGTATTCTTTGGTTATCTGGACTTGCTTATCTGGTTCGATTTTTTCATAAATGTTAATTAGTCACATTCAAGATCCATAAAAACTTTTTCCCATCAAACAAAGCAGATGTACTGAAACAATGTTGATGCCATTCCCTGAATGAAGCTTTGGTATTGTTCTTGATTGTCCATCTTCTTGAATGTCCAGACTATTCAGCCTAGTTCCCACAGGTCCAAATAATCAAGGTTCAACTGTACCCAGAAATAGTTCCGTATGTGTACTATAGAGAGAAATGCAAAGACATTGAGCATACAATGACTGAGAGTCAAAGCTTGCACCTGTTTCATTCCATAATTGTTTTAATTTTTGATTAAAAACTATTCTTTTGTAGAGGGTGATCTTCCTAAAGCAGCTTGCCTCAGGTCTTCTGCTAGTCACAGGTATGGCTCACTATTTAGAACAGGTTATTGGGAGAGCAATGGAAAAATGAATCTTGTGGGATGTTCAGGGCACCAAAAAGTTGCCTTTCGGCAACCTTCAATTGTAAAATGGTCACCATAAAAAAAAATTTGGTCTGTTTGCATTTGTTTGTTTGATAGTTTGATCAGGGAGCAATAAATTTCTCATGTTTTTCTTTTACTTTTTTTTTTTCAAATCTGTTGGTCACCAATTGAGTGACTTTTGTTGAAATTGTAGTTGCCAAATATATTTTTTTCACTTGCACTGGCAACCTAAAGGGTCCCAACTTAAAGCGCTGATATTTCACATTTACTTGAGGTCTTGAACACTTGGTGATAAAATTTTACCACCAGTCACCATCAACTTCTGCTACAAGTTCAGCTGTCAAAGTGGTTTTTTAGTCATCATTGTAACCAAAACAAAACAAATTTAGCTGTGAAAATTTTGCAGTTTGGAGTACCTTTAAGGCTTTTCCTTCATTTGAAGGATTAAAAAAAAAATTACATTTAGTAGTTTCATGCAGTAACTAACCTGTCTCTCTCCCCTAAGGGATAAGCAAATTCAACACAAAACTTAACAGAATTTTAAGTGCTCTGTGTTATTTGTATGCTCTGATCTTAAGGGTGCAAACATGAGCCTGTTTACTTATATTATTCATTTTCTCATGCCCTGGTTTGTTTAATTGTGTGTATTGTTCTTTTGAAGGACCCTACAAGGTGAATGGTGTTCCTCTCAGAAGAGTGAACCAAGCTTATGTCATCTCCACCAGCACCAAGATAGACTTGAGCAACTTCAAGTTACCTGAACGTCTGTCTGATGACTTCTTCAAGAGAGAGCCGAAGAAGAAGAAGCGAACAGAGGACATGTTTGAAGATGCTCAGGAGGTAGATTTACCTGCCTTTATTCTTCTGGAATTATTTTGAAATAGTTGCTACATTAGATTAACCATGTGGGTACCTACAGCTGTATAATCAAAACTCTTGGCAGCTTGCCAGCATTAAAGATGACTGATGAGGGAACAAAATCTACTTGAGAAAAGTATAACAAATGCACCTGTAGGAGCTAACAACCTATGTAAGAATGTTACCTGTAACACATCTTGAACTATGATTGATAATGACTGTTTACAGATACAAAAGATTAAACTTTCTTTTTTATCCATTACCACAGTGAAATAACAAATCTATTGTCTCTGGTCATGTAGCAAGCTACATCTTTTTCCCTCCAAGTTTTAAAAAAATCCAAATTTGTCAAAAATTCCTCTGGCAATGGCAAGCCTTTACAACTTTAGTTATTTTATTGCACCCTCATGTTATCCATTTTGTAACTTGTTGCATATGCTTGGTGTAGAAGACAAGTTATTGTTATGATTTGCTTGGCAAATACATCCCTCACTCACTCACTCACTGTAACATGAATAGTGAGGTCACACTGAAGATTGTGTATTATAATTAGAGTTGTTGCTTTGATGCCCGAAGGGGACCTCCATCTCAAAATTTGTCTTACACTTACTGATACACTTTGTGGCTCTTCTGCCTTTTTACTAAACAAAATGATCTACAATGAAAATTTTTATTTATACATGTTTGCTTGTTTGTTTGTTTGTTTGTTTTTGTAATAAAGGAGAGGAAACCAAGTGAAGAGCGAATCGAAGATCAAAAGGCAGTTGATGAGCAAATCCTTCCAGAGATCTCCAAAGAAGCACATCTTAAGAAGTACTTGAAAACTTTGTTCTCCCTCCGAAAGGGACAGTACCCTCATTCAATGATATTCTGAGCTTGTTGGTGTAAATTACAAGAATAAAAGTTGACAACTCAAACTTTTCAAATTTGCTTTGGGCTTCTGTTTTATGAATGAACTACATCATCTCATTTGGTAACTGGGTGCTACACTAAAGCTTCACTTGCTTTGAATTGCCAAAAAGTTATAAGTTAACCCCTAACAACCTGCAGCTTGTCTTGATTCGCTGCAGTATTGCTTTGGATTAGCCTTTTACATAGTGTGTAATTTTACCCAGAATGGCATGAGCCTCATGATTTCTTGTATTTGAATTTACAGCCCCTCTCAAGAATCTCCAGTCCTTAACCCTTGAAGTCCCAGAGGTGATCCACTTGAAACTTCTCCCTTTATTATCCTTACATTATCTAGTAAACAGGCAATGAGTATAATCAAATGCATCAGGCAGAAGTTTTTATCTTGATCTAACACCAAGTTCTTGTAACTAATTTATAAGGAAGTGTGTAGCAGCTAGAGGGGAGAATTTGCAATCGTACCTTGAGAGGTGTAGGGTCAATTCTCAATCCCTGACCTGACACCGAACATGTCCATCTTAACTTGAGTTGTGTAGTTCACCCTTCATGCCCAAGCATCAGTATGAACTACACTTTCCCTGAGTTGCTGACAAATAGAACTATTTTAACCATCAAGAGCTTAATTTCCTTTGTTCTTGTGACTTATATGTTTTACTCGGAGGTGAAATTTTAAGGGGAAATCAAATGTCAATCACTCTTGGGGGTCAAAGGGTTGAGGGAGGGGGGGGATGACATGGATCCCAATGGTAAGGACTAGGCTGGCAGAATCACTCATTGTGCTCTTTCAATACTTGAATAACTTGGATGTAATTTTAATTTTCTCTTATCCCTTCTTGATGTAGCCGGATGCACAGCCCAAGGTGCCCTGCAAGTAAATCTTGGGTAAAACACTTTAAAACCTAAGGATTTTAGGCGAGTAGAGTGTTCTTTTAGACTGGTTAGTGCTGACTGGTAATCCCTGCATGTTTAAACCGCGCACCCAGTTCGATTTTAAACATTATTGTGGGTAGTACACAGCAAATTGTTATATCCTCAATAAAATCAGGCGCGTCCGCAATCAAACAGGTCCGCACTGAGTGCGTAGATCATTTTGTCGTTAAGGGAACGAGGAATGGGAATGGTATTAGTTGGCAAAGGGACATGGAAAGTGAGGAATTGGGAGGGGGAGTGGGGGATAAAAATTAATGTTTGGAAACGCTTGACATTTCCAAACAAAAATCTGTTTCAAGGAACTTTTCAGTGGCATTTCCGTGAAAATTTCCAACTGCTGGGCATTTAGTCTATTCGAGATCGTTCCCGGCAGTCAGATCAGAAGCGTGTCTATAACCGAGCGATATATGATAGCATACTCAAGCTCGGACACTTTGTCCACTGAAAAAAAATTAATTTTTGAAACCGCTTGACATTTCTAAACAAACATCTGTTAATCCTAAGAAGCTTGAGAGGACCTTTCATGGGAAAATCTGTGAAATTTTCTGACTGCCGGGCGTTAAACATGAGATTGTGCCCGGCTACCCGGCATTTAGTCACCGCGAAAATAATTTTAAAAATCTTGTCGATGTAGTTGTCGTATCGGAGCTGAGCCCTGATCCAGTGTTCACTTTTAGATTAGTTTGTAGACGTATAAAAATACTTGAATCATCTTGTTATGCCCAAACCACGAGACCCTTTGAAATCCAAAAATGATGGATTCTCGTACCCAGTACTAATATATTTACACTCGTGAAGTACCTACCATTCAAACTGAAGCCTGGAAGAAGAATCCTTGGCGAGCGGATGCTCGTCCTACAGTCGCACACCCTTTTCTGAATAACCTACCCTTTCCTGGCTAAGTGGGGCGTACCACGAGTACTCAAAATCTAAAAAAAAATCCATTGCTCAAAATATAAAGTTCAAATATTGAGGGCAACGATGGTCCGCCCTGAAAGGGACCTCATTGTCGCTCACGGTACGAGTTTGAAGGGGCTTCCTTCTATAGGCAATATTTTGGAAACAGGGTTTCCTTGGGTGCGTATCGATAGACAGCACTAGCTGGCCAAACCAGTAAATTTATGTAATATGAATTACACATTTGATAAGTATAGTCTGACTAGGTGAGTTAGGGATCGGAATATGTTTATCACCGGGGAGGGGGTATTAGAAGATTTTGATTGTTTCGCGATAAAATTTGCCTGATCTTAGGCTCTGTAATATTCTCATGATTCCCCTCCTTGATGCTTTGTTGGCGATGACTGATCCCCGTTCTGTTCCTTGTAAAAACCACGTGATATTCAAAAATCCTCCACCCTCCCCATGAGATCTTTTTGCAACTCCGGAAAAACGTTACGCAGGTGGGAGAGTACGTAGGTAAACGAGGGGCCTGGTCTCTAGTTCGGTCGACGCCCTTGAATTGAGCAAGGAAACCGGCGATCCGCTCTTGTGTTGAAATCTTCGCTCTTTTACAGCGATAAAATGGCAGAGAAGGAGAGTAATGTGTTTAAGGCCAAACTAGCCGAACAAGCTGAGCGATATGAAGGTAAAGAGATTGTTTTTGAAGCCATTAATGGGCATTTTGCGTTGTTAGATTCCTCAGATAATTACGCTGAGCTTGCCAGCGAGTGTCGGTTACAGTGGGCAAATAGTTCCTTTGACAAAAGTTTCAGGATTTTAGATCCGCCGAAACGGTAGTTCTCAATTAGATTCGCCCTTTTCAGAGCGTCTTACTTTCGTTATGCTCACTGAGGTTTGTTACATAGCTGTGTTGTACTGTAACCAAGCTTTTGAATTGTAGTGTATAAGTTGGCGTCGATTCGCCATTTCGAATGAATCGTTATTTCGTTAGCGTTCTTGTACATTTGTCGCTGGTGGCTACATTAATACTGTGCAATATTTACTGGACTGCCTCAATTAAAAGAATGATTAGCTTTGAACACTTTACGCTCGCAAAAAGTTGTCCGAAGTAAATGTTTTGCTTGCTGAAAGTTACTTTGTTGATTTCAGAGTACAAATTACGCGTAGGAACACTATCGCGAAAAAAGCCGCATGGCTTATCTTACGACATCGTGCTAAATTAATCTCAATAAATCGATCTACCTTCGTCGCGATGAAGGGCACTTTCATTGACTGGGCTTTCTTTTGTGATTTCAAGGGTGTGTTTTCCGTAAATTTGTTCGTAAGATTTGATTGCGTGTTAATTTTTGCATGGATCTTGAATAAGCGGACTGGACTAGATATAGCTTGTCGTACAAAATTGACTCAACGAAATTTGAGATTATCGAAATTACAGAAAACTGCATGATGTGGTGTGTCAGACTTGTTCATTGTCGTTCTGTTGCTGTTCAGTCGTGTTTGGGACTTGTATGGGTAAATGTCACATGTTGAAAAGAATTATTGTCCAAGAAATCATTTAATATTTAAATTGAAATCACAACCTGTCAACATCAGCGAAAATCTGCGCAATCATTAATTTAACTGACATCGCTGAGTGTACTTCTCAAGCAAAAGCGGTAAATTTTTTAGCAAGTCATTCCTATTTTTACAAACTTCCCTGTTCCCAGAATTTACGTGTTTTGTTATGTTAACGCGTTTCACCCTAGCATCAGTAGGCATATTATCCAAACATTTTCCTTTGGAGCTGAATAGGAGAATTTATTTAAGAATCAAGAGCTTCTTTAGATGGTGATCATTTCCTTTACTCTCATAACCTTAATTTTTGATTTAGTGGTAATATTGTAAGAAAGAATTAGATGCCAGTCACTCTCAGGGTCAATGGGTTAACCCATTGATCATTTACTGATCAAAGTGAAAGAATTCCAATTCATTTTTTAATGTGTACAAAACTACCATTTTTCAAGGAGACTACAAAATATCAGTGAAAGCTAAAAAAGCATTAGCAGGCAATGATAAAAAACAAAAGCACATTAACAGAGAAGGATGAGAGAGACAAAGATTTTTTGCCATTTTGATATTTCAGTTTTAATGCTATTCAAAATTTGACTTTATGGTTTTATTGGTGCTCAAAAAATGAAACAGCTTCTTCTTGGAGCACAAAGTTACTTGAGAGGACCCCTTCTAATTGTAACCGTACTGATATCTTTTTAGTGTTTGTTTTTCGGTCGTGATCTTGTACAACCCCAAGTTCTGAAAACTAATGCTAAAATTTCATTTGAACAAGCTCTCAAGATGTAAAGTTATAAAAGAAACTTGGTGATTTGCCTAATTTCAAAATTTTGTGCTTCAAATTCTGTTGCATATGGGGAATCATCAGCATGGATTTTTGATGTTGGTATTTGAACATAACCACCAAAGTAGAGATGATCATTAGAATTATAATGGCCAATGAGGGGAGATTATTGAAGTAGTAAAGTGCTTTATAGGGGATCAGGTAAATTTTATTATGACTTAGAAAAAAATCCTCTGACCCTCCATCTTCCCCTCTCTCCCAGGTGATATTGTAAATTACTGTATGACCAGTCCCTTGTTAAGGTGAAATGTATAATTGTATTAAAATATTAGTATTTAGTAGGGATGTAGCTAAAGTTTTTAACAGGTGGGAATCTTGCAATGATAGGCGGGTATTCAGGCCACTCTAGCGCATCTTTGGCACGCTATACCTAGATTTGAAGGTGTAAACAAATGAAATAAATAAACAACAATCTTCTGACAACATTTAAAAACATTTTCGAGAAAGAAGTAGTGCTTCACAGCCGGAAAAATTGTGTTCACAGCTGGGTAATTTTCCCGGCTTCTGGCTATTATCTACATCCCTGATTAGTTCCTTCTTATTGGTTGTGAAATTGTGAAGTCTTGAGGTATCATGTGGACCTTCCAAACCAATTGCTGGCTACTGTCACCTGAACTAACTACCTGCGGGTAATCTGTTAATTTTTCCACAAACAGTCATTGGTGTGGGTTACAGGAGGGTGTGGGTTATACAATAATTTTCAAGCTTCTGGTTTAGATATAAAACTATAAGCAGGAAAAAAATCAGAGATGATAAGATCCACTAAAGATACTCTTCAAAAAACCTGTGTAATAACTCATTTATTTCGCACAGATTGCTCATTATTATAAGAGACTTTAATGCTCTCGATGAAAGCCCGATGCAAATTGAAAACCTACCTTAAAACTTGATAACAAAGCTTTTATATTGTTTATACTCTTACTTTCTTGTCTTGTCAATTTCACAGCTTGTTTCTTTGTTAAGGTCAAAAAACAATTCTCGCTTACACGGGAAGTGAACTTGAAAATAAAAGAATTTAACTGTGAAAAAGCTGGCTTCGGAGCAATTCACACAGAAAATGATGCCGACTTGTTCGTTTCATGGCACTGTATAATTGATGACATGACAGAATATTAGATGCTTTGGTGAAATTTTCTTAGCTTGCACTGCCTTGAGTTAAAGAGCATTTTCCTGTTTCAAGTGATTTCTCCGACACAGTTGATCTCAAGATATTGATTTTTTGTTGGGAACAGATTTTTTCAGGTGGTATCATTTTCAATGAAATAGCAAAGACAAAAAGTGTGAAAATTTATTAACTGCACACTAAAGATTTCATGTCAACAGATTTGTGTGAGTCAACGATTTTCTTTTGTTTTTGGGTGCGGTTTATCTGCCAGTGTGGGTAATCTGTTGAAATTTTTTTCTCGTAATTGACTGATGTGGGTAATCTGAAGTGTGGGTAAATGGACGGAAATTAGGGTAATTTCTGATCATAGTTTCTGATTTTGATTGCCAGAAGGGTGACTTTGTAAGCTTGGAGCACTGTGCAATGAAACAATTTTGTTTTCAGCCCCATTCAGAACAATTTGGTGGCTAAAGAAATCTAGGTTTTTACTTAATTTTCAGCTCAACGTAAAGTACCTAAAAAGTAAATTTTAATGAAATATTTTTGACCTCAAAACATGGCTAGCATTTTATTCCTCCTTTCAATATCAACCCTGAATCACACATTGAGGTTACTTCCCACCTTTGCAGGTGTTCTTTAGGAAAAAATTCTTGCACAAACTGGTTTCACTAAAATCCCAGCAAACCATACATCAGAAGAAAGTAAAATATAAATTCAGTTTACGATAAAAAATATGATTTGAGCAACATTTATTCTAAGGAAGTGTCAGGAGCTGGTAAGTTGTGAAATGACTTAAGGTTCTTCTATTGAATTTATTGAGTATTGGATGCCACAGCACGAGCAAAATTGCTGCACAGTCTTATTAACAAGGCATCAGTCAACGAAAGTGAGGCGGGTTTTTTCGATATTCTGATAAGTTGTCTAGATATCAGCATCTAAAGTTGGAGTAGCTAAAAAATATGCAAGGTGTGTTGCCTCAATGGACACCATGGGACAAATAGTTCAATTATCAAAATTTCCCAACACAGTTTCGTTTGTCATTATTCCAGGTGAAATTTGTTGAAAATTGGTCAAATCCATATACCCTACAAATTTGCTCAAAGTGGTTGTATTCCTCCCAAAATCAAATGCCAGATTTCAGCTCATAAAGGTTTGCAAACAACTTGTGCTATGCCAGGAGATTATCCTGTCTCCTGAAACCACAAACCAATGGGACAGTGGGACCTCCTTGCATCAAAGACAAAGGGTCAAGATTTCCCAGGAAAAGTCACCCATTGCAGAAACTTTTTTTTTTCAATATCTTGATTGCTCAGTAGAGCACTGAGGAGGACCACACAATAATGAGCACAGTTGCCAAAGGCAAAGGCAAAGGCAATATGTGTAACAAAAATGGAAAAACTGCAAAATGTGCTGAGGAGCAAGACAATGAATAGACAGCTTTCAATTTATGATTTGTGGCAATTTGTAATGTTTTGTATCAAGGTTGGTACTTGCATAAATGAAAGGAAACCTCATTTTTAACATTATAGATGGCAAATTTTTGGTTTGACAGCGACTTCTTTGTTTGAAATCTGGATGCTAGCATGGAGCTCTACCAGTACTTGTAGCTGTCCTAAAGGAATCTTTTCCTTCTCTTGACCGAATGGTACTCTTTCTTCTCTTGGGCCTGTTTTTTTTTTTTTCCTTTTCTTTTTTTTTTTACCAAGGACTTACTTCTGCTTTAGATTTTTGCATGAGCAAAGATCTCCTCATAAGCAAAGAGCTTTCACATGTGAATTTTTAAAGTGCATGATGTAAACAAGATATGGAAATAACATGAAAAACAAGCCCCAAGATGAGCAGTTGCTTCAAAAATTCCCCAGGTCGGAGATCATGACACCTTCCTGTTTTTAACTTTCAGTTGAAAATACATTTTTCTAAATTTCTCGGTTGCTTTTAAAGATTTCAGAAATCTTTTGTTTTGGAAATGTTTGATTGATTGTTTGAATTCAGTTAACTCAAATAAAAGAAAAATCGATTTTTTCAGCCTCTGAAAGTGGGAAGTAACCTTAAGGTCATGAGAAAAGAGGAAATGATCATGAACTAAAAAAGCTCTTGATTTTTAAACAAATTCTCCTTGTTAGCACTTAAGGAAATATCTAGAAAACAGTATGGAGATTATGCAAACTGATGTTAGGGTCATATTTGTCCTTAGTGATCAAGGCCAAGTATGTACAAGTGTTTACAAAGGATTATGGAGTTTTCACTTCTTGAGTACTAATATGTATATTTGCATGAAGATCCTTGTCAAGATGTCAAATTGCAGTCAACCAGTTAGCTGCAATTTCAGGCTCTGATTTCTTTTTCATAATTCAGAAATGGCAGAATTCATGAAGTTAGTTGCCAAAAATTCAAGTGGGATGGAAATGACTGTTGAGGAGCGCAACCTACTGTCTGTTGCATATAAAAATGTGATTGGGGCTAGAAGAGCAGCATGGCGCATCATATCTTCCTTGGAGCAAAAAGGAAAAGAAAGTGGAAAAGAAAGCGGAAAAGATCATGGCAAGGTCGAGACTTTAAAAAAATACAAGGAAACAGTTGAAGGCGAACTTCAAAGCATCTGTGATGAAATTCTTAGTCTCTTGGAAAAGGACCTCATTCCTAACTCCCAAGATAATGAGGCTAGGGTTTTCTTTCATAAAATGTGAGTTACCTGTTAAGTATATAGTCTACATAGCTTACAGGGAGAAGCAATTCAACTTTCATGTCAACTTTGTGGTGAATTAATCTGTAATTTTTTGCTGCATAGTTTTATTGGAAACCTCGATACTGTAACATACTTCGATTTTTTTATTTTCTCTGATTAAATGAAAAGGTAAATGTTCTTTATCTTGCAGGAAGGGTGACTATTTCAGATATCTAGCTGAAATAGCTGAAGGTGAAAAGAAAGAAGAGGCGAAAAAAAGTGCTTTGAAGGCCTATGATGCTGCAGTCGAAATCGCAAAGGATAATCTTGCAGCAACATGCCCGATACGTTTGGGTTTGTTCTTAAATTTCTCTGTATTTCATTATGAAATCAATGATGACCCCAAAAAAGCCTGTAATATTGCGAAGGAGGCCTTTGACAATGCCATCAGTGATCTGGATAGCCTGAGTGAAGACTCATACAAAGACAGCACTTTGATAATGCAGCTTCTACGTGACAATTTGACTCTGTGGACTTCTGATACAGAAAGTAAGTCTTTTATGATTTTTTTGTCAACTTGTTCTTATTCCTGTCCTAAGGAAAAATATATGGAGTACAATTCATCCACTAGTTTGGCTGCCTTGAAGCACACTGTACTTTTGAAGTGCCCAGAGGGTAGGTGCAGCAATCCAGTATTTACAACACATTTTGAGCGTTGTGAAGGGTTAAGATTTTCCAGACTTTGCAGATTGTTCCCAATCAGCCAATAAATTATCCTATGGTGAAAAGTTAAATGTATCAGATCTGTACTTCATTCAACAAACTGAAATGCGCTGCATGGAGGTCAAGTGAAATTTTGTATTCTTCCTCTTTGCTTTGACTTGAAATACCCACCCTCATTTAAATATACAATCTAGTGTGGAAGAAAATATGAAAATATTATGTTTTTTTTCCTGTATGCACTGAAAGTTTGAAAAATTACTTTGAGAAATCTGATCACAAACCAAATAACTTGTTTGACAAAGTAACCCCAATTTCCATCAAATTTGTTCAACAATCAAGAGCTTCTTCAGTTGGTAATCATTTCCTTTATTATTGTGACCTTTACATTTGATTGAAGGGTGATACTGTGAGGAAAAATTAGAAACTAGAATCCAGTCACTCTTCAGAGTTAGATTTCCAATAAATAAGTATCCCGTTTGGTGGTGAAGCAAACTTCCTGTGGCTTCTTGCTTAGGGTTTAGGGTTAAACCATTAGGCTTAGGCTCAAGAAAAGACCGATTTTTTTACTCACTACTGTAAAGACTTGTGTATAAGCTGCACCTTTTTGCTTAAGTTTTGGGCCAAAAATTGTGGGTGTGGCTTATGCATGAGACTATTATTTGTCTCTAGTGTCCAGACTTCCTGTGCAGTTACCAAGCAAACATTTTGTATTATTCTCCTGCATTTTATTTTCATTTAAATTCCATCATTCCTATGTGAGCTGTGTGCTTTAGCAATGAAGACAACTGTTGTAAGTCACGGGGAATAGGGAAATCGATTAAAGAATAGCTTTTAAAAGGTATTTTCAGAGTTGATTAACTTATTAATGTGGCTGCAAATACACAGCATTAGATTTCCTCAAGTTTATTGTGAACTTCTGTGAACAAATGACCAACGTTTTTTTACAAGAGTGCCTTTGTGAAGTTTTTTACTTTTTTCAAAATCATGCTTGAAAGTTGTGGGTACATCTTATACACGAGCTTTGTTTCTTGTTTATTCCTTAGTGGATAAAGATGGTACAAAAGTGGAAGATATAGAGGGTGATGATGCAAAAGAGTAGATTACAAAGTGGCTGAGGATGTCCAGAAGAGTTATCTATCAAAGACTTAATTGTATGCTTCTCTGCTTGGTAAACTGTTTTTTATGATGTGGCAGTAGCAAATATGTAGTGGAGACATCAAGGTCTTCTTTTATACATTTCCATTTTTAGCAAACTTTGTTCTGTAGTGAAGTTTGATTCTTTGCTCTAGTGCTGATACTGTTTTTTTTTTTTTTGCATTTAGTACTAAACTGAAAACTGAGTGAAATTGTAGTACCTTAGTTATAGTGACAGGTGCTAGCAACATCATGTGACCTGTGTCTGATTGTAAAGTGGAGAGCTTTGTAAATTTTTCTTTTTTCACAATGCACTGGAATCATTTTGACTTAATTTTCCAACACTTTTACACACGATTTTTTTCTGCTAATTTTTTTTGCATTAAGGGTAATTCCTGATTGTTGACCCTTTAACTCCCATGATCTGTCAAAAAAATTATCTCCACCTACTGCTGTACATTTCCTCGTAATTAGGCTAAGAGAACAGGATGTTGTAAAGATAACACCCTTTAGATGATAAACTTGCATTTTCTTGTCACCTGTTTGCAGGATAATGTCTTGAAATTACAAGGAGAAGTTACTCATTAACATAATCTGGGAGCTGAAGGGTTAAAAAAAATCCTTGATTCTGGGTAAAGGTCTCCTTCAGAAAATTTAGTACATTTTTGCAAAACAGTAAAGAGAATCTTGAAAGCGAAATTTCAGTACAGTTATATCAAGTAAAGAGGATTGGAAGTGTTGTAGATTCTTTAAAGAAGTGTTCATCCATACTGTAGATGTTTTAGCATCTTCATGATCATTATTTATGGGAACTGAAACATGTTCTTGCAATATTACCATCAAAGTCAGATAGAAGTTGTAAAACCTAAACAAAAATAGAGCTCTGCTACTCTTTCCCTTCATTGCCTTACTTAATTAAGTTGTGTAATGTAATTACCTGTTATCTTCAAGTAAACAAATAGATTCCATGTTGCCATGTGACTGTTCGGTTATAGACCACAGCCAATGTCAAAATGTAGTAAGAACAAAAAAGTGACATGAGGTGCAGCCGAGTGTGGGTATGTCCTCCATTAGCTCATAAGTAAGAACCAATCAAAGTGGGTGTAGCCAATGTGCTATTTGTGTTATTTACTGACTTATTCATGGGTGCAGTTACTTTAAGAGTATATGATACCTCTTTTCTGAGTTTTTTTCCTTTTTTTTTTTTTTTGAGAGAGCTTGACTAGAACATGTTTGCAAGATGACATGTTCCACAAATTTGTGATAAAAGCACAGTATTGGCATAAGCAAAGTTGAATAATAAATAACTTATTCATGATGGAATGTGGTGTTTTGTTATTGATCAGTGATCTTTCCACGCACTTTTCCTTCATTCATCATTTCTTTTCTTGGAAAATCTTTGAATTGCAAAGCATTACAAAGAGGGGTATGTGAACTCCCTCCCTACCTGGCTTTATGAGAGGTTGTGAATTGAAGTGTTCAGTAAACGTTAATGAGGCATTTCCCCCGAATTTTTACTGCATGGCAAGTGGGGAATCCTCATCATGAAAATCGTACATACAGCCGTGAGTAGCCGCCGAATGACTATTTTATCCTGGGTAAGCCTACATTTTTGAAGTATCATCCATTGGCTAAGAGGAAAGCACTCCTATTCTCCTTTCTGATCGCTATGCGGGCCAAACCCAACGTGGATCTTTGTCAGTGAGAGAAGTCGGTTAGTAGGACATGTGCCTAGATTCTCTAAGACTAGCCAAAGCGTTTCTGGTGCTGTGTGATGAACGGGATGGAAGTTTGACATAGTGGGTGTGGCATAGCAATTATCACTAATTTGGTAATGTTATGGGGAAATGCGTTGAACAATTTCAGTGAACCGTCCTTTAAAGTCCTGGATTTTCAGTTTAGGGATGAGGCCTCACCTTTGAGAGAAATTCAACCAATCAAATCTAGCCGTTCGAAAATTAGGATACCACAAAGTTTCTTGTTAATTTATTAGATCAGCCGCGAAATGATGCTGTTTGTAGGGATTCGAAATGAAAATATTTCATAACGCTAAGACGGTCTTGAGAGTCTGGGGAGAGCATGCATCTATCAAAGATAGCGTGCAGACTGATTGTCTAATACATTTGAAGGATTTGTGTGGGGATGGCAGTATAATTCTGTTTCTTGGAATCACAGGATCACTGGCTTTTAGAACAATCATTGCATATTCCAATCATATTCCCCATGAGATCAGTATATCCACTTGTTGGTCCAGCCGCCATACCATTATATGACTGTTACACCACATGTTGCGTAACTTTCAAGATGGCGACCACGTGTAGCGAATTAGGGCCAAGTTTGTCCAATTCAGCTTTAGATATCATGGACAAGTTTGGCTTCCAAAAGATGACACCAGTACAGGTAGGCAAAGGAATAATGTAGCTATTACCTAACAAAATATGCTTTGGTTTATCACGCTTTCTTTGTTATACAGGCAGCCACAATTCCCCTGTTTATGTCAAACAAAGATGTAGCAGTCGAGGCGGTGAGTTTGAAATTAAATTATTTCTAATTTCCTGAGCACGAAGAGCCCTTTATTTTTTGGATTTATTCAAAATAATTATTCGTATATTAGTATAATAATAATAATGCTCGTTTATGCTAAGTACTGCTAACAGTTTCTGCCTTGGTGCCTTTCTAGATGCCACCGATGCCTTTTCCGATGCCTCCATTGTTTATTACAGCAGAGAAAGATATCTGTACAATCAACATTTTTGAAAAATTGCTTAACGCTTTATTTAGTGAAGTAAACTGTTAACATTTCCACTTTACAACAGGATGTTTTTCTGCAACTACAAATGATTTGTCTCTATATGAGATATTAAAGTTGTTTCCCCGCTGACCACTCGTATTTCGGTCGTTTTGTCTGCGCCCACTCGTCGCCACCCGAAAGATATTGCTCAGACAATTGTGGTTTCACAATGGCAACCTTTCATGTTCAAAACCTAAATGCTTTGCTTGTTAAGTTTGAGGAGCATATCAACTACTATGCAAGTATTCGAAAAACTAGTGCTCCCGATGTGTCAAGAAACGTCCAAAAGATCCTTTCTTGGGAGGAAGGCGAGAGGATAAATGCACAGCAACAGCCCGAAGGGAACAAGATCACTAAAGTTGAGAACGTCATTGAAAAATGTGTTGATTTTCTGGAAAGTCTGAGCAGCGGAAACCCAGCACAGGTCATGAAACAATGTCTCAGCATTGCATCATCTGTGACTGTTTTGGTGGGTGGACCGTACGGAGCTGCTGCCGTAGCCATTTGTAGTATACTTACATCAATTTTCTCTGTCAATTCTCCGAAGGAGCCCGATTTGGTGACCGTGTTTACAGACATAGTTCACGCGGAGCTTCTGAAGTTTAATGGGGAGTTAAAACGGCAGACCTTTGAAGGGCTGAAATCTCGTGTAAAGATCATGAACGCCTGTTTGAAAGAACTTCTGGGGCCATCGAATCTCACTGAATTACCCGACAAAGCTCTTTACGAGACAGATTTCCCTCAGTTCATTGGTGAAGTCGCCTACAACTTTCTGAAAGGCCGTGATATGGATAGCAAAGAAGAAGAGGTCAACAACTACCTCACGTCGATGGTTATTTATTGTAACGCGCAAACAGCGCTGTTCCTTTTACTGACAAACATTCTGGCAACTTTTCAATCAACTGGTCGCGAGACAAACATGATCAAGAGGTTAATGGATACCCAAGTTCAGGACGCTCAAGAAAAACTTGGATTCCTCTCGGAAGAGAAATACTTGAGAAAGAGCGCTCTCTTCGCAATCGGTGCACACACTGGTAAATCTATTACTGAAGATGACCTACGTAAAGTGGTAAACATTCGTCACTTTGGCAAGTGCCGTCATCTCCCTGGTTATGATATTATCGAGGGGTTCAGAGAAGGCTTAGGAATGCCAAAAATTCCTGAGACCCTTGTGGAGCTATTTCAAGGTGGTTCAGTACGTGGACCTAAAGGAATAATTCACCGCTACCCTCAACCTCAAACCAAGGGAGATCATCATTACTTCCAACTCATCAATCATTCACACGTACCTGTCCGGGTGGAGTGTGGCATGGCAGGAAACGACGTGAATCGGTTGAGATTCTGTCAAAATGTGCCGCCATACTCCTCCTACGAACGTGTTGCCACTGAATCAATGTGGTGGACTTTTTCCACTGGCGGAGTGTTCACCATGTATTTGAGTGGTGAAATTACATCCTCTGAAACGCGGAACCTCAAGGTTTTCGAGTTTGCGTTGTCCAACCCAGTCGTAGGCCTCTGTGGATCAGCCATTTTAGAGAAAGACCCACAAATTTCTGTCCACACTGGTGAGGATTGTTGGAAACAAATGGGTTGTAATCCCAGTCCGCCTATTTATTTTGAGCACTGTGACAAATATTATGTGGTTCATGGAGGACATACTTGGTCATTTTTAAGAGGAGGCGTTCTTGATTTTCCTGGCAATAATGGATGCCGAACATGGCGGTTTGTGATACAAGAATACGACCCTCTCGAAGATCTCGAGGCAGGTCCGTGACTTTTCTTGTAATGAAATGTGTTTGACACTATTACGGTGCTTTCAAAAAGATTTGAAGTAGGTGGCTACCTCGGTAAAGCACCCGCCGGAGAATGAAATGGGAAACAATTTCCCTCTAGTTAGCCCATTAGTTCCATTCAGAACAAACTGGCTTCAAATGAGTTTTCAGTGTTAAACTTCGGTTAATAATCATTAAATATTAGTTTCCTCAATTTGTAACAATTGTTTGACTGATTGTTTTATTTCTGATCAAAATCTTCCAATTTCAGACATGCAAACCTGCTCCCTGAGTTTTATACATAGGTCCCATGAAAGGACATATGGTCATTGGTTAGATAGATAGATAGCTAGATAGATAGATAGCTTTTATTATTTACTAAGGCAGAATTGCATGATTATTTACAATACGATACTGGCTAAAATTATAAATTATAATTCCAGAGCATATTATTTACAAGAATAATATACAGCCCTATTGTCTACACATGGCTGGTAAATATGCCTGGGAGAAACGCTTGGTGCGCATTATTGGGTTAAAAAACTGACGTTGATCTCTAAGATTATAAGTAATATGGTTCTTCGGTGGTAAAAAATGATGAAGCTTGTGCTCGGTATTGGACACTATTCATATCAAACTCATGGGGTACAAATAGTCTTAACACGAATATAGTGACCACGCCCACTTCAACACCCCACTCAAATCGAGTGTAATTTTCGAACATTTTACCATCGTGCGGATTCTCTACGGAAAAAGCACTCAATGTACCTCTGAAATATTAAACTACAATATTGTGGCTTTCTATGTCCCTAATTTTCTAACTTGAAGGTAAAGTTTTTCCCTCGTCATTTTAACCTTTTCTCCGAGCGGTTGCGTGAAATTAACAAGGCGTTTTTGTTCAAAACACAACTGAGCGAAGCGTCCCAGGCGATATCCCTTTTACGCAAGCGCAATTTAAAAATGTACCGCCAGAATCAAAAAGAGGAACAAATTTCCTTTGTTTTGATATGTAAAGTGTCGAACAAAAAGCAGATTTACCCTCGTCAAATGGCGTTTCAAAACAGCTGTATCTTCCTCCTTTTGATTTTTTTTCCTGTTTTATGAGCGTGAAAGCAGTAGGAGAGGGATCGGGAAACTCAGAAATCGCTTCGGGAATTAATCTGCCATTGTTTACTTACGAGATAAACAAGTAAGATTTGTGAAGTTCATCGCAGTATGAAGTCTAAATAAATGCCTTTTTTAAGCTTGTTCGCTGGATTTTTCTTAAAGTTCCCTGATTAATTTTCGTTTCAGCTTACTAATCTATACTATTTGAAAGCAAAGAAGTTTTCAGAAAAAACCATGAGTGGGTCCTTTCAATAATTGTAAACAAAGTGTTTGAGCAATCAGGTATACGAGGTATAATAGTCAATAGCCATATATCAGAAGTCTTCAGAAAGAAAATATTCTGTTTTCAGAAAGCTGTCAAGAAAGCTAGTAATCGTGGCAATTAAATGTACTTCTTAGCAATTTGGAAACGGGCCCTCGGTATCGATTTAAGGTGTATTACAACGAGGTTGATGTACATCAGCTTAAAGATGAGAACAGCCAGTTGAGGGGGGAAAAAATAAAATTAGAAGAATCGTTGGTACAGGAGAAGGCAAAGCGTCATTGCGAGCGGATAAAAAAGCCCGAGAAGCTCTCGAGAAAGCTGAGAAGAAAGGGGCCTTCTACAATAAAAAATTTATTCAGTTGGCCAAAAAAGTGATTACAAATGGGAAAAAAGGTAGAGGCCCAGCTAAGAAGAAGTTTAATGACTATTCTAAGCACCATCAACAGAGAATTAAAAATCAACTGAAGGAGGAGTGTCAGACTACACTCTCCTTTCTTGGGCCGTACAATTTTGTTGCAACCAAAATTGAAGTCCTCAACACTGTGAATAATCAATATGAAACTTTCAATCTTGTTGGAGAGGGAGAGCTGCCATTTACAGAGTCTGACCCAAAGGCCCTTAATAATGATGACATTGATAACATAAATATGTGGCTCTACCTCAAAGACAAATTCATTATTTCAAATGAGGCCTGGCATGAAATTGCCATTAAGGCTAATGATCTCCCAATATATATTCCATCAAGTAGCGAATTAATGAGCTAAACAGTGAATGGAACTTGAAACCAACACCAGGAGATGCTAAAAGTGTGCAGTTAGGATTTGCAGAAAGCTTGCAAGAGCACATTGTTAGGCTTCAGAAGAATGGAGAAATCAATGATGGAGAAACTATTAAGATCAAGCTTAGTGGTGATGGTACAAATATTGGAAAGGGGCTTACAGTTGTCAACTTCACTTTTACTATTCTCCATGAAAAGGATGTGGCAATGGGTGAGAAGGGAAATCATATACTTGCTGTTATAAAAACTACAGAGACATATGATAATCTGAGAGACAGCGTAGCAGACCTTCGAATGGAAATGTCAAACTTAAAGGAGATAAGTGCAAATAGCTGCACCGATAAAATTGAATACTTTTTAGGTGGAGATTTGAAATTTTTAACACTGGTATGTGGTTTAGGCAGGGCAAATGAGGATTATGCTTGTGTGTGGTGCAAGTGTCCCAGGGAGCAACAGTGGGACACAAGCAAAACATGGTCAATTAATGACCCCAAATTTGGTGCTAGAACTGTCGCCGAAATAGCAAGGTTTTCCACTGGAAAGAAATTAAACTGTAAGGCACAACCATTATTTGATTTTATACCTATGGACCATGTCATCATAGATACATTACATTTTTCTGAGGATTTCAGATGTTTTGATTGACTTGTTCATAAGAGAGCTGAGAAGAAGTGATGCTATTGAGGAAAAAAGATATAAATATAAACACATGGCATGTTATGAAGAATTTATCAAAAGTATGGGAATCACTTTTAATTTTAGAATCAACAAAGAGAGCAAAAAGCTGGAATATAGAGATCTTACTGGACCAGAAAAGTTGAAACTCTTTCAGAATATAAACATTCCGACCTATGCTTGTCCCTCATTGCAGTCAAAACAAAGACATACAAGTGATCTGGGCTAAATTTATGGACATAATTGGTGATTTGAAGCTAGATTTTACATCTGAAGAGGGTATTCTTGAACTGCAAAGAAATATCAAATCATGGTTTGAGCACTTTCTCAAAGTTTACCAAGCAAAAGATGTCACTCCCTACATGCATGCACTATGTTATCATGTTCCTGAGTTCCTGTCACTTTATCAGAACATAGCATATTACACACAGCAAGGCTTGGAAAAATACAATAATAGAGCTTCTAAAGATTTCTTCAGATCCACAAATCACAAAGGGGTTGATGCCCTCAAACAACTGTTTCTGAAGAAAAACAGGATTCAGTTCCTGAAGGCAGCAGGTTATGAAAGGGTTAAGAACACCTACAACGATGAGCTTGTATTCAATGATTGGACTTCTTTGTCCCAACCAATACTTAATAGTTCCTGGAATTACATAGGCAAAATCTTCAGCTACATTTAAAATTCTTTCATCCTACTTCAGCCCCAGATATGAATCAAGCACCCTATTTGACTCCAATTGGTAAACCATCTTCCCTCTTTGAAGAACACCGGGCAAAACATTCCCAAGACCTTCCATGAAAACATCTTGGTCAACATTAAGGTCTATGTTTATATCAGGGTCCTCTCGCCGTCCAGACCAAAGCTTTTTCTTTATTTCACGAGCAAGTTGGCCATGGAACGATTCTTTTCTATCCTCTAGAGAGTTTTCTGAGGGAATGGACAGCTTTTCGCTGCGAACAAACGGAAAATATCCAAATCCTCTATCGGCCCTGAAGGGTGTCCATTCATCGAAGCATGTGCTATAGCCAACGTAATGAATTTTCAACCTCTCTTGTTGATTTTGTCAACCTCCCTGATCTCAATATCATACAGTTTTGTATCTTTCTATCGTGAATTCGCCTTTCTAACGGGGTTGTATGTTAAGTATTTATTGCAAAATCGCTTCACTTTTTTTACTTCCCTCTTTAGCCTGTCCGCCATTTTGAAAATTCGCAACGGAGAGTATGCGCATTACGTAGGGTAAGTGGTCGCGTACACCTGGAACCGAGAAAAACAAATGTTCGTCGCGCTGGGGAAAGAGTTTGATATGGGTTCGAAAAAATTTATTACATTGCTCGATGATACGTCTATCCTTCTGTGAGTTCAGCTTAAACAATGAAAGGTTGTCGAGATGTGATAGGCCAGGTGAAATTAAAGATAGGGCGCGTTTTTGAACATGTTCTATGTCGTTGTTAAAATAATCAGGCAGTGCATGATGGTAAAGAGGAGCACAATATTCAAGTACAGGTCTAATACAAGTAAGATAGAAACTGAAAATATCACGAGCCGGAACTTTGGCGCGCTTTAAATACCTATGACACCATATTTTTCATTGCATTTTCTGGTTGATAGCTGTATTTAAAATTAGAAATAATCGATCTGAACGCCTAGCGAGTTCTCCTTGAGCATTTTTTTAAGCATTGAAAGCACGATTTGGCGGGCAAAAATTGTCCTCGTCAAGCGCGCGGCCAAAGCGATCATGTTACATAGCTATGACGTAGAAAATTGTGACGTCACGTCGGCAACTATGGTGGAGAAAGGAGAAATCAAGAAGGAAGGACGAACGTATTACCTGGCCGGAGCGCCAAATGATGTTAGCTACAAGAATAATACATATATATCGGGTATTTCTATACACTACTTTCCAAAGAGATGTAGCTGTATGGCCAAAATGGACGCGTTTCGATCGTCGAGATCGAGGAGATTTTCCTCTTCAATGTCGTCGGCCTTATGCTCCGTACCGGCTTCGAAGACGCCTGTTACGGACATATACCACTAGTCAAATCAGGGGAAGATAACCAATGAATTCAGCCTAAAAGGAATGCAGATTAAGGGGCCTGTTTCCACACCGTACACGATTGTTCAACATTCTTTTCGACTGACATTTCGCAAGCGAAGACTGATGGGCTCCTTTTCTTTCCACGTGACCATATTTTCGCTTTTCTCATCGTATGAAAATCCTACCAATTTAGTTTCCATCGTATTTTAATAACAGAAATACATAATTTGTAATGAAGTTCAAGCTCTTTCCTGAGCTGACCGATATCCTGTTGTGTGAACGGTACGAAACCTCTGGCGGATACTGGCATAAACACAAGCTCGAAAGGGCCGTGGATTCTCTGAAAATCCATCCCACGAGCTATCAAATCCCCCCTACCCTCAAGAAACTAAAAGTAGCAACATTAGCAGTGTCATTGTGATAACAGCACTGCAATGAGATAAATAAAGAACCACAAATTTTATTGAATTAGATGGTAGCGAATCTAAGTACGAAATATTAATTTTTAATACTGATGTCAGTTATTTCCTTTGAGCGGAATGGGTCGTATGGCAATGCTGCACTAACACTAAAGAAATTTTGCTTTATTAAAATCCCCATTTGAGATGAATCAGATGACTATAACCTCACCGTTTTCCGTTCGGTTTGACCGGCTCGACGATCGCGACGATAGCCTCTGCCTTTGCAATCTCTGAGGAAAGAGAAACTTGCAGTGAAACTACCCGATGACTTCTCGGTTAAAAATCATCGTGCCTCGTAATACAGCTGATTCTTTCCCCAAAAGTTAGCTTTTGGTTTATCAAGGGACATTCTCTTCAGCAACGAAACTCTAGAGCACTGACTAAACACATACGCAACAACTAAAAATTCAGTAACGGGTATTTTATGTTCTAATCGTGACCTGAACACCGCAGGCGAGAAACCGTCTTTGTTAGTCTTCGTCGAAATCTTCGTTTGATGCACGCGGTTCTCCTTCGTAGGGCTGAATCGTACTCGAAACTTCTTTTTGTTCTAATTTTTTGAGTACGATGTATCGCAACTCTCGGTAGAGCTTGCTCGTTACCCGTCCACAGGACACTTTGAAGACAAAGTAAGAGCACTTTAGGGCCCAAAAAAACCGCGTTTTAATTTTTTTGAAATTTTTCTTCTATCGGAATTGGTTTTTACATATGATAAGCTAAATATTTACGCAAAAAATTTTTTCGTGTCATGGGCACTTCAAGCAAAATGAGAAAGAACATCCGCTTATTAGCCTTAATAGGGAAATGCGTTGAACAATTATTTCAATGAACAGTCCCTAAAAATCCTGGATTTTCAGTTTAGGGATGGGGCCTCACCTCTGAGTGAAATCCAACCAATCAAATCTAGCCGCTCGAAAATTAGGATACCACAAAGTTTCTTGTTGATTTATCAGCTGCGAAATGATGCTATTAATTTGTGGGGATTCGATATGTAAAATATTTCGTGGCGCTAAGACGGCCCTTAAACTGAGTCTGGGGAGAGCATGCATCTATGAAAGATAGCGTGCGGACTGATTGTCAAATATATGCGAAGGATTTTTGTGGGGATGACGGTATAATTCTGTTTCTTGGAATCACAGGATCACTGGCTTTTAGAACAATCATTGCTTATTCCAATCATATTCCCCACGAGTTTAGTACATCCATGAGTTGGTCCAGCCGTCATAGTACCATTATATGACTGTTACACCACATATTCCGTAACTTTCAAGATGGCGACCACGTGGAGCGAACTAAGGCCAACTTTGTCTAATTCAGTTTTAGATATCATGGACAAGTTTGGCTTCCAAAAGATGACACCAGTACAGGTAGGCAAAGGAATAATGTAGCTATTACCTAACAAAATATGCTTTGGTTTACCACGCTTTCTTTGTTATACAGGCAGCCACAATTCCACTGTTTATGTCAAACAAAGATGTAGCAGTCGAGGCGGTGAGTTTGAAATTAGATTATTTCTAATTGCCTGTGCACGAAAAGCCCTGTATTTTTTTTTATTTATTCAAAATAATTATTCGTATATTAGTATAATAATAATAATGCTCATTTATGCTATGTACTGCAAACAGTTAATGAGCATTATGAATGCTTGAATTTCCTGGAGGTCGCCATTTTGGCTTGTATGACATTACATGGTTGCCACTATCATCATCAGACAGTAGCTCTTTAGTTTGTACAAATCCTTAGGGGATCGTGCAGACACTAGTGGCATCATACAATTTAACATGGCGACAAGCAGAATTCCAATCTTAAAACAGGCCATATCTGTTTCTACCTTGTATTACACTAAGTACTTTCATTCCTATTTATGGCAAATTTTAGCTTCAAAGATCATTTGTTTCATCAGTGGAGGCTTCCTTTCTTTGAGGCTTCCTTTCTTTGATACTTCCAGTGGTAGGCTGGGAAAAGTCTCCTCTTTGAAATAGTCCCATGGATTATATTAAAGTTCAGATGGCAACTATGTGGACAATCAGAAATGGTTTGATGCTATTCTGGTTCAGAGACTCTTTTATAGGCTCATTAATTAGGTGCCCTTTTTTCTGACGAGGTGTAAATAGGCATAAATAGGTGTAAATAGGTGTAAATAGGTGTCAGGAAGTTCCATGGGTGTTGTTATATGATTTATGTTGAAATGAATCCACAGTGTACATTGTTTACATGGAATAAACTACAAGTATATGCTTGAGTTTTCTTGAAAAGAAAAGATAAAACTGAAACTTTGGCTTGTTTGACTCATCCTCTTCCTTATATCTTGGCCTACCCTCAGCTTGATGGTACAACCCATTAACTCACTTGAGTGATGAAGACAGAATTTCTCCTTACAATATAAATACAATATCAAGCAGACAAGTAATGAGAATGAACAAAAACTCCAATTAGGGAATTATTAGTTGATTCAGTATCAAATTCTCAGAGCTAACATTATAAGAATTGTATGGCAAACAGTAAGGAGAATTAATAATGAGATCTTGGGGGTTGAAAGGATTAAAAACACATACTTACAGGATTCCCCTCAGTTCTTCGCTTCAATACAAGAAACCTGTAATCTAGCTTTTACCTAGCTTTTTTGGAGGGAAAGGCATTAGATTTTATCCCTAAAGGTGTCAAGATTTATGTAGAGAACACCATCATTGGCAATGACTTTGCTGAAGATATTTTGAACATTTCTGAAAATGCCCTGAAGAGCTGACGTAAACATTGCATTAGAGCTCTTTCACAATGGAAGATTCTTGCTAATTTATAATGATTTTTGTGGACTTTTCTGTTGTTGTATTAATTCAAGTTCATTCAATGATATACATTTTCAGAGTTGTGTGAGTTAATCCTCTGACCGTTAAGAGTAACTAGCATCTCCATTTTCCTCACAATATCACACCTGAATCAAACACTAAAGAAGCTCTTGCTTGTTAAACAAATTCTCCTTGTCAACACCTTAGGAAATGTATAGAGAACTGTATGGAGAATATGCATAATGATGTTAGGGTAGTGAGGGTTAAGACTATGTTGGCTCAAATCTTTCTGCTAAGCATGAAAAGCTATGCAGCAGATACGAGATCCACATTTTCTGATGCGTTAATTTTATATTACTGATGACAATACTTCCTTTTTATTTTTAACTTGTTGAAACAGTTTATCTCTAATTTTCAGGTTACTGGATCTGGAAAAACCTTGGCCTTTTTGATTCCAATTGTGGAAATGCTCCTGCAAAGGTTATTTGCACTTTTAACCCTTTAGTCCCCAAGAGTGACTAGCATCTAAGTTCTCCTTACAATATCACCCCTGAATCAAACATGGAAGTCATAAGAATAGAGTAGATGATCACCAACTAAAGCAGCTCTTGATTGTGAAACAAATTCTCCTTGTCAGCCTCTTTGGAAACATACAGAGAACAGTATGGAGAATATGCATACTGATGTTAGGGTGTAAAGGGTTAAATAGGTGTAATTTTTTCAGATGTTAAATGTAGATTTCTTCTCATCAAGATAATTTGGTTTTTTCAAATGAGTTGATAATTTAAACTGGCCAATGGTAAAGAGTTTCTAAGCTGGTGTGTAAAGCTCAGATGATAAAACCAATTACCGGTATCTTGTACTCCCCCACCAATGCAATGCCAGGGTTTATTTTGAACTTTACTCCCTTTATTCATTCAGGTGGCTCTATGTTACATGCTAGTATAGATCTACCAAGAACATGCTTATGGGTCACAGTGTGGTTTTTCAGCTGCAATTTTCAAACCCAGGAAAGGGATTTGCCCTCTTTTCCTCTAAATTTTAAACTCAAGTACCTTGCATAGTGTTGGACCTGACATTTGCTTTATATGCTTGCTATTTATTTTATTTATTCAAATATGTCATATTTTCTTTTCAAAGGGAAGAGAAGCTGAAGAAACATGATGTAAGTTGGTTTAATTTTGTAGAAAAATAACTAAAATCTACAGGTAAATATAAAAATTGACTAGTACTTTGGAATTTGGTTATGACACCTTGGTAGGTGGGCCATCCATCCATTGTTTTTTGGGTCAGAATTGGAAGTTAGAGAGTTGGTTTTGGTGGAGGGAGTAAAATTGAGGAACAAGCATAAAATACGCACAACAAGGATGAACAGCAGGTCTACTCTGGGACTGAGAGGCAAGGGGTGGGGAATAGGGATCAAGGGGCGGGGGACACAACAGGTGGGGGGTGAGGGGTGATGGGAGGGGTGGAACAATGGGGAAGGGGTGGGGCTACAGGAGTTAGAGGCAGAGAATAAGGGGTTGAGGGTGGTGATGGGAGAGGGGTATAAGGCAAATGAATCAAAAAGCTTTCAGAAACCAACAAGTGTGAATAATGAAAGAATGAGTTATGTGATTATTCTTGAAAGTAGGACCAATTTGTAAGTTCTACATATCTGCTTCACATTATCAGGAGTGACTGGAAATTAATTTGTCTTTACAATGTCATCCCTAAATCAAAAATTGATGTTACAAGAATAGAGGAAATGATCTCCAACTAAAGTAGCTCTTGATTGTTAAACAAATTCTCCTTGTTAGCACTTTAGGATATGTATAGAGAACTGTATGGAGAATATGCACATTGATGTGAGGGTGTAGAGGGTTAAATAAGTCTAAGGAGCAGTCAAAGATGGTTCGCACAGGGTCAGGGTATTTTCTGCCCTGGTCATCAGGGGAGTTTGTTTTTAATTAGTCATATTGCAATCATCTTGTGATGAAAATGTTTAAATGTAGTTGATGAATAAGCTTGGCAGTCTTGTTTGCTATTGCAGTTCACTCTCAACTAAAATTCTCCCCTCTTGATTCAGGTTGGTGCCATCATTATCACTCCAACAAGAGAACTTGCAAAACAGATTGACGAAGTCCTAAGAACATTTACAAAGGATCTCATCCAGCTAAAGTGAGGCTGTGTTTGTTGGAAATTTACTGTGTAGTGGAGAAATTCAATCCATCTGGCACACACCTCACTGCATTTCTTTTTCACCACCACTTTATCTGCCCACCTAGCCATGGACACTAACATATTGGCCATGTTTTGGAAACCAATATGGCCATGTTGTGAAAACAATCAATTTGGGGGGCTAAAGGAAGACAATTTTATGATGCTACTCTTGTATACTTTAATTCAGCATCCTCATGGCCTTCATAAGCAATATGCTCTACAATGATAACCTCAATTTTTTTTTAAACAGGAATCTCTAACTCCAAGTAGTTGGTATATGGAGATTTTTTTTTGTCTTAATATGCCACTTATTATTATTACTCTGCTGATTTATTTCTTTACTCTTCATTAAAGAATAGCAAAATTACCTGTCTTTTTCAACTGCAAAACCACCTTAGTTTTGGAAACATATTATTTCTGAATGCTTGTTTTATAGGCAGCTACTTCTGATAGGGGGAGTGGACCCTGTGGAAAATATGCAGAGATTCAAATCAGATGGGTGAGAACAAAGTGAATTGAATGATGTTTTGATCTAAACTGCATAATTGTGTATAGATATTTAAGTGGAAAACAGAGAATCACAAGTTTTGTTCCCTTTCAATCAAGAAAGCTTTTTTAGATTTAAGGCAGTGATTTGAGAAAGTTATAAGTTTATGGCATATGTGTATGGATCAAACAAGCCATTAACTACAAACTACATGTGCAGGTGCCACAACCTGAACTTTTCTTTTCAATCTGTGCCAATGTTTATTTGTTTTTCCCCTTTTTTAGAGGTCACATTATTATTGGCACACCAGGGAGATTAGAGGATTTAATGACAAGAAAGCAAGAGGGGATAGATCTGGCTGCTCATGTTCGATCTCTGGTCTGTACCAAACTGAAATTTTTCATGCTGAGTTAGAATTTATGGTGTAGAACCTTCAGTTTAAATTTAAAACAATGAATGCATGTTATGAATTCATTGTTTTAAATTTTCAGGAAACAATATTCTTGTTATGTTTCTACATTTCCTAAGGTGCTGACAAAGAGAATTTGTTTAACAGTCAGAGCTTCTTTAGTTGGTGATCATTTGCTTTACTCTCATGACCTTAATGTTTGATTCAGGGGTGATGTTGTAAGGAGAAATTAGATGCTGGTCACTCTTAGGGGTCGTAAATGAAATAACCCTGAGTTCTTGTTGGTTTCCCATGATGATATTTTTCTTTGTTTTGATTGGTTATTGTGATTACTCTGGTCTGGGCTATACAACACTATTGAAAGGCAGCTCTCAATATGAAAGGACGGGATTAGATAGGATTGGATGAACATTCATGAGACCACTATTAATCATAATTCCTTTATTTTGGTTATTTAGGAAGTTCTTGTCTTAGATGAAGCTGACAGATTGTTGGACTTGGGTTTTGAAGCTAGGTAAATTTTAAAACTTATTTTTTTTAGTTGAAGTCTTGATTAACATATTTCAACTACATCAACAATAGCTACCCCATGCTTTTCCCTCAGTCTAGCACTAAAACCTCAAATAGTGGGAGACCAAGATAAAAAGGAAGCCCTTTTAAAAAAGCATTTGAGAAGGTGCATGGTAAAAAAAAAGCCTATGTGTGACTTCTGATAGACTTTTATAGACTTTTGAATCTCTTTCCAAATTTTCCCATCTTTCCTTGTGGAACACTAAGTAGAATTCAATGTTGCAAAAAAAATTCACCTTAAACTAACTACACATCCCTATATTTACTGAAAGATTTGGTGCCTCCTGTCTGTCAACAACAGAAATAATGTAAAATGAAATTAACCATAGAATGTTTTATTCAAGATCAATTGACTCTTTGAAGTGGTTATCACTTCATTTTGAACTCTTAAAAAAAAGGTGCAGTGTTTTTTGACAATCTCTTTTGAGTTTGATTGCTTTTTTATTGTGATTTCAGCATAAATACTATTCTGGGTTTTCTCCCAAAGCAAAGAAGAACAGTAAGTCACTCCTAATATCAGAAATTTCAATAGTTAGTTTTTGTTAGGTCACAGAGTTGATTTTATTTTTTTTGTCATTGTTTTTAACAGAACCAACTTAAATAATTTTATTTTAGTATCATCAAATTAATCATTGAAGCCGACAGAGTTGTGGATTAAACTTACCATTGTGATATTTATTCACTTATAAGCTAAGCAATATTTTTTGGGGCCTTAAACTCAGTTTTAGAAAAAAAATTTCCTTTTTCAAAGATAGGGCTCAGCCTAGAGCCAAGAGTTTTGAATAATGTTTCTCTAAAAACATCATTTATAAAATTGAAAATCATCACAGACACTCCTTACTCTGCCCATAGCCAAGTGAGTTTTATGAAAACAATAACTCACAAGAAAACAAGAATAAACAACCTCATGAAAATGCTCATAAATTATTTAGTGCTGGATTGGAAGCAAGTTACTTTAATTATTGGCTGACCTTAAGGCCTTAATTAACACAGAGTTGCAATCTTGTTTGCCCTAGATAGGTTGTTTAAATAGTATTTGTGTATCTGTTTTTTCTACCTAGGGCCTGTTTTCTGCAACTCAGACAGATGAAGTCGAGGCTCTAGTGAGAGCTGGCTTGAGAAATCCTGTTAGAGTAACAGTTAGAGAGAAATACTCCAAGTCTAAGGTAAAGTTTAACTCAAAAGAACAATGGTAGTAATACCTCAGTTGAGCTTGGTCAACTACATGAAAAACAGTTAAAATGGCCAAGAGAGTTGGTTCTGTGTATACAAATATTTAGTATCATACTAAATAAGAAATAAATAAGTAACATAATGTTATTTATTTGTTTATTGGAAGGTTACAATTTTTTTTTCTATCTGATGGGCCAATTTTAGTGCTGCCATTACAGCTCATTACCTGCATAAATAATTTTGCATTGACTGACTGTCAGGCTGCAGTTCTCATAGACTAAGAGATATAAGTTTAATTGCATCATGATATTACTGCCGTACCCGAACTACTGTAAATTATACAATCAATAAAACCTTTTGTTTCTCTTTGCCCATGTACTTGTAGTCAGAACAGAGGACACCATCCACACTAAAGAACTTTTACACAGTAAGCAGTTGTATTTTCTCTTTTGCTTAATGTGTAACTACATTTTTATGCCATGCTTCATTAATCTGACCACAGACACTCAGCAATCATAGCATATACTTGTATTTGAGTGTTAATCAATGAACCAATATATCTGAAAGGCAGAACTGCATTACTTGAGGAATGTTGCATACCAGGTTTCCTCAAATAAGTGCCCATGTTCTAATAATTGCCCTCCCCCAAATAAGGGCCCACCCTTTAGGCCACAAAATATCAAACAAGGACCCCCTTGAATAAAGACTGAATTGGACTCCACTCAGTCCTATTGCCATAATTTATTGTACTTGTTTGGTATGCGTATGCATCATATCAGGGGTTCTGGTTGTACCATGGTTCATTTGAGTGGAAATACCCTTTACTCCTTTTATGACTGGGAACACTGTTTAATTCTTAATTTCAAGCTTTCTGTGTTTTTTTTGTGGTTCAACCTCTGTTCAATTGATCTTAGAGTAAAGTTTCACTCTGTAACTAAATGATGATATCATGTCATTTCAGGTCAGTGACTTGATATTGTAGTATACCAAAATGTATGTCAGGCTTCTGATTGGCTTATTGCAAATTTGGGTATTATGACTGAATATAACACTAAACAATCTCAATAAATTACAAAGAAATGTATGGGCTCTCAAAGGCAGGCTTACTAAAGACAGGAGTGAAAGGTTAAGGCAAACATTTACACCCAGTGTCTCATTAATAATTTTCCTCTGTGTAGTAATTTTCCTCTCTGTGTACCATACATTTCTTGAGATGTTACTTTGGAGAATTTGGTATTGGATCAACTAACAATTTTTGCAGTGGTTTTGATGAGGGGTAATTTTGAGTTTCAAGGTTTTAAAGTAAATTTGAGTGAGTTAAAATCCTTTATTTGTAGATATGTGAAAGTCAAGAAAAGTTCTCAAGATTGGTGTCCTTCCTCAAGGCAAGGAAGGTATGTGATGTGTTTAGTAAGAAGAGGTAAATTCAGCAATTGAGCCAAGTTACCCATCTGGTCTGAGTTTATTCTAGTTTCTGTGGCATGAAAGGACTGGGTTGATGTCAGTATCTGAACAACTGTGCACTTACCCTTCCCCTGACCCAACAACAGTTTACTGATAACAATTTATGGTTAGTGTTTGATTAGGGGAGAGGTAGGTGAGCAGTTGCTCAGATACAGACGTTGATCCAAAGAATTAGGAGTGTTGCTTCATCCCTTGCATGGGATGCTAATACATTGCAGGTTAACCACCACCCACCCCCTCCCCTCCTTTCCCTCAGGATTTCATGAGATTCTTGTGACAGTTTTTTGGTACTCTTTGGTGGAGAAAGGCCCTTTGAGTGTATAGTGCCTTGCTTAAGAACACCAAGAAAAGTGTCCATCACAGCCTATAATTATGTGGTATTTGCTCACAAGAAGTTGAAATGAAGAAAAGGAATTTGAGAGGAAAAATGAATCATTTTGGAACAGTAGTCACCCACAAGAGGAAATTGAAATGGAAGATTCTACTGAACCTGTTATAAGTATTCTACTCTCAAAGTGATTACCTAGTCTACTAGTTGAAGAATGGCACTGAGAGAGTAAAGTGCCTTGCCCCAGAACATAACACAGTGACTTGGCCAGGTCTTGTGCCTTCACCTCTACACTGGGGGGGCCTATTTTTGTTAACCTCTAGGCCACTGTTTGTACCATGATGCACATAAGTCGTGCATATATTTCTGTCATTATGTTCACTCTGTGATACATGTTGTTGCATTTGATACAGAGGATAAAACATACTTTAGTTGAACCTGGATTTAAATTTTTTAACTCAATTTTAAGATTGGATATTCAGTTGACTTTTTCGATGGAATATTTAAGAATCAGAGTCAGTTTTAAAATACAATGAGAGCTCAAGACAGCAATGGCCTGCTGATAGACTTCATGTACTTTAACTCTTTGATCCTCTAATTTCTCCTCATAATATCATCCCTGAATCAAATATTAGGGTCACAAGAATAAAGGAAACCCGAAGGTTATGTATCACATTCTTATAAATTTTTGTCTTACAGACCTGCAAGAACATGGTATTTTTCAGCACATGTGCTTGTGTTAACTATTTTTCAAAGGCTCTTGAAAGGTAAGCATTGTGCAGTGCAGTATACTAAGAAAACCATTTTACTTCCTAGAGTGATCTTGAAGTAATTTCTCCTTTCGATATAAACACCTTGCCCAGCAGACAGGTCATGGGAACGAAGAAATATACCAACTAGAGGATATCATTTGAGTTAAAGAAAGTCTACAACAAATTTTGAGTAACGGATATAGCCATTGCGCAACGAAAACATATTTGCACATTTACTGAAGCTCATTTTGCGAGCTTGGGCTACCTGTGGTCACTCTTGTTTTCCCGCACTTTGAGCAGTCTGGTTACTTTTACTGTAAATTCTCATTGGCTCGTTAGGATATTTTTGTCTCCTCTGATTGGCTGTTGTGGATACTTTGGTTTTGGTTTCTTTGTCCCATTCACGTTCCTTTTTACCTAAGGAACCTCAATGGGACAAGAGGTGTTTTCTTAACAAACCAAACGTGGTTTTTTTTTTTGTTGTTTTTCGTCAGTCCGTTATCGTTGAAGCACTCTGATAAACTGATTTCAGGTTTCTTTCGAATGTGAAAGTGCTGTCTATCCATGGAAAAATGAAGTCAAAACGGCATAAAGTATTTGATAGCTTCAGAAAACTTAAAAGGTACGTCTACCTGTCAAGTTCTTCTACAGAATCATCGTTACTGATTAAAGCAATACTCGAATTAGTCAGTGTTTACCTTGCCATATCTTTACAAAAGGTGGGGGGAAGGTGGGGAGGGGATTAAAGAATACCCGGCCGTTAAACAAGGCCACCCCTCTCCTCCCGCGCCAAAGACGCAGTTGAGGGTTGGCATTTGTCACGAGGATTCGAACTCCAGATCCTCGGATTTCGAGCTCTTCCTTCGAGGAACGAACCCAACTTCGTCATCTTTCTTGATTTAGAGACCCACACTGCGCTTTCTTAATTTCTGATCCAGCACGACGCTTGTCACAAGTAAACCTACTACACGACCGTGCTCGCGGCGCCAATAATGGGGGCCTGGTGAGTGGTTTGCGAGGGGTCTGTTTCATTATTAGTGTCAGACCCCTCACAAATGTCTCGCCAGCCCGCTTTGCTTAAGACCTCAAAATTTGCCTTCGGCGTAGAAACGCTTGGGCCGCGGCGCCAATAATGAGGGCCTGCCCGGAAACCTGTAGATCCAGAGGCTTGATTCCTCTTTAGAACCTCTTCCACGCTTTTACCAACCATAATTGCACATTTTTGTTCCTTTTGTGTCAAGTGGTGTTCTGATCTGCACTGACGTCATGGCCCGAGGAGTGGACATTCCAGAGGTGGACTGGGTCATACAGTTTGATCCTCCCAGTAGTGCAAGGTATGTTAGCGATAGGAGACGTATACTCTCAAAACTACTACGGTTTTTATCTCCGACAAAAAAGGGTTTTCAAATACTTGTGAAAAGTAGTGTGTGGTTGGTGTGACGCGGCGTTCCGTCTCGGCTAAGATATTCATCAGAAACCCTTCCGAATTTTTAAGCATATTCGTTAACCTTCGAGTTTTTGAGCCTGATGCTCAACGAGGAGTAAAAATTCGTAAAGTGTGTAATATGCCACTCACCGCGGCACAACTATCCAGCAGAGGTGGGCAGTCTATCAGCAATACAAGGCGTTAAAAACGCAAGTTTAGTCAAGATCTTTTCAAGCCGGCACAAGTGATTTTTGAATTGATCATGTAGTGATGATATACAGTTATATTTAGGAAATGCTAGTGATATAAGGAAATCAAACTATTTGTAGAACGGTTGTAGCTTGTTTGTGTTGGAAAGATGCAGTTCAGCTGACTGTGTTTCTGGGCGAATCGGTTTGATTGGGGCGAAACGACTGGCTACTAAATGCATTGATCACTCGCACGTAAAGCGCGGCTTGTTGAAATGTTATTAAAAAACAAACAAACAAACAAAACACAAGATAACGAAAGTTCTCCATTTTTTTTTTTTTATCAAAAAAAGGCGAATTAAGGTTCAGTGATGTTGGCTAACCAAATAAAGCCCCTCGTGAAATGTAAAACCGCCATGGCGATAAACCCGATTGCCATGCCAACATCGTTGTCTTCGCTTGTAAAAAGAAGAAAGAAAGAAGTACTGGTATTCTATTGTGATTTATATAATTATTGATATCTTATTCTTTCTTCTCGCAGTGCTTTCGTTCACCGCTGTGGAAGAACGGCAAGAATTGGAAATCAGGGTTAGTTACGTGTAGCCTAAAAGAAAAATTTCTTATTTCTGAGTGTTTGATGAAGGTTTACTCGCTGGAGAGGATGAGAAATATGGAATATAAGACAGGATCTACGTCTATGCGAGGCTCTCGGGGAAAACGCGGGAAACCATTTTGGATGTGGTTTGGTTTTGGTTTTGGTTCTGATTTGTTGTGAGTTTTGCGAGAGTTTATTTGAATCAAGACAGAATGTGACAAGCGAAACAATTGATACTGAGATTGACCCCAATGGATCACGGACATTATCCGCGCTACTGCGCACCTACCCCTCTTTTAGCCCAACAACAGTCAGCTGATAACAAGTTAGGGTTAATCTTGGGTTAAGGAAGGGGTAGGTGTGCAGTTGGTCAGACACTGACATTGATCCAAACAAGGTCAATGTCACAATTAACCCTTTCACTCCCACGAGTGACCAGGAAATAATTTCTCCTAATATAATCAATACAATATCAAGCAGAGGTATGATGAGAATAATGAAAAATACTATTTAGGGGATTGTTGATTGATCGTGTTCATAACTGCGAAGATCGCTTTCATATTCACGCCTTTATCCGCAGTTCACATACAGCTATTTCAATTTACGTTGTCGGATCAAAGCTTCAAGGGTACGGGACAAGACCGAAAGGCGGTATGGGTAGATTAGAATTAATTTTAGGCTTTCGGGGTTGTCGGCGCGAGATGGACATGGAGGCTGAAAATACAATTAGTATTGCCTTGCGCGTCTTAACAAAGAGCAACAAGAACAGATATGACTCCTATTAAGATCCCATATTCCCCTTCGGTCTTGTCTTGTAGGCTTGAGGCTTTGATCCGACAACGTAAATTGAAATAGCTGTATATGATTTTCATATATTCATAGTCATTTATGTAACCTATGTTACCTTTACTTTGATCTCCTAATCGTTTTTTCTTCTTCTATTGTATCCTGTTACTTTGTAGGGAATGCTTTGTTGTTTTTGCTTCCTGCTGAAGAATCTTACGTGGAATTTATATCCATCAACCAAAAGGTAGGTTAACTCTTCAATCATTAAAGAGTGACTGGCGTCTAATTTCTCCCACAGTTTCAACCTTGAATCAATTGTAACGGTTATGAGAATAAATAAAATGATCACCGATTGAAGAAGCTCATGATTTTCCATCAAATTCTCCTTGTCAGTACCACAGGAAATGAAGAGAGAACGGAATGGGAGAATATACAGATTGATGTTAAGGTGTGAAGGGTTAACTGTGGATTATCCCACCTAGTGTGATCGTTAGGATGACCGTAACCTTGACCGTCATTTCTGGCCGCACGTTTGGCGACCTGAACAAAAGTGCTCTTGTGGTCAACATCGCACAGGGGTAGGACGGGGCTAAATGATCAGAGAGATGAAGTTTCTCACCCTTCTGATTGATGCACCACTGTATTTTCTGTCCTTAATACAGGTCCCTCTTCAATCTTTCGAAATAGAAGGAGAAGTGACAGACGTTACGCCCAAGCTAAGACAGATGGCTATGAAAGACAGGTACTGTATACAGAAAAAATGTTTTGCTAAGTTCCCGTAGAAAGTTACTTTATTTACAGGGAACGTAACCTCTTTTGTAAGTGCCATAACCCTTTAACCACTGAGGATGACTGGCTTTTAATTTCTCCTTGCAATGTCACCCTTGGATCTAATGTAAAGGTCAGGAGATTATGGGAAATTATCACCAATTTACGAAACTCCCAAATGTCCAACAAATTCTTCTTGTCAGTGCCATAGTTTTTGTAAAGAGAAAAGTGAAGAGTATATGAACATTAATGTTACGGTCTAAAGGGTTAAAACTGAAAGTGGCCGCAATATAGAACTTTGCAGATGTGTCTTTATAGTGCTGGTAAATAACAGAACCCTTTTAAAAAAAGCACTTATCTTACCAGTTAGTTCCCACTAATGGGGAGCGCTCCTTCGCCCACGTGACCGAACAATTCTTGACGCAGCTATCCCTTTGTGCGCACTTTACATTAAACTGTGCATTTACAACCCTTTTTCCTTTAAGTTTCCCTTCCTTGCTCTTCTCTTCCCCCCCCGCCGTAAGACTACCCCGTCTCTTTGTTTCCCCGAATTTTCTAGTCTCAAAAAATCCGAGATGACGAACACACACCTCGTAAGCTCACTGTAGCGGTTGCTCGTCATGAACATGTCTTACCCGTCGGTTATGCGTCTACTAACCTTCGGGGGGGGGACGTTTTATAGTATTCCTTTCTTAGATATTTTACTACGAAAGAGGTTCAGCACGACGCTTAACTTACGGAAAACGACTAAAATCGAGTTCTCGCCGTCTGCTTTCAGCCCTTTTTTTTAATTTGGGGATAAATAAATGAGCAACTTTACCTAACGAGGGTAAATACTAAGTCATAGACTTACAAGCCCCATGGCCCTCCTTCCTATTTTTGAAGTCTGTCATCCTTTCAGTAATTTTACCTATGTCTTTTTTTTTTTCGAATTTCTTTTTAGGGATGTGTACGAAAAGGGGATGAAGGCTTTTGTGTCATTCGTACAGTTCTACAGAAAGCACGAGTGTAGTTTAATTTTTAGATCAAATGGTAAGGAAAATATCTTTAATTTACAATGGGAATCAAATATCCAGCATAGAAAAGTGTTCTCATTTGCTCCTTGTGATATTTTGTTTTGTTATGATTGGCTGTTGCGATTGCTTTAGTTTTAATTTTAAAACCGAATGAGCAATTCACTGATCAACGAAACGAACGAACGAACGATCATTTTGACAAGATTTGTTTTGATTTCCAAACGAGTCATTTTCAGTGAACCCAAGCTAAACTCCTGCTTTGGCTGTTGTTTTCTATTTGTGCAAAACGCTAGCATAGGAAGCAATTGAGGGTAGAAAGCTGGCAATCACTATCTGATTCGGTTTTGCTTTGGTCTTGTAACAAGGGTCAACTTCTCAAGCATCAAATGCAAATCACACTACCAGTGGTCATTAGCTTGCGTCGCATACAGTCCACTCTACCGTGGCTTTGACCAGTCAAGGGTGGATCCGGAATTTGGATATAAATTAAGAGGTGTTCAAACTTTTACAAAACAAATCGGCAAATCTCTCGACTGACCCACTTCCCCCCCCCCCTCCCCCCATCCCCCCTACTTGCGGTTACTCGACATATGTCATCAGTTTAGCCTTTCGCCGTATATATTAATCCTACACGTACTAAAGGGGAAATAGTCAGTTAATTGAAGAGTAAAATGCGATCCTGTCGTTACAAGAATTTTTGTGTCAGACTGGTTGTAAAAAACCCACGTGTTTGTTAAGGGTAGGTTTGAAACCCCTGCCTTCGGTTCTCCCTTAAAAACCATGTGAGACCCCCGAAAAAACTTCGCCGCGCCTCCCCTCCCCCCCAGGTGCTAACTATTGGCTGCTCCTCGATTAACGTTTTCTTGAATTTTTTTGGCCCACAGACCTGGAGCTCGGAAAACTCGCAACGGGATTTGGCCTCCTAAAGTTGCCCATCATGCCAGAGCTTAAGGATAAGAGTGTGGATTTTGAGCCAGTGGATGTAGATGTTGATAAACTTTATTACAAGGACAAAAACAGAGAAAAGCAGAGAAAAAGAATGCTGCAGGAATCGAGCGAGAATGGTTTTTATCCAACGGACTCGAAGAAAAAGAAATTCCGTAAGGAGACCGTCCCGTGGTCCAAGAACAAAGAGAGAAAAGTCAAAAGAGAGAAGCGGAAAGCACGTAGAGAATTTTTTAAAACGCAGCGCCAAAAACATCAGTTTGATGAAGATGAACTTGAGGATCTTGCGCGTGATGCGCGCTTGGTGAAAAAACTTAAGGCGGGAAAGATCAGTGAAAAACAGGTGGATACGCAATTAGGAAATGACGAAGAAATCACTCCCAATTTGTAAGAACTGGCTTGCCGAACCGTCTTGTTTGTAAATTGAAGGGTGTTCCAAGAATTCACGATACTTCCCTTAGAAGTCTGGCCTAATTGCGAGGATGACAAATTAGTGAGGGGGGGACCCCTCTCTCCTCTTTCCTCACTAGATTGTGATAAAGGGGGTAAGTTTCTAAAGAAACTGTGGTGCTGCGTCAGAGGGGGGGTATAACAAAATAATTCGGTTTTATAAACATAGTTGATAATGTAAATTGGCTACCGTGAAGTGTTTCAAAGCTGAAGTTTCAAGAGTGAGCCCTTTGTCATTCGCTCTGACGAAAGCTAACACTCGAAACATCAGCTTTGAAACACTTCACGGTGGCCAATTTACATTATCAACCGCGTCGATAAAACGTTATTATCTTGTTTACTCGATTTTTCCTGTTTAATGTGGTGGCTTCAACAAACGCTCGTAAGATGTAGCGTTCGCTCGTTTAACCCTTTAAATCCCAAGGTCTGATTGTTAATTCTCCTCTCTAGTTCCCACAAATTTCCTTGTAAATTAGTTACAAGAATTTGGTGTTAGATCAAGATGACAACTTCTACCTGATAAGTCTGAGTATTCTCATCACCCTTTAGCTGGATAATGTATGGATATTACGGGGGAAAGTTACGTGTTAATCACTTCTTGGAGTTAAAGGGTTGAAATACGCCTGATTTGTAAAATTATTTCTCGTCCTCTGAGTTAAAAGTTTTCTGCTTTTGGAATCCTAAGGGAACTAGTCGTGGGGTGCGACAATGTCTTGTGTGCCCAATATTGCATACGATAGTTTAGAACTGTTATTTGTAAATAGAACTAGTTCTTTCAGTTCTTCCAAACCTGATAAGTAAATACTATCCTTCAGTGATATGCTGCTTTTGATATTATTAGATTAAAATCAGTGCTTGAATTAATTCCAACCGTCTCCGTGTTCTCAGCCTGATAAATAGATCTACCTACGACGGCGCGAGGCTTGGGAAACAGGATACGCGCAAAGTTTAAAACGCATCTGGGAGGGGAAAAAAAACCGGGAAGAAAGCTTCAAAGTGCCCCTGTGATTTTTTATCTGCGAATCGTGGATAAAGTATTGAAACAATCGAGGAAAGAATATAGAATATCAGGCATTTTCAACATCATAGGCACCTCACCTCACCCTGATTCTGTGTCGATATGAATCATGGAAGGCATTCTGTAGTTTCAAACTAGATATGACAGGGTGGGAAAGTTTAAAAGCTCCCTAATCAATATAGCATACAGTGTTTAGTCTCTTTTTTTAGGTGTTTTTTTGTGTTATGTTTTATTTGAAAAAAACGACAACACCAATAACAGCGAAACATTTTTGGAGGTCAGGAGCCCATTATTACGTGTATTTATGTCATCAACTGGTGAAAAGAACTTGACGAGAGGCTCGCAAACTATTTCAAAAATAGATAAAACAGCAACGAGAGGATGTATGCAATCGGATTTCTATGGTAAGCTTGCATTAAGCAGGCCTTCTCTTTTCGGGGGTATGCGCACATTAAGCAGGGCATCATTTGGTGCCTGTTCATAGGCTAGCAAAATTGATGTTTCTCTTTTTGTTATATTTAACTTTTTTCAGGTTGAAGGACTTGACGAAACTAGAGACACGATATACAATTTTATATGAATCAATGACGGAAGTACCGACCGCTGACTAAAAACTTCGATACTTTATTCGATTTGGTTGCCCCGACTACACGTAACGTCATAGGTCATGTGATTATTTCCGTCTTGTTCACCGCGCCCCGCGTCCATCTTGAATTTTTCGGTTCGGGAAGTTATAACTGAACGGTTTCATCCGAGCGGTATCTTTCGTAGCTTTGCCCATCGACATGTCTAAAAAAGACAACTTGGTTTACAAGGCCAAGTTGGCCGAGCAGGCTGAGCGTTATGACGGTTTGTATACGATTTGTTGCCTCTTTTTTATTTTTGCAGAGAGTTGTAGGATGGGTCATCCATGGAATTTGACTATATACTGTGTGATTTTAGTTCGCCGACCAACATTATGACCGTTTAAATAAGTGTCTCTGTTAGTATCAAACTAGTATCATGGTAGACAATTTTAGCAGGAGTGTGATTTCTGGTCGAAGTTTGACAGGGGCTCAGATCTACCTATCAATGTAATGTTTACTTGCCGCTTCACATATCTATGTTTCGAAGGATTTCGAAGGTGCTATTTGCTTCTTATTACAGAGATGAAAGATCATATGAAGGAAATTGCACTGGAAGGTGGAGAACTTTCGATAGAAGAACGCAACTTACTCTCAGTTGCCTACAAGAATGTCATTGGTGCGAGAAGAGCTTCTTGGCGCGTTCTCTCAAGCCTGGAGAAAACCCAAAACGACGAACCCAAGAAGGAAGTAATAAAAACATACAAAGAGAGCGTGGAAACGGAATTAAAGGGCATCTGCAGTGAAATTTTAGAATTATTGGATGGCAACCTGATAGAAAACGCCAAAGATCCGGAATCGAAAGTCTTCTACCACAAAATGTAAGTTACAGTGTTTCAACATGTCAATAATTTTTGTATATTAAATTAGATTACCGCTGCGTATGATTTATCTCAATAAGTGCATTGATCATTAAAAATTCGAGGTGGGCAAACGTTGATACCTTGTCAGTCTTATGTCTTCCAAAGGCCAGGAGTGTGAGCATAGGATTTGAGGAAAATGGAGGGAAAGGTGAACCTGTAATCGAGAGGGGAAATCACGCATGTCATACTATGTACAGTACATGTTTGGCCTCTCCATATCAGCTGTTGAAGCCCTTTGTCAGACATATCTTGCCTTGTGTACAGTTGAAAGCTTGTTCTTAGTTTAAGCTGTACTTTTGCATGCACAGTATTCATAGAGGAATTATTTTCTCTATGCTATGGATTTTTTTCCAATATGCTTGAGGTTTTCAGCCTTGAGTTCTTTATAATTTGGGCCTCTTATTTGTGGAAATTTTTAGGGAAAATTTAAAGTGATGAATATTGTAATGGGTTATGTGTATGTATACTCAGTGGGCAAGATTGAAATTGTTTAGTTTTTTAAGGGGAATTAGGCCTGATATGGAACAGATGAACAAGAAAAGGCTGATTTTGCTGGTCTGCTCTAACAAGCGCAAGGAACCTTTTTTTCCCCTTCAGATGATACATCAGCCACAAATAATTATTTATTAATTTCAATGTAGGTGCCACTTTTGAATAACAAAGTGAACAGATAAATGCTGTGAATATTGTTCAAATTCCCTGTCTTTGCTTTTCTTTGAACTCAACTTAAGCAAATTTGTGTTAAACTTACATCTATCTGTGTTTGTGCCTTATGGCATGACATCAGTATGATGTCATACAATGAGGTTTAGGTATTTAGCTGAGATACACTCACTGCTCCATTCTCTGATCTGTCATAATTAATTTATGCATTGAATGAGGATCAAATGCTTTATCCCCTGCCTTTCCTACTAGGTATTGTTCCATCCCCATAGTCGTGCTATTGTCTTTTATTTATATACCTGGTGGGTGGGACAAAGGCAAGAATGTTTGCAAGTTCATGGAGTGATCAACAGATTTATAATGGTATCTTTCATGGGTGTGGTTTGCAAAAATTATCCAGGTTGTTTTTTCCCTTCCTTTCTCTCCATTCTTGATCAAAGTGTACTTTAATAGACCTCACAAATGAAGGAGCAATTTTCAAGAGAGTATCAATTCAGAGAGAAAAGGGCCTTAAAAGTTGTAAAATCGACAATGACAATAGTCCCAATAATAGATATGGAAATATTTTGTCAGACTGTAGGCTGAAATCTTTTAGGTGGTTATTTCTTTCTTTTCACGCCATTCTTGATCTTAATACACCTTTGTAAATCTCATAAACAAAGAGCAAACATGCTAAAGAATACTCCCCTGGAAAGAAGTGGGCTTCAAAGTCTCAAGTCTTTACACATCTTTGGCAGCAAATTACCATGTTTTGAGGTTTTGCAGTTTTCATTCAGCTGATTTATCTTTGTTTGGGGTTTTACAGATTTCACTGGATTTGACCCTTTCTGTTTGTTTTGCAATTACCTTTAGAGGTATTTTGCCCCTGGTGTGGCAGCTTGAAATTTAATTACTTGCTTGGGCTCAGATTGAATTTTCAGCACCAGTTTGGCTGTCTTCAGTATATTTTTCCTGTTTGGCCATCAATTTATCTGACTTAAATATAACCTGTGGCTAAGGTTAAGTGTTACTGCTAAGGCTTTTAAAGTAAAGAATAAACTGATCATGTAAGGATATGTCATGCAATATTGAAGGAAATGGCAAAGGATTTTTAAAGTGAATTATTAAGATTTGCTGTGCCATGAGGTAGCTCCAAGAGTACTTTGATTGAAAGCAGGGAGTTCTCCCATGTAAAGTATTTTTGATACTTGATTTTTTACTCTGGGAACATGCTTTGTAGAATTGTCAACAACATAGACTCTGAAGGCTTGCAGTTGTTGTAAAGCATGTCACTATTGTTTCCTGTTGTCAGGAAACAAAATCTCATGATATCAAGAGCAGGGATTTCCATATGTTTACAAAGAAAATACTTTGGTTTTGGCTTAAATCAGGCAGTTTGGACAACTTAGGTAACAATAAGATTGATCATATTGTTGCCATTTTACTTTGCAATAGTACTTTTTTTGGTTCCTGTCAGGTTTAGGAAAATGACAGGAAGCAAAATTAGTGTCTGGTGTCCTTAGGTATGGAAGAAACTGAGATACTATTGAAATTCATGCGTAAATTTTTACTGGTAAAAAGTGTTGCATGGGTTTTTTTTTTTTAACTAGAAAACAAGCTTATTTTGTAGGGTGAAGCAAGAAAAATGGCACTGTTTAAAGCTTACACTCTGTGCAAGTTAAGGTTTAGTTAATTGTGATAAAAGTTGCTCACTTTCTAGGAATTAGACGGAAAAAATTACAGTGAATTGCTGGAAAATGTCTCCCATCACATGAATTGAAGTCAGTGAGAGTGGATGAGGCAACCCTCACCATATGCTTGACATCTCTTAATTGGCAGGGGTTACACCTTTTGTCTTGTTGGCACCCTTTCCCATCTTGTTGAGTAAAATTTATTTTAAGTATCCAAAGTAAGCTGTAAGATTTCATTTGAAAAAAGTTTTGAATGGCATGTCATTATTGTATTCTTAAGTTATAGAACCAAAAGATAGTCTCCAATT